AAAGAGGAGAGATCACAACCAACACAGCAGAAATAAAAACAATAAGAGAATATTATGAGCAATTATATGCCAATAAAATGGCAATCTAGAAGAAATGGATAAATTCCTAGAAACATATAAACTACCAAAACTGAAACAGGAAGAAATAGAAAATTTGAACATACCCATAACCAGTAAAGAAATTAAATCAGTAGTCAAAAATCTCCCAAAAACAAAAGTCCAGGGCCAGAGAGCTTTCCAGGGAAATTCTACCAAACATGTAAGAAAGAGTTAACACCTATTTCTCTTGAAGCTGTTTCAAAAAATAGAAATGAAAGGAAAACTCCCAAGCTCTTTCTATGAAGCCAGCATTACCTCGCTTCCAAAACCAGACAAAGACCCCACTAAAAAGGGGAACTATAGACCAATTTCCTTTATGAACATGGATGCAAAAAACCTCAAGAAGACATTAGCAAACTTGATCTAACAAAACATTTAAAAAATTATTCACCACCACCAAGCTGGGCTGGTTCATATCCACAAAACAGTCAATGTGATTCATCACATCAGTGAAAGAAAGGACAAGAACCACATGATCCTCTCAAAAGATGCAGAGAAAGCATTTGACAAAATACAGCATCCTTTCTTGATAAAAACCCTCGAGAAAGTAGGGATAGAAGGATCATACCTTGAAATCATAAAAGCAATATATGAAAGACCCAAAGCTAATATCATCCTCAATGGGGACAGAGTTTTCTTCTTAAAGTCAGGAACAAGACAGGGATGTCCACTCTCACCACGGTTATTCAACATAGTATTGAAAGTCTTGACCTCAGCAGTCAGACAACACAAAGATATAAAAGGCATTCAAATCGGCCAGAAGGAGGTTCAACTTTCACTCTTCATAAATGACATGATACTCTATTTGGAAAATAGAGTATTCCACCAAAAAACTGCTAGAACTGATCCATGAATTCAGCAAAGTTGCAGGATCTAAAATCAATGCACAGAAATCAGTTGCACTCCTATACACCAACAATGAAGCAACAGAAAGAGAAATCAAGGAATTGATCCCATTTATGATTGCACCCAAACCATAAAATACCTAGGAATAATTCTAACCATAGAGATTATATACTGAAAACTATAGAAAGCTTACTAAAGAAATTGAAGATGACATTAAAAAATGGAAAAATATTCCATGCTCCTGGATAGAAAGAACAAAAATTATTAAAATGTCGATACTACCCAAAGCAATCTACATATTCAATGCAATACCTATCAAAATAAGACCAGCATTCTTCACAGAGCTAGAACAAACAATCCTAAAATCTGTATGGAACCAGAGAAGACCCTGAATAGCCAAAACAATCTTGAACCCAGAAATGGACCCACAAACATATGGCCAACTAATCTTTGACAAAGCTGGAAAGAATAGCCTATGGAAGAAAGACAGTCTCTTCAGCAAGTGGTGCTGGAAAAACTGGACAACAACATGCAGAAAAAAGAACCTGGACCATTTTCTTACACCATACACAAAAATATATTCAAATGGATGAAGACCTAAATGTTAAGACAGGAAGCCATCAAAATCCTCGAGGAGAAAGCAGGCAACAACCTCTTTGACCTTGGCCGCAGCAACTTCTCACTCAACACATCTCCAGAGGCCAAGAAAAACAAAAGCAAAAACGAACTATTGGGAACTCATTAAGATAAAAAGCGTCTGCACAGCAAAGGAAACAATCAGCAAAACTAAAAGGCAATCAACAGAATGGGAGAGGATACTTGCAAATGACCTATCAGATACAGGGTTAGTATCCAAAATGTATAAAGAACTTATCAAACTCAACACCCAAAAAACAAATAATCAAGTGAAGAAATGGGCAAAGACATGAATAGACACTTCTCCAAAGAAGATATCCAGATGACACATGAAAAAATGCTCAACATCACTCATTAAGGAAATACAAGTCCACCTCACACCTGTCAGAATGGCTAACATCAACAACTCAGGCAACAACAGATGTTGGTGAGGATGCAGAGAAAGATGATCTCTTTTGCACTGTTGGTGGGAATGCAAACTGGTGCAGCCATTCTGGAAAACAGTATGGAGCTTCCTCAAAAAATTAAAAATAGAACTACCCTACAACCCAGTAATTGCCTACTAGGTATTTATCCAAGGGATACAGGTGTGCTGTTTCGAAGGGGCACATGCATCCTAATGTTTATAGCAGCACTACCAACAATAGTCAAAGTATGGAAACAGCCCAAATGCCCATCGACGGATGAATGGATAAAGAAGATGTATGGATAAAGAAGATATATATATGTGTGTATATATATATATATATATCTCACACACACACAAACACACAATGGAGTATTACTCAGCAATCAAAAAGAATGAAATCTTGCCATTTGCAACTAGGTGGATGGAACTAGAGGGTATTATGCTAAGCGAAATTAGTCAAAGAAAAACAAGTATCATACGACTTCACTCATATGAGGACTTTAAGATATGAAACAGATGAACATCAGGGAAGGGAAGCAAAAATAAGGGAAGGGGACAAAACATAAGAGACTCTTAAATGTAGAGAACAGACGGTTGCTGGAGGGGTTGTGGGAGGAGGGATGGGCTAAATGGGAAAGGGACATTAAGGAATCTACTCCTGAAACCATTGTTGCACTATATGCTAACTAACTTGGATGTAAATTAAAAAATAAAATAAATTAAATAAAAAAATAAAAAAATAACCATCACAAAAAAATTTAAAAAGAACAAGAAACCTCTCCCATCACATATTTTCTTGAAACCCATGGTCTCTGCATCCCTTTGTCTGCAATTGAGTGCTGGTAGAACACAGAGTGAGTGAGTGAGTTAGTGAGTGAATGAGTGAATCCATGAATAAATAAATAGTAAAAAACTTGTTTTCGGGAAACTCCGAAAACAGGTGAATAATATGATCTGACAGCTTCAGGGGGGGGACACACCTGCCATGATTGTGATTTCATATTGCACAGAATAATACATGTCTGCTAACATGCATTATTGTAAATTATATGTAAAATTGCCCCTGCTTCACATGCTGAAATGATGAGCAACATCAACTTCAGTCCTGTAGATCATGCCTGTCTCCCGGGTGTTCCGCACTTGGCAGAACTTCCAAATGTTGCCCTGGCTGGAGAGGGGGAGGCAGGGGCAGAACCCGGCACTGGGGGACCCCACCAGGAGGGACGCCGGGAGGGCCAACATCTACTGAAGGGGACAGGAAGGCACCAGCAGGCTCTCTGATTCCTTTCTGGGGCACACCGGGAAATGAAGCTGAGCAGAACACGAATTCTCATAAAAGACATTCCTGAGAATAATTTCACATTGAGCACAACGCCCAAGACAAATACCAAAGCTGGAAGTTACAAACATTTCCACGTGTAGGTTCTCTTGGCTCCCTTTCACCCATGTACCCACACTTTCTATCGACTGGTGCAGCCATCCCCCAGCTAATACATCCAGATCCACACCCCACAGGAGCTTGAATTCCAATTTGGAATAAAACCCTCTCAGGCTGCGACTGCCCTCACTGCTCTTCCGTCACGCTCAGCACGAGGAGCCCTGAGATCCCTCAGCAGTGGGTCCTTTTGCTGAGCTCCGGAACACAATTAGATCTGAAAAAGGGGACCTGGCTCAGGGCCAACAGTGTAGGAGGAGGTGGAAATTGACTTTGAAAGGCAATTAAAGGGGCTGCCTCCCCAGGGTTCAGGTGGGAACCTAAGGAGCTTACTCCCCTCTGAGATGACCCCACCAGGCCTGTGAGGTGCTGGGAATTCTTCCTCCCCTCCCTGAACTCTGGGCACCCCTAGTTCTCGGGCTGCCTGGCACTCACAGCCCCAAGATGTCTGCACAGAGAAAAAGAACCAATTCATGAGCTGGTCTTAAGAAGCACGCCAAGGAAGTCTGATAAAATACACATTTATTAGAAATTTTTCAGCAGCATCATTTCCATTTGCTTTTCTAATTAAAGTATATTTCAAAAAAAATTACAACAAGCTCTCAAAATACAAGCCACAAATATTTTGAGAACTCAGTAATAAAATAATCAGCAGTACATGTTTCATTCATCCATCCTTCCATCCATCCATTGTTTTAAACATGTGCAATATTAGCACAGAGAGCCAGAAATGCTACTCAGTATGGAACTTGTATATTCCTGCCATGGTTTCTGTTGTGAAGACTACACCCACTATTCAAGAGAAAAATCTAGGCTCTACAGTACATTCCAATACAAGTGTACAATTTATCCAAAAGGACCTTTAAAAAGGCTCAATGAGAACAGTTTCCCTTTCTATTCATGTTCAACTTAGGAAATAAATAGTCATTATAATGATATTTTCACACAGAAACAAAAACCCATTTGAGGCTTTGCTTCACTGATATTTGTTTTGCACCTTACTTGAAGACACAGATTTGGTTTTAGTAATTCAGCTGGTGAGCTCCAGTGTTTGGGATAGGTGACCACCTGAGATGCCAGGCAGGGACAGAAATTGCCCTAAAGTCCATCAAGTGAAAGAGTTCATTCAGTTAGATACGACCTCTTTGCAGGACACTTGTACCTCATGACATGGAATTTTCTAACAGACATCACAAATAAAAATGTTGACTTGACAGCTAGTGAGGTAACATATGTGGAAGTGTTCTGGCTAGACAACACAAACATGCAGAAGGGTGAAATTGCTTTTTCTACCCTCTGCATTATCTGAGGCATCTACAGTCAGACCCAGATGCCTATATTAACACACAGTGCCCTGTATCAATATGCCTACTAATCAGCTTACAGGTAATATAGAACATTAATTAAGTGCTGAGCTGTAAAAATGGACCCAAGAGTGGGGCCTGGGTTTCTTTGCTTGATAATCCTACAGGGAATATGAGTGGTACCTCTTCTTCAGACATGGATAACAGCCCCGAGTCAATTCCTTTCCTTGTTGGATCATTTACTGGAATGATCACCAACCAATTCAGCAGATACTTTTCTCAGCAAATTTAATGATGTGATAATCTTTCCAAAATTTACAAATGTACAGTATATTTATAGCATTACCTTCAGATAGCTTCAGTGCAAAGATATACATATAGTACATTGTGATAATCATTTGTAAAAACATGAGACAGCGTAAGTAAAAAAAGGGACACAGAAGGCATGGTTTCCATAGACACTTCCAACTACTGGCAAATGGGAAAAAAATATATTTTTTTAATAAAGTACTGAATGTTAACTTTTTCTTCATTTGTTTGTAAAAAATATATGTGCAAAAGTATGTTTCTAATTATCCCTATATCGATGGCATAGCTATACCTCAGAGTCTTCTCTAACAAGGTTTGCGGTGTCCGTAAAAGTGTCTTCCGTTGCAGTGTAGGTTGGCACTGGGTCTCTCCTTGGAGAACTTTTAGCAGGAAGGGACGGAGAGGGAGGGGGAGCCACAGCAGCGCCGTCCTTCTGTTCATGCTCCATCTAAGACAACAGGGAAACACCAATCAGCCATTTATTCCCCCCCCAATGTGACTGGAAATAGTTTTGTGTGAAGAAAACAAATCTGTGAGTTTGCTCAGAATAATCTGAGTGTATACCCGCCTCAGCCAGGCAAGTTATTGCTACGATAGAATGCCGAATGCCTGTGCAAACAAAATTGCCAACAATTACCTCCGCGTAGATTGGATTTTCAAAGTTGGTGGTTGGTTTCAACTTCCGTTTGAAGATACTCCATTTTGTTGCCTAAATGAACAGGGGAAACAGAAAATCTTCAATAACGGAATTTTTGCATGGATTTGTTTCTCCATGGAGGTTTTTAAAATTTTTAAGTTTATTTGTTTGATTGTTTTATTTACTTATTTATTTATTTATTTTTTAATTTTATTTAGAGAGAGACACAGAGAGCACAAGTGGGGTAGGACAGAAAGAGAGAAAGGAGAGAACCCGAAGCAGCTAACAGCACAGAGCCCAATGCAGGGCTTGAGCTCATGAAACTGAGATCATGACCTGAGCTGAAACCAAGAGTTGGATGCCCAAGCGACTGAGTCACCCAGGCGCCCACTTCCATGTATTTTAAAATGTTTTCTTAGTGAAGGAAAAAGCAAATTGGGACCTGGGTCCCTATGACCTGGCCTATGGGTGTGTTTAGTTCCTCCTCAGATAGTCCCTAAACTGAAACTGAAATTCTCTGGGCTCTTTTTTTTTTTTTTTTTTTAATGTTTTATTTATTTCTAGGAGAGAGAGAGACAGCGTGAGCAGGGGAGGGTCAGAGAGAAAAGGAGTCACAGACTCTGAAACAGGCTCCAGGCTCTGAGCTGGCAGTCAGCACAGAGTTCTCTGGGCTCTTTTCATCTAATAATGTCAAAGACTTCCTTGACTTGACAAATATAGTTGACAGAATCTGTGACTATAGAATCTAGAAGCTTTGACAGAGACAGACAAGACATTTCTTCAGGGGCTACTGAAATTTTAAGGGGAAAGCCAGACTGTAACTCTCATTCCCTAAAATGATGTCTTTCTTGATCCTTGGTCAACTTAGGCCTATCCCCTTCCTTCATCATTTCCTTCTGTAATCAAAATAGCAATAGTGATAATAAAAACTAGTATTTATTGAGAACTTACTGTGTATCAGGGGCTAGTCTAAAAGATTTACAAGTTTCCCACCTAATCTTCCAGGCAGCTCTGTGAGGTAGGTGCTCTTATTTTAGAGGTAAGGAAGAAGTCACAGCAAACACATATAACTGAATTGCAGGTGAAAGAGTAGGGATTGATGATAGGACTCAGAGGATGAGACACGGAAGAACCCAACGAGAAGTCACCATAAACTATGGCTGGTGGCCCAGGTCTTGTTGAAAAGCTGGCAGCTCTGGCTGCCAGATGGAAGGAGACAAAGGAACAGAAAGCAAGGGCATGGACAGCCTACTCTAGCAGGAAGCTAAAGTAGCCCCTATGTTTTGGGGGCATCTCTTCTCTGTGAAAGTAGGGGGCCAACGTGTGAGGGAGTAGGGAGCACACGACTGCAGGAGAGGACCATTCATTATAACCCACATGTAAGTGAGCACTTACTCTGTACATGGCAGCCACGAAGAAAAAGATAATTACATTCAGGTCAAGAGCCTGACCTCTGGAAGCTTACACTTATGGGATGGGCTACTTGGAGTTAAGCAATTATTAACAAGAGAAATTGGTGATTTTCATTTTTATCTCCTTGGGAAATCTAATGCATGTCAACATGACTTTTGGAAAACAATAGAACCGAGTCACAGGAATTCTTGTTCCTAGATTTGAGTCCTTTGAGCAGATTTACTGATGAAAGATGTATTTGTGAGCGTCTTTGGCACATTAACATCAACCTAGAGAGAGCCTAACCAAGTGTGTTACTGCTTTGCTGCATTAGCTGCCATCACAGTGCCAGGGAGATAACCGATACAGAGAGATCCCTAGACACAGCATGTAGGACAGACCTTGGAGGGTCTCAGCCTCAACTGATTTAAAACAAAACAAAGCAACAACAACAAAACCAAACAAAAGGAGAAAGAGTCAACATACTGCAAAGGTGAAGATGAGAAAGAAAGGGACTATAACTGATGAAGATCCACTCTCATTTGAAAAGTCTTTCAGTGTTCATTTTATTTCTGATGATAGATGTGTAGGTCAGAGGCTGCAGCCTCTTCCTGCTCAGGCTGAGAGGGAGCTCTGTCGAGTGAAGAGGATTGCTAGACTTGAAATGGACTGAAAAGAAAAGTTGAGAATATAAAATAACCTGGCACTGTCTTGGGGTTGAGACAGATTTAGGGAACACTCAAGAGACATGACATTGTGACATGCAAGACTTGTGACATTCAAGTATTTCAGTGTCTGTAGAAAATGAATCTTCAAAATCCATTTTTTAAAATGTTTTATTTTTTTCTAGGAGAGAGAGAGAGAGAGAGAGAGAGAGAGAGAGAGAGACAGCGTGAGCAGGGGAGGGTCAGAGAGAGAGGGAGTCACAGACTGAAACAGTCTCCAGGCTCTGAGCTGGCAGTCAGCACAGAGCCCAACGCGGGGCCCAAACCCACGAACCGCGAGATCATGACCTAAGCGAAAGTCGGACGCTTAACCGACTAAGCCACCCAGGCGGCCCCAAAATCCATTTTTAAATGTAGCTTGAAAAAAATTCAGTCCCTTAAAAAAATAGGAAACTGAAAATTACTTTCTAATTTTGTCTGGTGTGTGTGTGTGTGTGTGTGTGTGTGTCTGTGAAGAAGGAATTAGTAAATGAAATGTGAAAAAGTAGACAGACCTTTGTTATAAACTTCATTACATTAATTTAGTTCAACTTTTATTTTTATCCAAACAAGCAGAATAGGAACCAATTTCTGAGGTGCTGAAAATTCAGTATGACTTCCAAGTTAACTTTGCAGATACTAATTATGCTTATAAATTATTTCGGAAACAAGGATTGTGTAAATAGGTTCCTAACTATCCTTGGATTTATTTTTTTATATTACTTTACAGAAGAAGTCATAGAACCTTAAAACTGAGATATTCCAGATCCTATTTTTCTCAGTTGGAAATGGGGGAGGAGGCTGATTTCTGGGATCATAAGGCATTGGAGGAGTGTGTGACTACTGGCACTTAGTAGACTGGGGCCAGAAATACTAAAATGTCCTGCAATGCGTAGATAAAACTTTGTACCACAAAGAACTATGCCAACAGTGAACCCAATGAGAAACATAAAGACTCCAGAAACCAGCGGTAAAATATTTTGCCCAGAATCAGACAGTTAGATCTTAGACACCTTCATGTGTATCCATTAAAACTAGTAACAGATTATATATTAACACAAAATTCCATATCTAATTTGATTGAATTTCTCTCTGTAGACCTGTCTAAAAATTTCAAAGTGCCTGAAAGCATGGCAGAGAAGCTTCATTAGTGGTCTTTTTTTCTTTTAATCTCCCATGTTAAACACTGTACCTGGCACACTGAGGGCAATAAATGTTCGTTGGATGGATAGATGGACTGATGGAGAGTATGAGTTAGTGCCATCTTGTGGTGAATATAGGTAATAGCAGTAGAGCTAAGAACAGTACATTATTCAGGGGACAAAGATGTACACTGTAGAAAAACTGCATTACATGAAAAAGGAAAAGGTCTTCTATATGTGTGATTGAAACAGTGAGCTCTTTATTCTAAGTCATTCTCTAAAATCAGGGAACTCTAGTCCGAAGAGGCTAGATCTTGAAACCCGTTGCCCTTCCCTTCCATATGGTCTCCCACATCACAAGGAATATCATATCATTCCCATCTTAAATCAATACTACAAATGTGGCTTTAGTTAGTGGAAAAACTTCAATTTATTTGTATTTAAAAATCATCTTTATTAACTGCCTACCTATCTGGGGTCCATGAGCCTGTAAGAATCTCCTCTAACATTAGTAAACCCGGCAATTCCTAAGCCCTTTGCAAATACTGTATCATTTCAGTAGCCACACACTGTTACCTGAGTTGCATCAGCACTTGGGGAAGCCGGACTTGCATCTGGAGCTATTTCAGAAGGGTTTATGGGACTTCCATAGTTCTGGTTATCCACATTTCCAGATACAGTTACCTGCATGCATTTTAAAAGATATTATCCAGTTTTGAAAGAATTTTTGCTGTGAAGTTTCTTATCAACTCTTTGGTTCTCTTTACTGCCTGACATGGTCAGGCACTATTTGTCTTAATAGGAGACCAATCCCGTGCTCTAGGACTAAACACCGTTTCCAACTCCCCAAAATCAAGAGCACTAACCACTATGTCATCTATCTCATGCCTTAGTCCTGGGAGGCAAACACATCCGTCACGGTCACACTATCACTTAGTAAACACAATTTTACTGTGTTCTCTTTGTTCCCTTCTCCCCACTGTTGACCATAGTTTTAGACAAACAACTCTGGTTGTATGCTGGCAGTCAAATCCTAGAGGAACCGCATGAATTATTCCCAAACTCATCGGAGAACTGAGACTCTGATATTTGGGTACTTAGGATAAAATTACTAATCTGAGATGACTGCTTACAAGAGGTTGGATTTTTGAAACAAGAGACATAATGCAATTAATACTCCTCTAGACATTTTCTATAGTATTCCTGTGATCCCAAGTTTCCCTCCTAAGCCAAATTACCGTGAATATATAATGAACAAATTACAAGGTAAAAATTCACTTCTTCCTATATTTTTACATTCACTGTTTCATTTCTTCTCCAATGTGAATGTATTTGTAAACATGGCCTCATTTTATTTCAAGTGAAAATGGCAAATGAAATACCACATCTATTTTACCATGTGATCCAATTTTTGCTATCTGGATATCGAAGGTTCAGGCAAAATGCTTTCAGAAAGATCCAACTGTTTCTGATCTTAAGAAAGCTATTTATAAAATAAACCTTTCTATATTTAAAAGGTGCCATATCTTATGATTTCAAAAGAAGTTTAGGTATTAACCATGAATCTGTATTTCGCTGAGGCTGTAGTTGTTTCAACAAAGGAAGTCAGGCTAATAGCTGACAGGCACTAGAAGTCGCGTGGGAGCTACTGTTCTAGGTCCAGGGAAAAGATCTTTCCTTTCATCTACCCACCTATGTTACCTCCCTGCTCCTCTTAAAGATAAGTGAGTAACAGGGCTGCACTGAAGGAAGTTTAGATACCTGCCCACCAACTTTCGTGCTTTTACACTTTTCAACTGCTCTCTTCCATTTGAGGGAAAGTTAGGAGAACCCTATGAGGGCATTGTTCAATGGCACAAGATTCCGTGGTAGCAGCACCTGAAATAAAGGGCTGTGATTTCTCACCTGGGTTGGCTGAGCCACTTTGACATCACTGTCCCTGGATGCATACATGGGGTTTTCAAATATGATGGGCTGCTTCCCCATCTCCATGCCAAAATGTTCACTCTGACGGAGAAAAGAAGTAACTGGTTTACACAGAAAGGAAGGTGCCCACCTCACACCTGGAGGTATACTAGGTGCTATGCCAAATTTATCCAAAAAGAACTTCAAGAAAAAGCCAGGAGACACAAGGCCTCCAGATGGCAAACATCACATGAAGTAACAAATGCACTAGCTCATCACATCAAGAAAACAGAAACTCTATACCCATGTTCTCCTTGGCTGTTTAATACAAATATTCACTTGGGGATTAGGTTTGCACAGCAGAGAAGAGGGTCGCTGGTGGAAAAAAGAGCAGAGAGGAGGAGAAGAAGGAGAGGGGAAAGAAGAAAGAATGGATACTATTGTACTTTTACACAGAGGTTAAACATGAAAGGTTTGGGAGAAAGGCAAAATATTGAAAGTTATTTTTCAGTACTGGTTATAGAGACAATACTACTAATCCTCTCATAAGGTAGCCATGTGGTCCTCACAAGAGGTATTACTAGGATCCATTTTATAGAAGGGGACAATGAGGGTCAGAGTGATCAAGCTCCATGCCTATTATTATATCCTTAGACAGTAGCAGAGTCGTGATTTGAGCCAACCACTGCATCTAAAATCTAAAAGTACAATTTTATTACTAATATTTTAGAGACCTTTCTGCAAAAAAACTAATGTTTCCTAATTCTGTAAAGACTTTATTTTGAGAAGCATACGGCTTCATTTTTTTTTTCTAGGTTAATTTTATTTTCTATAAAAAGTGTTCTTTTTATATAACAGTAAACATGACAACTTTCAAATAACCAGTTTGCAGCCACACTCACCATCACCACTGATGTGTCAATAGCAGACTCGGGCCCAAAACCAGACACTCCAATATCCATGTTAACGTCCGCTCCCGATCTGAAGGTCACCCCATTTCCATTTTCAGAGGATTTAACTAGACTGCTTAGGCTGAAAAAAAGTAATTGAAACAGTGTACGATTTTTTAAGCCACCTTCTGCAATCGTACCCTCTCCTCCATATTGCTAAAGGTTGCTTAAATGAAATGCTCAACTCCTATTCTGAATTTACACATCGAATATGGTAAAAGTTGCCTTAGCTACACAGGAGCGTTAAAGCACATTCCTGAATGCTTGAGATCTAAGAGAGGGCCAACTTGGCACTTGCAGGAATAAGGCCTGGTCCAACCCACAGACTGTGCTCCAGTCTAACCTACACCCACCAGTGGGCACAACCATTTGGACTATAAAATGTGATTTGCACTCAGGCTTAAAGAAGCATTCAGTTAAGAGGTTGTGATTTGAAATGATGGCTTTAAGTCCACTACTTTTTGTTTCTGCAGAATAAGTAAGCTGCATGCAGTGCTTAAAAAACCTAAATTATTCACATGGTCACATCACCCAAGCTTCTAAAATCAATATTCCACATAATGAAACTGACCTTGGTAGCTTGGGCAGAGAAGGCAAAAGGGAGCCAGTTCTCCTGTAGTGGAAAAATCCTAATGCTGCCAATGCTCCAACTATGATGATCAGGATGATTGTCAACAGCACAGCCACTGCTGCCATCAATGAGGGAAGAAGAAGTGACCATATCAGCATGTGGAAAGGGAAAGAAACCAATAGACTTAAGAGTGGAAGCTGAGGGCAGGACCAACCATTCTTCAAACACTGAGTTAAACAGAATTTAAACAGCATTCAACGTAGGAGCTGTGAAGCATTTCCAGGTTGCTTATATTCTTCTTTTTCTTTTCTTCTTCTTCTTTTTTTTTAATGTTTAGAGTGCAAGAGGGGTTGGGGGGACAGAGAGAGAGTGAAACAGAAGATCTCAAATGGGCTTTTTGCTGATAGCAGTAAGCCCAATGCAGGGCCCAAACTCACGAACTGTGAGATCATGACCTGAGCCAAAGTGAGACACTCAACCGAGCCACCCAGGCGCCCCCAGATGACTCAAGAATCTTAACACTTACTTGTTCCTGGAGGGACGCCTTTTGAAAGCCCTATTTCACAATATTTTCCCATGTAGCCACTGGGACATCTGAAAGTGAAAGGAGAAATTGCTCACAAGCTGTGGCCTTCTTAGGCTTCCACCGCTATTGTACAAGCACATCTTGAGGTAGAGAGAGGTTTGACTGAGCAAATTACATGTGGGATAATCAGTGCATCCTACACGATTTTTGCTTTTTCTGCCAAGAGATGATGAGTAGGAAGAACAATAATCTGACTCTGAAATACACTTTCAATGGTGTGGCTATGACACCAGCAAGGTCATCAAATAAACATACTGGTGTCTACTCTATGGAATTCCTCCTTCGAGAATAAAAATGGAAACCAAGATTGTATTCTTCGCTCTGATATGTTTCCATTAAATACTTTTTAAAGACCTCCATTTATCTTGCTCCATGTTAGAGCTTTCTCAAAAATTCTTTTTTTTTTTTTTTTTTTTTCCCCATCTCTTGAGCCCAGTCTCTGCTCATCACAAGTGCTTGGGCTGACTCAGCTCTGCTGACAGCTGGTGTCTCGCACTCCAAGTGTAATTAACATCAGGTGAGTAGAGAAATGGGGCTGTCACTTCTCTAATCCCTGTTACAGTTGGCTCACAGTCCTGTGGCATCTCCTGGGGACTTGTTGAAAATGCAGTATCCCTGTGAATGAGATGATTCTTATGCACAGTATATACAGGTTGAGAAGCACTGCCTTAGTTTTCCATGGACTCTACCAAGGGAGGGCAAGCTGGTCAAGATGTGAAAATTAGTGAACTGGCAAGGCTCCTGTACTTGTTTTTCTGGCTACTTTGTCTCAAATTCCCCCAAAGCCTATTGCTCGGACCTCAACATTCAGACTTACTTGCATTTGGGGAGGTCATTCTCATCAAAATAGCAATTTCCTCCGTACATACACCTGCAGGGGGGGGGCATGTTGGTAGGACTTTCGATGGCTGCAGAAAGGGAAAGCCATGCATGTGTTAGTCAGCCACACTCAGCAGAGCACCCAAACCATGCAAATGTGCTTCAAGCCCAGGGTCAGAGTGGGGAGTGGATGGGGACAGGGCAGCTAATTAGTCTCCCCATCAAAACGTTACCTTCCACTTAAGGCAGACGAATTTCCTTATCAATAAGAAGGTCTTGGAGAGTAACACACATTTGGTAGAAAGAAAGGCAATTTATAGCCCCTCCACCACCACCCCCTCCCCCCACCGTGGAGAGATGCTCCACTCCAGAACATACATTAACATTGGAAGAAACTTGTGGTAAAGGAATCTCTTAGGACATTCACGTTCTCATTTGAAGTATTCAGAATTCTCCTCTGCAAGCCCAGTGAAACACAAGAGTTCAATCTGGGCACACAACACACTTCATCTGAAGGCTCCAAAGCATCAGGGACCCATCATCAGTCAAGCGACAATGCAGATACACAGATGCCTGATAGAGAGCTGGTTAGAGATGTCCTATTTTTTAAGTCCTCCAAACCTGCCCTTGCTCTGGATCCCTGCTCCAGCTCAGCCCCCACGTCCTCCCGGGATGTGCCTGATGGGATTGTTAGTGTCTTCATGTCTTATACCTAGGAGATGCTCCGTAGGTATTTGTCACATGTGTGCTTATTTAAGGAGCTCGACTACCCTCTTGGCTTAGTCCCTCAAAATTCATTTTATCAGAGAGACCTTCTCAGAACTCTCTACCTAAAGGCAACCCAACTTCCACCCCTCCCTCATCCCTCTTACCCTGCTTTCATTATCTCCTTTTGCTTTTACAATCTGACATATATTGGTGTGGGGTGTGTGTCTCTATTTAGAATCTCTATTAGAATATAAACTCCATAAAAGCAAGGAATCTGTCTGTTTTGTTCACTTTCATTATCTCTAGCACTTAGTGCCTAGCATATAGTAGGCATTCAATAAATACTTATCAAATTAATAAATTTAACACCAAACCAAGACCCCATATAGAACAGCTACCACCATTATCATGCTTGCTTTGGTTAAAGTTCATTTGGGAAACAATGTAAATGAGGAAAGTAGCAGATGAAGTAAGATCATGGACAACACCACCCATGAGAGGGAAATTGTAATAAATGTCAGAACCATCTGTCTATAACATAGAACAAATGTCAAAAGCTTTAAATTGTTTGGCTCAAAATACTGCTAAATATTGTAATCCTGCCAATATTTCACCCTAGCCTTGGGATGAGAGGCAGGATAGGGGAAGAGAAGCGGGAGAAGCCATTTTTTTCCTCCCTGATTCATTCTCTAAACCCGCCAAATTTTCGGCCTGGTTCAGAGTCAAAGTTGGTGCCTTGTTTAACTCCTTGCTCCCCCTGGTGGCCAAAAGTGGCTAAGCATAGTCTCATCTGCTAAAACGGAGGGATGGGAACCATAAAATGGGCTACTAAGAAATAAAAACAAGGATGTGAGCCACAAAATGGGCTGCTAGCAAATCGCAGGATGATTTTTTTAATGAGCATTATCAAGAATTGGATACTACTTAGGGACACTAGTTATTTCCCATGACTTATATACACTCTTCATGAAGAAAGGTCTCGGCAGTCATAGATCATCCACAGCATTTGGGATGAGAAATGAACCACTGCTTCCTTATTCCAGCTTCCATCTCCCAACAATGTAAGGTGGCTTTTTAAATGTAGCCCTTTTTCACTTGTCAAAACTTCAAAATGAGCATGTGAGGAAAAGAACGATCTTCCTATCACCTTCCCATCTGTACTGGATAAAGTCCCCCACCTCAGGAACCTGGTTCCCCACTTGAGGAACCCCAGCTAAAGCCAAATGGAGTCTGGGGCAACAGACATCCAGTATGGGGTATAAAGAAAGGAGATAGAGACCTTATAGAAAACCCACTCTTCCAAATATCCTTAGAAAACAACACAATGGTAGATGTGGGGGCACTGGATTTATACTCTACAGATCCTAGCAAATAATTCTCAGCAATCACTGGAACGCAAGTTCTGTTTGGCTCCCTAAGTTCCAGTCAGCTCTGTTCATATTTCCCCATCTCTCATCCCTCCTTCAAGCCACCCCCAAATCTATCCTGCAAAGGACCCACAGGGATTTTTCCAGGCTCCTGAATGAGGTGAAGCACAGGTAGGGAACATACTGAAGGCAGAGGAGCATTCCCAGACCCCCATGGCTGCCCAGACAGGGCCCCTACCTGCGTTACAATCAGTGATGCTCCCTGCTATAAAGGTGGATCCTTGGGGACAGGCACAGCTGTATCCTCCCGGTCTCAGGAGGCAGAGGTGACTGCAGACATTTTTGCAGCGGTTGGGCACTAGAAAGCACATGAGAACAGTGGTTAGGGTCTGAAAAGGGAATGAGTACACCAACCAAAATTAAACCCATTGACTGAGTTGTGGCCCTGCCAGGTAATATCAGAGCCCAAGCAGCATCCCAGAACCTTTAGGCCACATGCCACCTAGCTAATCACCTCATTTACACGACATCTTATCTCCACTGCACACCCCCAAAGTGGCACAGCCTCCGTCCTACTTCTATACCAGTCACACTGTCTACTGGCATCACTTATCTCCTCCCTCGCAGATTTGGAAGGTAGGTGTCCAGTTCATTGCATGACCACAAAAACTAATCAACAGAAATCAACTTGAGATAGTTCAAAAGACCAGTAAGACCCTATTATTATGTCAAGATGTCATCACCTAAATTTGGATAGATCATAATGTGTCCAACTCCTATATTAGATATGATATCCACCCCACCCTCACAGGGGTACTTTCTTCTGGGCTTCAGTTTCCTTACTTGAAAGACAAGGGAATTTAGACCTGTGATTATAATCACCTGGGAGCTATGCACAACTATTGATGCCCAGTCACAGAAACTCATATTTGAATTGGTCTAGGATGCTACAAGTGTTACCATTAAAATCTCCTCAAGTAATTCTAGAGTCTTCTGAATTCTACCTTAGTATATATTATGATTTCTCCAAGGTACAGATGATCTCTAAATTTCTTCTCAGACGGGGCGCCTGGATGGCTCAGTCGGTTAAGCATCCGACTTCGACTCAGGTCATGATCTCACGGTTCGTGAATTTGAGTCCTGCGTCGGGCTCTGTGCTGACAGCCAGCTCAGAGCCTGGGGCCTGTTTTGGATTATGTGCCTCCCTCGCTCTCTGACCCTCCCCTGCTCATGCTGCCTCTCTCTCTGACCCTCCCCTGCTCAGAAATAAAAGACATTAAAAATAAATAAATAAATTTCTTCTCAAACTAACATTCTATGATCCTGATTCTCTGTCATCCAATCAGTAACTACAGACAAGGAAATGGCTATAAAAATAAGAAGCCATATTCCAAAGTCTCACTCAAAATCTGCCCCATTACCATTTCCTCAGCTCTCTAGAGAAGAGCTTTTCAAACTTGAATGTAATACAAATCACCTGGAGAATCTGATTCAAAAAGGTTGGGTGAGGCCTTGCATTTTTCACCAACTCGCACAGGATATCACTGCTACTGGTCCACAGCCCACACTTGAGCAGGACTTCTCGAATGTAGTTCCTGAACCAGCAACATTAGCATTAGTTGGGAACTTGTTAGAAATGCAAATTTTAGGCCACCTCAGGCATATCAAATCAGGAATTCTTCAAGTAAGGCCCAGCAATCTATAGTCAACATGCTATTTAGATCATTCTGATAGATGTTAAAATGTGAGAACTATTGGTCTAGAGTAAATGTTAATCTGGCACAGCTGATCTAGATTTCTGGCCTACATGGCGATCAGCACTCTCCAAAGGGAGTCCAGCTGACTCCAGATTTTCCACTGACTCCTAGGTAGCTTTCTCTACCAAGGCCAGAGAGGGGGTTCACCATGTGTACTGTGCCCTCCCTTCTTGCCTTTAAAACTGCCCAGTATGAGAGCCCCAGGAGCATGGAGGACTTGAGAGCTGTTATACTGGTGGGGTTCCCTATATGTGAGATGAAAATAAAATCTCACCATAGTTTTGGAGATTAAATGAGTAACAGATGTCTGGGTTAACCCTCGAAGAGAGAATCTGAGTTACAGAGCTTAATTAAAGTCTATTTCCTTTCCTCACTTCAAAAATTTCTGTTCCCTTTTATCTTCGAATCAGAACACAGGTAACCTGGTGAAGCAGGACTCACAACTAAGAAAATGGGAGAGAGGGGAGGGGGTAGAAATGCAGATGTCTGACAATTTTAAACTGAAGCTCACAAAGCTCAGGATAACTTGACGAGCCTGATGTTCACAAAACCCATTGTAACCCACCTGACACCCAGCAAGGGTTTGATGCCTGCTGAATTCTGTGGCCTACAAGTACATACCTGTAGCTCCAAACAATGAGGACTCAACAAAAATTTTTTTTTCTTAAACAGGCTCTGCACCCAGCATGGAGGCCAACATACAGGTTGAACTCACGACCCTGAGATTAAGACCTGAGCTGAGATCAAGACCTGAGCTGAGATCAAGAGTTGGACATTTAACCAACTGAGCCACCCAGGCACCCCGGAACTGAAAATATTTTTACTTCCTATCTGCTGGTGGTGTATATTATATAATTACACCTGACCTCCAATTTTATCTTTTTTTGGTCAAAATGGTTAAAACACACACATGCATGCACGCACGCACCCTTTCATGCACCAAAAGATCAGACTATTGTAATCAACTACCACTTTCCAACAGTATAGCCATTATTTTGAAATAAGGTTTCTAGATAATAAGGAACATCTTATTCTTAGGTTGATGTTACCTGACCGATCGTATCTATGTTGATGGAAGATTCGAACTTGAGTGAGCCATGGGTTCACCATCAGCATTTTCTCCTTCTCATCTCGCCCAAATTTATCTTGCTTCCATACTTCTCCCTTATTCTTAGATATCCAGTAAAACTGGCCTTCAAAGATGTCCAGACTATATGGGTTCATTGCTGCTTACCCACAGAGGAAAAACAAAACAAAACAAGATAATTGAATAGAAATACCCCACCCCTCTTTTATGAAAGCGTAGACTACAAAAGTGTGCTACTTTGGGAGATCAAGATGACATACATTAAACTAGATTAATGTCTACTGGCTCATGCCAATTATGGAGAACTGATACTGCTAATTTGACTTTATCTTTGGACAATAATTTGGATGGAAGAGACCTTATTGTTTTTTCTTTGAACATAAGATACCACTTATCAGTAAAAGCTGATAGGTACTGGATTATTACAGTTCTGCAGAAATCTAATTATAAAATAATATGTTCTCTCCTTCTAGATGTTTCCAGTTGTACATAATAAACAATTGAGCATAATAAAAACAAATAGGTCTAGAAATGGTCTAGATGTGGATTTCCAAATAGGTCTAGACATGGATTTCCATTGGTACACATGACTGTCACCCCTATCAGGGCAACCAAATAAGAAATTTGGTTATTTCAATATCTGTTGCTAAGAGTGCCTTTTAAAAATTATGTTAAAAGGGGAAAAAGCCTTAAATTACTGCTAATGGATTAATTTGCATTTAAATCAGCAGCTGGAAGTTGAGGGGAGTGGTAGCTAAGAAAATATATCAACTGTTTCCTAAGATCAGATTCCTTCTAGAGAAAATGTGCAGAGATGGGAAATAATTTCTTAATTATTTAACATGTTAAATTCTAACTCATTTCTAACCTGCGTTTGCAACGATTCTCCTATCAGTCCCATCATGTTTTATACTTTCAATATTGTTCTCCTTGAAGTCACTCCAGTAGATCCGGTCACTGTTCAAATAATCAATAGTAAGGCCTGTTGGCCAACCAAGATCCTCTTGAACTAGGATGTTCCGATGCTGCCCATCCATCCAGGCAGACTCGATTTTAGGTTCTCTGCCCCAGTCAGTCCAGTACATAAGCCTGTAACAGAAGGTTTCCTCTAGTGAGGCTTCCACACTGGAGCAGAGCATGAACTTCCAACAGGGAAATCAACTGTTTTTCATTGAGGTCTGAGTGCTAAGTGATGCCTTTTTTATACTTTACTTTAGAAGAAAGGGAGACGAAAGGAGGAGCCAGTGGATCTGTGGTCCTTCCTGAAAACTTCCTCAACAGAAACTGCCCAGCCCTGTCCAAGTATATATATTCAGACACTTTAAAATGCAGAGTTACAAAAAAAAATTTTTTTAAATGTATAATTACAAAAGCTGTTCATTCTTCACAAAATATTTCTTGAATGCCTATGTGTGAGCAGCACTGTCCTGTGTTTGAGTATCAGAGAACAAAATAAGGATTCCTATTTTAAAATGGAGACCAAGGATTGCACCACCTCAAATACCTGGAAAGGACCAGGCAGGCAAGAAAAATGAGTGGAGCACAGCTGTCATGAACATCAAGTGATGGTGAGAGCAAAGCCCTGTCTACAAGTTCCAGGCAATGCTGCATCAAGAAAGGCACACCTACCTGGTATTATCAGTTGTTCTGATTTTTTAAGCCAAACATACAGCTTAAAATGTGTGTGTTAGCAACTAAATTTTAAAAATCTTAAAGCTCTATTTAGTTCAACTCAAATATGTCTGTGGGCCAAATTTAGCCTACCAGCCACCACTTTGCAGCCTCTAGTCTAAACCAATCACCAGGTATAAACCAATCCTTAAATCCTATGGAGAAATGTGTGGATTTTTGGCAAACTGGCCTATGGAAAAATATGGCCAGAGGCCTTCCCCTTATACAGTATCAGTCTGAAGTTTGGATGGTCCTAAATGACCTTTATGGCATATTATAATTCTTTGAATTAGTCATAGATGTCAGTGCAAAAAGTCCAAGGCCAATTTCAGTACAGTTAGGAAAAAATAATTAAAGATATAATTTCTTGAAAATCCAGTGGCCAATATCTGGAACATGAAAGACTTCTTCAAGTACTGGGGTGCCTGGGTGGTTCAGCTGGTTAAGTGTCCAATTCTTGATTTCAGATCAGGTCGTGATCTCACAGTTTCATGACTTTGAGCCCTGCATCGGACTCTGTGCTGAGAGTGTGGAAGCTGCTTGGTATTCTTCCCCACCCCCCACCCTCGCCCCCGGTCCTCTGTCCCTCTCCCACTGGGGCACTCTCTGTCTCTCTCATAATAAAATAAATAAGTTAAATTAAAAAAAAAAAAGACTCCTTCAAGTACTTACCCTAGTTTAGGATTCACAACCACTGCAGCTGGTTGATCCAGCTGTGTGGAAATCAGCCACTTTGTGTATCTCCCATCAAGTTTAGCCACCTGGATCCGTTTACTCCTGGCATCTGACCAGTAAATATGCCTGAATTTAAAGGGACAAAGTTAAAAATCCAAAAAATCTAGACTGGTCATTTCTAGGAAGAGGTTCAAAGATGAAAGCATTCAGTTTGGAAGTTGAGGCCAACAAGACAACTACTTAGATACTTGTGATTAGAGCAGAGCCTCCCTCCCCCAGGAATGCCCCAATCCCTTCCACCAAGGGAAGGTCTTTGGAAAGTTACAAATGGAAGAGTAAGGGACAGAGGGGACTCCTGCATGATCAGCCAGGATCAGTGATGATGGTAGACCTCACATCTGGCATTACTATGAGGCACGTACTTTCCAGGTGGAAGTCACCAGGCACTGTTTAGCTAACTCTTTAATTGCAACTGTCCTCTGAGTTTGTTTTGATTCAACCTAGAGCCCCACTGGAATTAATAGGAATCTGGCATCAGCTCCAAGGATGAGTGGAAATAGCCTTTCCAAAATAATGAACTCAGTAAGGCCACCCTGCCCTTATTCTACTATTAGGGCTGCAGGTCTCAGTCTCTTACAAGCAGGAAGACTTCCATCAGCTTCCTCACTCACTCATTCATTAAGACTGAGAAAGAACCAAAACTTCAAACATGAAGACAGATTTGATACTGCCTGATTGGTTTTCAGAAGGAAGTGCTACAGCCTAGAGTTTCAAGTTACTGACTCTCTGAGGCCTTGTTTCCTGACAGAAAACGCTGAAATGAGTGTCCTGATAGCCTGTGGGTACAGCAGGGACCTAATTAACTTCTTCAGAGATGTTCAAGTCTTCCAGGAGCGTTAGACAGGTTTGCTAAAAGGTGAAAATTAATTTATGCTGTAAATGACTCTCTATTCTCCCAGAGGTTGGCACTAAGTCCCTGAGCCTCTCAAACATTTTTTTCATTATTCATTCATTTTCAAGGACACAAGAGATTCTATGAATGTTTGAGCTCTGATTCCAAGATAATCAGTCACTTTCCCATAAGTGCCATTCCAATGCAAGGCTCCTCCTTGAAGAAGGAACTCATGAACTTTTCTACATCAGTTTCCATGTCATGCATCTACCTAATGATAAACCTACTTAAGGTTCTTATTTAGAGATCACACAAAATGTCTGGCTCTGGTCCCTGGGGTTCTAGAAGATCTAAAAGCCAGAACAAGGCTGACACTGCTATTAACTCAACCCAAAGGTTAAACAGGAAAGTCAAATTTCCAATCTGTTCAGACAATATAGCCTGCTGGAAACACAAGACGTGGGTTGTTCCTCCTCAAAATAATTACCAGGGAAAAACGTTTCATCTCAACTGCCTTGCTGGTGGAATTGTGAGACTATTCCATTACTTCACAAAATTCATAGTGCTTCCATACTAGAATTAATTCTGGAATCCAAAACTGTTGGCAAGAATGTTCTCCTAGACATAATACAAAATCTAGACCTCGGTGTTTCGCCAAACTTTTTCATGACACGTATAGAATATAGGAAATGATAATGACACCTTGATATATGACACCTTGGGGTGAGCAGAGGTGGTTGCTGAGGCTAGAGCAAGCCCAGGCATCACTCGGCTGCACCTGCGCTGAGTGCACCCACATCTGGGTCAGCTTAACTCACATGGCATGGCAAGCAGTAGGGAGACCTGGCCAGGAAAATAGAATTGACAAGAGGGGAATGTGGCTAAATTCACCTTCCAACCCAGTCCACTGCTAATCCATCTGGCTGCATTATGTATTTCAGGTTCAGGTTAACCTTTGACACAAGATTATTAGTACCGGATTCAAAGTTGGGGATGTAGGCACGTTTAATAGCACCAAATTCGGAACCATGTCCTAGCACAGTGTAATATATGACACCTGCAAAGCAAGAAACACAATTGAGTTTCATGTTAAGAACACCACGGAAGGGAGGAACTGGGGTCTAATCAGGTGAACTATTGTTCCTTCACTGACATCTCTACTTCCTTATTGTTCCTATCAGACTAGTACTTCAATTACACATATCTCAAACCTCAACACATTATACTTGAGCTACTAGCTACAAATATTCAACTGGCAGCTTATTGATACTGACGTAGCTGTCTCTATTTCAAGGTAACTAGTGGACAGCAAGCACTTAAAAAGCAAAGGAAGACTATGGCTTTTAAGGCATATACTTTCCTAGGTATTTGCCATTCTTGAAAAGTTGATTGTATTGTGTAAGTGTGAAGACACAACCATAAGGAATCTTGCATTGTTATTGATAGTTTGCCAAGCATTTTCACGTGTTATCTCATTTGATCTTCAAAAGAACTCTCAGAGGTAGTCAGGCAGACAATACTCTTCTTATTTTACAGATAAGAAATGGAGAACCAGAGAATTGTTACAATTATTTAAGGTCATAAAGCTTAATAGATGAGGGAAACAGGCATAGAAGATGAGTTTTCTGGTTCCTGCCCCATTACCGTCTCCCACACCGCTCACAAAGCCAACAGAGACTCAACAATAAACATTTTTCATATTTTCTCATATTTTCACTCATTGAACTAAATTCCTAAAGCAACCATCATACACACTGTACTAGATGTTGGATCAGATGCTAGGCATGTGGAGTTGAATTAGATTTAATTCTGTCTCCAAAGAGCGCATGGTTGAGGTACAGGGAGCAAATTACATGGATAGCTATAACTCAACATAACATGTGCTTTAGTAAAAGCATACATAAGACACTAAGGCTCATGCGTGAGCACTTATGGAACTGTGCCCAGGAAGGATGATAGAAAATGTCAAATGAGGTGACATTTGAACTGAGTAGAAATTTGAGTTTGAGTATAAATTTTGAAGGGTACAGTGATAGGGAAAAACAATCCCTGCCTGAACAAAGACAAAGAGATATGAGGTGGTCCTGAAAGGATAATCCCCAGAGATGGAAGAAGGTTTGGCTAAAAGTTGACAAAGTTTGGCTGGGACCCATGGTCATGCTAAGGTGTTCAGAACACGCTGGATAGGAGGAGCTCCCTCTTCCATTCATGCAACAAAATTCACTCTTGAAAAATAGATCCCCCCAAAGTTTAACACCTTATAATTCAATTAACATCAGTGGCAGATGCCAAAGTTCATACTTACTGAGACCTATGCCCTCGGGATCCCAATCATAATCAATAGCCTGAATACGTTCCTCGCCTTCAAGATAATCTGAGAACTTCTCAGATGAGAGATTATATTTTCGAATTCGCACATTTTCAGGCAGTAGCAACAAAGGAGGATTACCTGTAAATAAGACAAGGGCTGCTTTACCTATTTGAATTCTATCTGAACTCTTTTTAATATAAAGTAGATATAAAATAGCAGGTATCTTCCCACCTTTAAAAAAGTAAGCTTTTATAGAAATTTGACTCTCTGTGCTCATAGTAGAACTAACTATCCAACTGGCCTGCCAGACCTGTGACAGTAGACACTCTTATCTCCATTTTCAGGTGGAAAACTAATATTTCCTTTAGGGATGCTATCAGTTCTTTATTCCTATCCTCTGTGGGTGATGATTTGGAACAGGGCCAAGACTGAGACCACCCTAGACAAGGTCCTCTTTTCCATTGATTTTTTTCTTTATTCACTGATAATAAAATACACAAGACTGTAGACAATCTCACAGAAGAAATACATTATGTATAGCATTACTAAAAGTTTACCAGGAAGTCCTCATTCCTTATCCTTTACTGACAGAATTTATGATTGTTTTAGCAGGTAATCAGCTCCAGGACTCAATTTATCTTCCAGCTAATGACAAAAACAGCTTGTTCTTGTTCTTACCCAAAGCAGCTACTTCAATGGTGACTCATCTCGAGGTGCATTATCTAGAATTTTAAAATTTAGTTTGCTTGCAATAATGTCAATCGAATCTCATTTAAGTCACTTTTGAAAGTTTACTTTATATATTTCCTGTGTCCTGACATTGTGTTTTATATGATGAGAATTTATTTCAGTCATCTCCCTAGTTAAACAACTTGAACATTTTTTTTAATTTACTGCCTAATTGCCAGACCGTTTGCTCAAATGACTTTATTCTAGTTTTCATTCAATGTCATAAATGTTTGGGGGGTAAAATATTTAAGTATGCTAATCAAATGTATATTTTAAAAGCCCAATTTGTAAGAAGAAATTGAACAGCCATTTTAACCTTAATTTGCAAAATAAAATGTGATTTCTGTTCTTTAAACTCCAGTACAAACTTCAAATTCAAATCTGTAAGACTCATAAAGACCTATACCCTTTGACGGGGACATGCTGATTTAGGTCATTCCTCTAGAAATTTGGACTATATATATTATACTTCTGCCACACAGTCTTTCTCTTTTGTCATTTCTAACACTTATTACTGCCTTCTATCAGGCCTGACTCTCAGATACTGGCAATAACCTAAAATGTAGAACAAACAGTTGAAGTTATAAATGAGCCAGACTTTTTCTGTCTATGATCAGCAGCCCATGAACAGTAAAAAAAGATTTATCAACAGAATGTCCTTCATTTCCCCCAACTGAATGTGGCTACTTTTTGTCAACCATCTTGAATTACAGGGTTGTCAAACCTTGGTCTTGGAATGCAAGCTGGGGGGCTTCACTAATTTCCTCCCACTGACCACCTTCCTATAGACAAGCTTTTGTTGTGTGAATATTCTGTAAAGTTGGACATTCTGGACATCTTGTCCGCATTTTGAAGTTTTTATCAAGGTGGACAGGAGACTAATCCCAGAATAATAAATCATACCTGACTCTCATTTTAATTCCTAAGTATTTGTTTTGGGATTGCAGTTATTGTTTTAATTTGGCAGGAAAGGTGAGAGGAGAGTAAATGAGTGTTGGAAGAGAAGTAGCTGGTGAATTAAAAATAAGACTGAAAGCCTGAAGCTTATTTTCTGGTATATTGTACTCATCGGCGTTTATTCGATTGATTAATCCCAGCAGAACCCAGCATACCATTAGCTGCGCATCGTTTTCCATACTGGTCACTCACAGACTGGAAGCCTTCAGCACAGGAACACTCGTAACTTCCTTTGGTATTTTGGCATTTCTGGGGACAAACCCCAAATTGCTCACATTCGTTGATGTCTGTAGATACAATAAAAGCAAACATGCACCATCTGTGCCCAGCCATTCTTTAGAGGCCCTGCTTCTGTTTACATCCATGCTCATAAGCAATGAGGACTGAGAAAGCTGCAGATGAAAATAGGCGATGGCACCATCATTTATGGAACACTTGCTAAGCGTCAGATGTGGTTTCATCCACCTCTCCTGTTTTTTCCTCATGTAATACTCCAGAATGACTCTGCAATATGGATCATTCCTAAACCCAAAGTCCCATAGCTAGGAAGCAATGAACACAAGGTTCAACTGCAACAGTGCAGCTCTCCAATAGCGGAACAAAATTTGCACTTTTGGAAAGCCGTTGTGTATTGGTGTGGTTTGGGTCCTGTTCCCTTACCCTACCTAGCTTCAGGAAAGAGACTCATTCATTTGATTTTTTTAATTGAGTTCTCAAGCTTCAGCTTCCAAAAGAACTGTCCCAATCATCTGAATATGATACATCGTGAGTTAGAAACAGGAAATTCAAGTAAGGAAAGACACTTAAAATCATACTCAATCCTTATCATCTTGATAAGCTACCTTCTAACTCCATACCTCAGAACTCACTTATGCCTGGCATAAGTAGATATGTAACAAACATATGTTGTGGACTTTGATGAAGAAAATAAAATTTGTGTTTAAAGAAAATTGATCTCCCACACTGATACAATAAGCAGTCATTCATCATTACTGAAGCCATTGTAAATCTTATCAGTTCAGCAGACATTGCTAAGGATGAGCTATCTGCCTGGCCATCTGTGAGGGATTGGCAAGATAGTGTGGAAAAAAAGTAATCAGCATCCCTGAGTGTTATTTTTTTCATGACCCAAGAAATTAATGAGCAAAATCTTAACATCTATCATCATTGGTTATATACATCATAAATACACAGTTTATATCCTCAGAACTGATCATCACCCTCTAAGAGTAAAATTATTGGTGTATTTAAATATCTTAATGAGCTAGAACCAAGAGTTTGGCCCCTTTTTCGTAATTTTTTTTAAACATTTATTTATTTTTGAGAGACAGAGAGAGACAGATCATGAGGGGCAGAGACAGAGGGACACACAGAATCGGAAGCAGGCTCCAGGCTCTGAGCTGTCAGCACAGAGCCTGACACAGGGCTTGAACCCACGAAAACTGTGAGATCATGACCTGAGCCGAAGTCGGACACTCAACCAACTGAGCCACCCAGGCGCCCCAAGTTTGGCCCTATTAAGGGAATTAAACAGGGGTTTAAAAAAAGGGAATGAGTGGAGAACCTAAGAAGTAGGAATTGGAGGAAATATACTCTACCATCACAGGAGTTTCTGTCCAAAATACTGGCTTTGAATCCAGGTCTACAGGAGCAGATAAAGCCTCCTTCACTTAACTGGGTACAATTATGTTCACATAGATTCTCTGCACATGATCTTTCTTTTCCTGTATCTGGAAAAACAATCTTAGTGTTACAAATGAAAGTTATAAACACTTATCTATAGCCTATTATAGGACATCTCAAATGGCCCCTTTCCCTAAGTCTTTGTAGAGGATTGAGGGCCCCTCTACTCAAATATTTGGTAACACCCTGACTGCCATTTATACAACTGTATATAATGTTAGATTCTTAAGGTAATTTTCCCATTTTGCTCAGCACTGCCAGGCTTACCCAAAGGGCATCCAATTCCAGAGTCCAGAACTATGAAGTCAGGGGCTCTTTACAACTGTAACCATCTGTTCTGCTAATATATATATATATTAGATATGTAATATCTGATATATATTAGGATTAAGACATATGTAATATATATCCTATTATATGTATATTAAAGGACACTAATATAGTTTAGAGCAATAAAACAAATAGGAGGAAATTATAAAGTTATAAGAAGACCAACTGAGATATGTATACACATATATATCAAGTGTGGGCCAGAGTGCAGTAATATGCATGTAGTTATAAGTCATACAACTACTATCAGAACCATAAAGTGGCCTGCATGGAAAGGAATTTTGCAACAACCTGTATGAACCCAGGACTTTAAAAATATTCATACCTTATCATCCAATTATTCCATGTTAATACATTTTCTTTCAAAAAGAAATAAAAATGTGTGCTATGATTTGAGGATTAAAAATTATTGATAATACAATTTTGAAAACAACTTGAACAACTATGGTATACTGTATGCACCCAATGATGCACTATCTTATGTAATGCTAAAACAGAAAAACTCTGGGACTTACACTATGGCATGTTATCAACTGAAGAGTCATTCTTGTTTCAGAGATGTTAAAATGTGAAAATAAACATGCATCTTAGAATCAATGAGTCATGATTATCTATGAGTCATGATGGATTGTTAGGCAATCATTCAAATTCATGATTTCAAATGATACTCTGACATGGGAAAGTATAACAAAAATGGAGGGAAATATTGTAACACTAAAAAGACTATATATCTTTAATTTTTTAATATTAATAATTTTTGCACATACATGTGCAAAAAGACAACAGAAGTACATCAAACTTTAAGATTATTCTCTTTCAGTTATAGGATTCATGTGATATTTACTTTTGATTGTTAATTTATTTCCTGGATTTTATAGCTATCATAATACAAAAAAAAAATTCAACAATAGTTCAAATTTATAGGGGTCATGTGAATGACCCTTGTTATCCCTACTGTTCTGGGGTCCAGATACTCCAGGGAAGATTTTTAATAGCTCATACTCCATCCTCACACTTCATTGTTCCTCATTGCCCTGAATTCTCGTCTCTGCCAATATTTGTCAAAGCCACTTGGCTTTCATTTTTCTATTATTGTAACTTTGTGTCTTTTGTCCTGAGTCTCCAACTACCCTCAAACCCAGGTCTTACAGGGAAGCTGACAAAGATGAACATACCTAGTGAGTGACAATGAGAGACAAGGGGTGGGAAGGGCGGTGGAGATCTCCACAAAGGATTCAATCTTTATCTGCCTTTCAAATGAAATATCTCTTGGTCACAGGCTTCTGAATGGTTTAGCCAAAGAGATTGTGGTATCTCCTGGCTCAATCCTTTTAAAGCAAAATAGATGTGTATCTATCTGCCTTCTCCAGTAGATAATGAGAGTCCCTTAGGGTAAAATAACTATAAGCATATGAGTGAGATTTGAAAAACATCAAGTTCAAAAAAGAAAAATAATCACAAAACAAAGCACCATAGTACTCAATAGAATGCTGTCATTGAAGTTCATACCTTAAAGCTAAGCAGAGAAATAGCAAGTCAATCTACCTTTATAATTACATAAATATTTGCAACCTGGGGCTAATTATTTTCTTTATACGTCGATGATGCTAGAAAAACACTAACATCTTTCTTTCTTGATTGTAAAATATTTTTCAAAAAGCAAACATGTGCCCTGAACACCTCAAGGATCCTGTTTAAAATGAAAAGGATTGCTTCTCGGCCTTTTGGCCAAGATCAAGTATAAAATTAAAAAGAGAAGGAGGAAGAAGAGGAGAAAGGGAAAAGAAAAAACAGGCAAGTAGATTAGTAGCACCCAAGAACTGGTTATTTTAAATAAGAATTCTATGTCTTAAATTATTGACCACAGCAGTAAGACTGAATTCGTTATCACATATCCACTTAATACCAAATAAATAAATAAATAAATAAATAAATAAATAAATAAATAAAAATGTTGCTTCCAAACCTAAATTAATGCTTATGCTACTTACTTCTTTTAAATAAACCCTGCCTTTAATCTAATGTCTTTTCAATTAAAAGTACTGTGGTCTATTGTATGCCTTCTACATGGCAATTAAAGGAGGAACTAATGTTTGACCCATGCCCAACTTGGAAATACTCCAAACTCCTGGAACAGTTCACATCAGTTGTAGCATCAAGTCTAGACTCAAATCTAATTTTGCAAATCCTGTAATGTTCATGCTTTTTAAAATATTTCAAGTCACATTGTTATGTCAAAAACTCCAAGTCCCGCTAGGAAAGTGTGTGAAATAAAACACTCCTTTTACCCTCCTTTGTAACTCACACAGGAGAAAATTTACCAGGATATCCTTGGGATGCCTCAGGAAAGAGCATTTAAAGCCCAAGAAGTTGAAAGCTTGTGGAGCTAACTAAGATTACTAAATTATGAGCCCCTACAGTTTGAAGAACTTTTTTTCCTATGAAGAAACTGAGGCCTGGAGAGGTCCGTTGATGATCAAAGGGGCACAGTTAGTGGCAGAGCAAACTAGAGGCCTTGTCAGGACTCACAGGACTATTCGAATCCTGCCTCTGCCACTCTGTGTGACCTCAAGCAACTTCCTAAAGCTCTCTGAGATTTATTATAGATAGACATAATAATAGCAACACAATGGGCATTGCTTGAGTGCCAAATTAGATAATGTATGTGCATGGATTTCATAAGAGCTCTAAAGGACTAAAACATGTCATTCCAACATTTCCATCACAATATTGAACTAGAACCACCCGTTGGTTGTGTTCATCATTCTTTTCCTACACAAAGTCCTCTCTCCTCTTTAACAATAATAATAAGTGTTCCTTCCAAGGCCCCCTGTGACATCCCCATCTTTATCAACTTCTCTTAGCTTTACCCCTAAGCGACAAAGAATTCTGCATTTGGCTTATGGTCAAAAACTATGCAGACTCATAAACAAAAAACATAGCTTGAAGGTGATGAGAGGCACCTTGTTAACTGGAAGGAGGATGTGCTCTGCAGTTAGGTAGGTCAGAGTTGAAATTCCTGCTCAGTCTCTTAATGGCAAAAAGACATGGCCAGTTTTTTTTTTTAAACCTGTAAGCCAGTTTCCTCATTAAAAACAAAAAAAAAAAATTGAGGGAGAGACTAATACCTAGGTCATTGGATTATTATAAGGATGAAAGAAGATAATCCATGTAGTGTTTAGCACAATGTCTGGTACAGAGTAAATGTTCCATAACTGGTAGTGATGAGCTTGACTGCAGTTCAGAGCACAAAGTAAATTCAAAAGAACTATGTGGTTATCATCTACTTTATGTTACTGCAAGCTTTTATTAGGTAAACCTGAGTTACTCCAATGAACTACAGAAATAAATATTTACTTACTGCAACCTGTTTCATCAAAATGGTTACCACAGTCATCGACATCATCGCATACAAGATGCTGTGAAATGCAGTGTCCATTGCTGCACTTAAATTCATCTTCTTTACAAGGTCTAGAGGTCGAAGCTACACCTGCAATTTAAGAACAAAAGTTCAAGTTGAAGTCGAAACATCCTCTTCTGTGGAACAAGATGCTTTCCTCTGTGGCAAAGAGAGTTACTGCTCACAAATAAGCCTGTGATTCTCTACATTTCCCAGTCTCCCGTGCAGCTATGTTGGGACCACATGATTTGTTCTGGCCAATGGGCTACGAGTAGGAAGTGATTTAGGTCCCTGCTAGACTGAAACAAATAAAGCCCATGTGCCTCTTTGCTTTGACAACCTGGGAAGCCATGTGTTTCAGGTGGCCTAGCTACAAGATGGAGGAGGGCTGGCCAATCTATACCAGCCTTTACCTGGGTGAGAACTAAGTCTTCATTAGGTCTCACTGCTGAGAGTTTGAAATTTGTTGGGTGCAGTAGCTAGTATCAATTACCCTATATATACCCTATGTATATAGTACATATATATATATATATAGTACTTCCATAATAAAAACCGAAATTATTTGGCACTGCCTTCATAGTCAGGAGGTAAACAATGAGGAAAGTGATACTGGAGGCAGGAAAGATGGAGACCCATATTATGCAACGGCAAAACATCTGGTAAAAGTGTGACTTGGGAAAAAATGGAAGGCAGACCAACTGTTTAATGACCATGTCAATCTATGGAAAGAGGTTAGAAAACAGGATGTTAGTACTGTGCATTCCTAACCATTACCCGAGTTGGACGAGATAGTATTAAGACAGAGAAAAGCTCAGGGAAGAACCAGTTGGTTTATAAGCAGAAATGAAATAAAGTCTAGAAATTTGATGCATGGGAAAAGCTGACTGCATTTAAGTAAGATTCTGATGCTTAGAAGGCATTGCGACTAAAAGACCCAAGAAAATCTCTGACTTGGATGAAATGACAGCCCATCTATTTTTCGAGATGGCCTGAAAGTAACTGGTGATCATTTGAAACAAAGGCACAGGGGAAAACAAAGCAAAAAAAAGAAAGCAGATTCAAAACTATATCTCAAAAGTGAGGTTATTTACTTGTAGAACTGACTGGAATCAAATATACAAAAAGCCTGTCAATTTCCAGAGAAATATATGACCAAACAAACCAAACTACTGTGACCGAAACTCTAAAAAAGCCTTGGCGCCTGCAATCTTCTACAAGCAGGGAGTGGCTGAAAGCTGTTCAGCTCCTAAAAGGAGCTTATTCTCCTGTTCCCTCTTCAGTTCAAGAGGGGAAAAAGACAGGGGCGCCTGGGTGGCTTAGTCGGTTAAGCGTCCAACTTTCACTTGGGTCATGATCTCACGGTTCGTGGGTTGGAGCCCCACGTCGGGCTCTGTGCTGACTGCCAGCTCAGAGCCTGGAGCCTGTTTCAGAGTCTGTCACTCCCTCTCTCTCTGACCCTCCCCTGCTCACGCTGTCTTTCTCTCTCCTAGAAATAAATAAAAAAACATTAAAAAAAAAAAAGAGGGGAAAAAGACAAGAAGATACTTCCAAAGGGTGGAGTCAGAGACAATGAGGGGCAGTACACACAGGTTCTCTTCTCAGAGCAGAGCCACGGCCTCATCAGTGAACCTCCTCTGCTCCCCACTGTAGTGACCCTCGCAAAGTCTGCATAGGGTGACCATACCATTGAGAGTAAAAGGGCACTGTTAATAATTCTACCAGAGCAACAGACATAAATCAGGACGGTCCTGCACTAACATGTGTTACCCAAGCAGCCCATTGGTGTTTCAGAATTGCTACAGACTGGTGAATGCGGTGGGTCTCTAATTCTTTCTTGCCCAATGGGAATCTTTATTTCTATTATGCTTCCCCTGATCCACCACTATCTGTTGGGGGCAGGGGGACACAAATAAAACTTATTTTTGGACCAAGAGGAACTGAATTTGGAATTGACAGCAGGGCTACATCTCCTGGATTTCAGTTGCTGAATGGTACTATGAGTCACGTCTCTTGGGGGAGGTTAAGGGCGTTCTATGCATGGGAAGAAATATGCAAATAGATTTTTAGTGACATAAAGGTGAACTGTGGTAGAAACCACTGGTATTCATTAAATATCCATGCACTTCCCTGGATTTCCCATTCTCTCTTGCAGTTAGATTGGGGCCATGTGACCAGTTCCAGGCAAATGACCACAAGAACAAGTAACATCTATCACTTCCATGCGCAGGAAATTTCTCTCTTCCTCCTGCCTCTTTTCTCTCCTCCATTTCTCTCTTCTCCTGCCTCGGCAACCTTGAAGACTATGTGTTTTAGGTGGCATAATTACAGGACACAGAACTGCCTGACCTTCGTTGAACTTTAAATCAAATTTTCAGCCATCGAAATTTGCAGTTTATCTATTGGGATGGCAAGCCATGGTTCCTTTAACTCACAACATATACTCTTTGGGAAGAGTAAGTTTACAGCCCCTTTTATCCATTTTCAGATTTGACCTTGTGCTGTAATGGTCTTGATCCATTTGAAAAATGGCATTAACAGTAAGGGAAATGGAAAGAGAAAGGGGGAAGAGGGAAACGTGCTCAAAATTTTTTAAATGCTTTATTTCTGGGTTTTCATCCTTTTGTGCTCAACCTCAAATAAACATAGTAACAATGTTATAACCATAAGTTCACTTCTGCCAAAAAACCCCCCAAAAAACATAAAATGTGTATAAATAGAGCGCTACAATAGTGTCCGTGTCCTCACCAATGTCCCCTCCAGGATGAGAGCTCGCAGTGAGCATTCCAAGGTCACATCAATACAAGGGATGGAAAATAGAAAAATTAGCCATTTATCTCAATTTTCTCAAATAGTATCCTTTAAGGAAAAAAGAGTAATTGGAGTCTGGGGAAATCATTTTCCTCGCTGACTTTATCGCAAGTAAAATACCCCCCAAATTAATCAACTCTCCCCTTCAATGAATAGATTTTAAATCATTCTCAAAATGGGGAAGCACAGTTTTTTTTCAGTATCTTAAAACATTAAATGCAGCCAGTTTGAAACTTCGATCTTAAAATAATCCCTTATTTTTCTCTTCTGGGAAATGAATTTTCATTTTAAAGATACATATAAGATGAGCTCTGTTGACACCAGGGCTGCCTTATTTTACACGATCTTTTCAGTTGGTCATTGAGAAGTTCACATGCCTAGATTAACAAGCAGTTACTCTAGGCTAAAAAATGACTAAACCTCATTTCTTTTAAACAAATAAACCATTAATTTGTGAAGTGTTGAGTCAACCAGCAGTTAGTGTTTGTTCTCATTTTCTTAAGGGAAAAAAAGGGGGGGTAGCTTGTTGAATATTTAAACAAAGACTAAAAAAACTAAGGGACTTGCTCAAATGAGACAGGAATAAGTGGAGAGGAATGCATCTGAGTAACAGTAGGTTTATACAGTCTGTAAACAACTGTTAACAGAGATCCACAGTCATACGTATAGCTCGAGCCTCTACAGAATGAACTGAAATCCCAGAGATACATTTTGCAAACTGCAGATAATTTGGGGCCCTTCGTTTTTCCTTCTTTTTCACTTTTGCTTACACTGCTCCTCTTTCTCATCACTCCCGTCGCCACAGTCATCCACATGGTTGCACAGCTCGTGCTTATAAATGCAGCGATTGTTGTCACATCGGAACCGGAATGGTGAATCACAGGAAACATCCACTGAGAAAGGAAAGATGGAAAAACACAAGTACCCATTAAGAGTAGAACGAATCAGTATCTAAAATGCTCCCAGGCCAGCACTGGTCTGTCTGGCTTCATTCATCCATTCATTTGTTCATTCAATTAACCAATCGACAAAATACATCTTGACTCTCAAGTACCCACCACAGCACTGTGCTATGAGCCAGATACAAGGCCAAACAAAAAAAACACAGTCCTGGGGCACCCGGGCGGCTCAGTTGGTTAAGGGTCCGACTTCAGCTCAGAGTCCGACTGATGTCACAGGTTTTGAGTTTGAGCCCCTCATCAGGTTCCTTCCTCACTGGCAGTGTGGAGGCTGCTTGGGATTCTCCCTTTCTCTTCTCTCTCTGTTCCTCCCTCAGTTGCTTACTCTCTCAGATAAATAAATAAACTTTAAAAAAGAAAGACACAATCCTTGTCCTTGTGAGCCACAAACTAGATGTGCTATGACAGCATCTACTGGGGAGACCTGACAGGGATCTGGGTGAGGAGGGATCAGAAGAGACTTCACTTGGGAAGGCCCTGAGTCAGGAAGGACCATGGCAGGTATTTGAACCTGAATCAAAACCTCTGTCTCCAAAGCACGAATGAGGGAGACAGTGACAACCATGAAGCTGGAGAGGCTGGCAGGGCCCTACACAAACTCTTAGCAAGGAGGCCACTGTTCGCCCCTCTGACTGAATTCCTTCTGGTGAATTCCTTCACCGCTTACATTAAAGTTGCAATATCATATTTGAACCCTGACTCATTTTGTTGTCCAGAGTTAGACATCTAACTGATGTTTATGCACTTGTGAGGAACCCAAAGGTAGAACCCAGGTCCCTTACTTGTTTAGTAAAGGGGTGTGGTCTTCTGTGCATGTACCCAGAATTGGGTAAACTCAATACACTTGTGTTCTTCTTCTACATGGAAGGCTTCGGCTGTTTGATTTTCCTTCTGCCTTTGCACCACACACAGGAGCAAAAGGAGAAACTTAGTAATAAGGTTGGTTGGGGGGTGCGGGGTCACATCCAATAGCTGATTCTTGGGAAGTGTAGTTAATACTTATTTGAGTTTATTTATTTTGGAGGAAAGAGAGAGAGCAGTGCAAGCAGGGGAGGGGAAGAGAGAGGGAGAGAGGGAATCCCAAGCAGGTTACTTTTTCATGTGGCCGTGTCTCTGCCTCTCCAAAGTTTAATTTTACTGGCTATGGGCACTTGATCTCATAGAGGGAGCAACTTCCTAAGGACTTCTTTGAAAGGTAAACATACTTTTCAAGATCCATCAAGTTAAAAGCAAAACAAAACATGCTTAGTTACTAACAGAAAAGAGATGGCAAGAAAAATGTTGAGATGCCACTGTGAAAATATAATGTATCTTAATTAAATTTCTCTGAAGAGAAGGAAGTACTCTGACGCAGCATTTTTGTCAAATCCATGGGCTAAAAATGAAGTGATGAATGTTTGCCTATGTTCCAAATATAGAATGAGGGAAGAAGACCAAGTAAAATCACAGTGATGCCGCTCATGCATCCAGTGTTCAAAAATTGTCCAACTGCTCCACATGCTCCACATAAGAAATGCTGAGATTTTGCCAGATAACACCACTCCCATACGCGCCCTTTATCTCCCTCTTACAGCACAGGTGGAGTTCTTCGTCAGAACCATCGCCACAGTCATTATCACCATCACATTTCCATGATGACCTGATACAAACATGGTTTTTACATTCGAACATGGTAGCCGAACAATATGCACCATTGGGGAAGCGAGTGGCTGTTGGAGGGGAGGAGACAAATTCCAATTATTAGAAAAAGCACTAGTTTTGAAAAGTTAGCTTCCATTTGTCCTTTAGCCCTTTCCATTATAGCCTGTTCTTCCTCATTCATCAGGATGCACTATTGCCGTCTACTGTCAGAAATTATGGGGGAACATTTCTTAAGGACAGTTGTCCAATCCCAGTATTCAAAGACGTGAGTCATTCTGTGGATAGCCCTGGACTTTTTCTTTAGAGGCAAGGGCCACTCTTCAGCTGTGTCAGTACTGGCTTTACTCATCATCCATTCATATAGTTTTTTTGAAGTCAGGTTTCAAGATGTGGCAACCACATCAACAATATTCATCATAGACAATCAACAATTAATACTCATTCAGTGATTCATAAAGACTAAACTGTGAATGATCTTAATGGCTTTCATTTTAAAGAACTTTTTTATGTCATCATGCAAGTTAGAAAAATGTTAATGCTGTAAATTCAGCATGTTCTACATTCTCCAAGTTCTTTATACTCATTTATTCATTGTTCGAACATTCTTGTTTACCTGTGTTCTTTTCCAATTAATGATTTGTGATACTCTGGTTTCTCTTCAGACTGTATAAATCTTTCACCTTTCACCAATTAATGATTTGTGTCAGAGTTGATAATATGTAAGTATTTTTCTTAGCACAGATATTTACTATATTTTCTATTTAAAATATTGTTAGTGAAATCCACCTGAATGACTATTATGAACTATTTGGATATAGTGACTCAAATCCCAAGGGAAATGATAATGATCAATGAATGCACTGATAGATAATCAATGAATGCACAGAAAATCCCCATGGCCTTCTCATCAAAGAAGTGGTGGCTGATGAAGAGGTGGGGTCTAATAGGCCACATCTGTACATTTCAGATAAACAGTTTCCCAGGTGCCTAGAAGCTTACGACAGGTGGCTTCGTCAGAGGCATCCAGACAGTCGGCGGTTCCATCACATTTCGATTGTTCAGGCACACAGTGTCCGCTCTGACACTGAAAATATCCGGGTTGGCAGGTCTTCAACTCTGAAGAGAGACCACTGTCATTCCAGAAGGCCTTGCTGTTCTCAGACAAGTCCATGTAATATAGTAAGTACTTCATCACATTCCTATCCACACCTTGTTGAGTGGCTCACAGCAAACGCACAACTTGTGGTTAACGAATGAATAAATGTTCAAAAAATACACTTTTCCCACTCAACAACATATGGAGATGGAAATACCTATCTTTCCTCTGTTAAACGATCTCCATCTTTTCTCTCCCAAATCAGAATTCCCAGACCCAAACCTTAATGAGTAAAGAGCTGTAAAAAAAAAAAAAAAATCAGAAAAATCGGATTCCTATTCTAACGCTCTGACTTCTACACCACAGAGCTACAGTAATACATCCCTTAGGGTCACTATCTGGGGAACAGCAGGATAAATAAATGTATTTGTTGTCATTTATAAGGACAATGCAGACTGAAGTTTGCTCCTAGGAAATGATTAGGTTAAAATGAGATTTTTAAAAATTTCTTGCCATTTTCCCCTTTTATTAATCAAGACTGCTGTAAGTTAAGAATAAAGCCTAGAAAATGCAGAGCAGAAAGTACTCTGTTATGCTAAGGTTTATATGTTACCTAAATTACACAAGAATTGTTTTACCCTGAAAAACCATATAAACTCTCATTTGAAGCCCCTACTTCTGTCAACAATGCTGACCCTAGTACTACACCCCAGGGTAAGCCTCTCAAAGAGCTCTGACAGTTACCACAGTCTCGCTCATCTGAGTTGTCTCCACAGTCATTGGTGTGGTCACAGACCCATCGAGAGGGGATACAGCTTTGATCATCACATCGAAATTCACTTTCTGAGCACTCCCGGGGGACTGAAAAGGAAAGCCACACAGCCATCAGTGGGGACAAGAATCACACAAAGAAGACGGACTTCTGAGTACCCTCACTGTACCAGGCACTCCCATGTCCCAAGTCCTAGCCATCTTCTTGGTCAGGCCAACTATATGCCCTCCAAAACTAAACCTTCTAACTCACTTTTAAGAATATAAAGAATGACCTTTATTAAGAGGTTTGTTCAAAAGTGATTTAATCTTAAGATAATTCTTGATTTCATGATAGTCTAGATAACATCCTGTGGAATTAAACATGAACTTTCTCATATTTAAAATTCCAGTGGGATCACACTTTTTAGTCAATTGATATTTGCAGGTGCAATCAGCATTCTAATTCTCTCAATTGCCTATGGCAAATGGTGATCACTTCTTATTTCGAAAAGGTGACCAAAGTTAGAATATATTCCATATTATAGTTTACCTGGCTGGCTCAGTCGGTGGAGCATATGACTCTTGATCTCAGGGTTGTGAGTTCAAGCCCCAAATTGAGTGTAAGGCTACTTTTAAAAAAAAGAATGCTTTCCATATTAGTTGATCTGAAATTGACATATATCATGAATCACTAACATATGTTCAGGGCAGGGTCTCCTTAAAGCTGTTTTCAGAATACATCCAGTTATTCAAGACTGACTATCTAGTTTGATGTGATCCACATCTTCGGCTTCCTTTTCTTGACCTCTTATTCAATTCTTTGTAGTTACCACCTTCACTGGGAGAGAGGAACTAAAACCTGACCTGTTAGCCTTCCTAAAATAGTACACTATTCCAGGAGGGATGACAATCCTAAATACATGATCTCTTTCCACTGCTATTAAGGCCATTTTGGTGCAAGTGCTTAAGAAGCAAGGTCTTTGAGTTAGTGCCTTTCCTTCCTGAACTTCTCTTCACTCTGATTGGTTTCTTTGTATTCTATTTATCTTGTTATATTTGTCCTTTATTTAAGTCACCTCAAGTTCTTTGTAGAAAAAATGTTAGATATAAATAAATTTAACAAACAAAACACATATTTGGGTAAACATCCTTCTCCCAAAATTTCATTATAAGCATCTTAAAGGGAGATGCTTATGTCCTTAGCCAAAGAAAAAGTAGAAACGTAGCAGTTAGCGGAAAGCAAGAGATTAGGTCATTGTCATCCTACCCATCGAGGAATAATGTCATAGACAACGAAGTTATGGACAGAGAACAAACATCACAGCTCTAGTGGCACATGAAGATGTGCCTGAACCCTAGAACCCTGAACACTCACCGCAGTTTTCCTCATCTGAGTTATCTCCACAGTCATTGTGCCCGTCACATCTCCAGCGAAGAGGGATGCAGTGGTGGTTGTTACAGCGGAATTCTCCCAAAGGTTTGCACGTCCTCTCCTCTACAAAGTACAGTTATTGCCAAGACTTCAGAAGCCAGAGGTCAAGAAATGCCAAAGTAGTACAGGCTTTCTTGCGGGACAATCTGAGAATTATGCTACCATAGACTCAAAGCTCCCAGAGAGAGGAATGCCAGCAACATTCTATCAATATCCCTTTTTTGGCTGTCCTGAACCTATCCTACTTAAACCTTAAATAGCTGTAAACTAGATTCATTCTCTTTTCTAGACACTGCTCAAAAAAATGAACTGATATCTGGCTTGTAAATTTGCAACAAAGGCCTGGAAAGGAAGATTAAGTGATGCTACCATCTAATAGAACATTTCCATCTCGTTGCCTTCAGTTGATTAAATTCAGTGTTATTAAATTCAGTGTTAACCCATTATCTTCCGTACTCTCTTCCAACTAAACCTAGCCCATGCACTCACAGACACGGCTTCAAGTGAAACCATATGGCTAATCTTGACAGATTCTATTAATTCATTGGGTCTTTTGTCCGTAAGTTCTTTCCATGTTGCTAGGGTGACTTTAGCTTACTAATAGATGGTATGGACAGAAAGAGACATTCAGAATATGAAAATCTTCAAGTAAGAAATACTCTGGTGTTGAATTGTTTTAGAAATAGACAGCAAATCTTTTCTCTAGCCCCCTTCCATCAATTTCAATCAATCTATATAATTAGATAAACAATTTAAACTTGTCAACTGTGAATAAGGATGCTACATTTAGGAGAAATTATATAAATTCCTAGTACCTTAACATCTTCCCCAATAACAACCTCCTTTGTGATGGTATTTCATTTAAGATGATATAAACTCCCTCCATAATCTGATAAAATGCTATAAAAATGTACCGTGTTACTAGAAAAATCAATAGATGGTGCTTTTCCAGAGCAAAAGAGACGAACAATAAGGACATGGGAAATGCACTCTCATCTCCTAGACGGCACCTGACACTTAACGTTTTCTTGCTTCCCCCCAACTCCCCTGCAGCCCCTCCTACCACAGCCTTGCTCATCACTGTTGTCCCTGCAGTCATTGAAACCATTGCATACAGCCCACTGTGGGATGCAGCGGTAGTTCGTCCTACAGCTGAATTCTGTATGGTTGTCACAGCGATGGCTCACTGAAAAAAAGAGAAAATAGCAAAGACTGAGACTTCAGTTCTGACTCTATTCTGAAAACAGCATCGAAAGACACCTTCTCATTGTCATATTAAGGAGTAGCAAGTATCATGTTACCGACTGGATTAATTGTGGCAACATGTGTCTGTTTCAGGTGTTGTCTATTTAGCAAGAACAGAAAAGGTCTGAAGTGTCCTCACTCTCTCAGTATCACTCATTTATGTTACAAGATAACTATGGGGGGCTGGGGAGGTGAAGGACGGGCTTGAAGCAAAAAGAAACCTGGGTGTCAGCTCTACCACAAAATAGAAATGTGATCATCCACTTAATGTGAACGTCAGTTTCCTCATCTGTAAAATGGGAATTGGTAACACACACATTCCCTCCCTCACAGTATTGTCTTAAGGCTCAAATGAGAAAGTGCTAGACATACAAAATATTCTGGATAGTTAAATATCTAGGGTCTCAAGAGGAAGAATCAGATACTTTGGAAACTGGGTCTGGTTCAACCAGCAAGCCATACTTTGCTTTGTAGTGCCAGAGTTAGCAGGGAGAGCCAAAACGGAGCGTGCCATGGGGCCGAAGCAGGGGCCTCTTGGTTTCCTGCTCCTGGGCATGCACGGTCCTCCCACAGGAACTTACTGCATTCGGACATCGGCTCATCCGAGTAGTCTCCACAGTCATTGTCCACATCACACTTCCAGCCCTGAGGGATGCAGTGGTTGTTGGCACACTTAAAATAGCCCGGCTGGCAGATCCTGCTGGCACAGTTGTAAACATCTTCATCTGAGTTATCCCCGCAGTCGTTCTCTGAGTCACACCGCCAGGCTTCAGGGATGCAACGTTTGTTGGCACACTGCCATTCATTGGACTCGCAGCGGTGATGCTCTGCAAGAAGGGGCATTTGGTTGCAAGGTGTCAGCAACAGAAGCTCCTCATTTACACTGATGGATCCTGGAAAGCCTGATCACAACTTCTTTTCAGAGGACTTACGTCCTAATGCACTTATTGTTGACCAGCACAACTACACAGTCAGTTATGCTTTTGACTATGACTGTCTCCCAAATTCATAATTATCTTTCTCTTGCATGCAGAATTAGGGGTTCAAGACTACTCTCTGATGTCATACTAAATTCACCTTCTCCTGTCTCTGTTCTCCTGATGGACAATGTGGTTGTTTTTAGTTTGTAGGATTTCCTTCTTGGCTTTTAAAAATGAAAACAAATAAATATTACACACAAGAGTTCTTGTTTAAAATGAGAGTGTGAAACCCTCATTTCATCCTCAGTGTTAGCTTCCAAGGAGAATTCTATGCAGAGTACATGGGAAAGAACCATGGATGCAGACGACATACCTCGTACCTCAACTGTTTGCATTTTAGAGACCTTAGTACATCTCTAGAACTTTATATAGTATAGACTCTTGCCTTTTCTTCTAGGACTTTGGACTAGTTTTTGGGTTATGACATGCAGAAAATCCCCACAGAATCATTGCACACAATCTACTATAGAAGTGGGCAAAGAAGGCATAAAGCAATTCAACACACCACAAAGAACCTGGTCTTCATCAGAGCCATCAGGGCAATCTTGGTGAGCATTGCACAGGAAGTGCGAGCTGGTACAGTTGCCATCCTGGCATTGGAACTGGCCTAGTGGGCAGTAGCGCTGTGGGCAAACGACCGATTCGTCGGAGCCATCTGAGCAGTCTCTCTGTCCATCACATTTCCACCAGATAGGAATACACCTGACAGAGAAAATGCAGCATTTTCTCAGCAAAACACTTGCTAGAGAGATGCTACCTGGAGAGAAGATGTCAAAACTGAATTGCAGGTGATAATACGCATGAGTTCCTTTAATGTGGTGTATTTTCAGAGAAAATAAAACTAACGAGATGAGACGATACAGGTTTGTTAAGACCCAAATGCATGCTGAAAAAATGCTTTGACCTAGCAATTAAATTCCTGCTACAGAAGACAATGGAGAGTATGTTTGGGATTGTGATTCGGGTAGCAGGAATTGGCTGGGAATATCTGCTGGGGTGACATGAAATGCATATGGGTATTAGTTGGGAAGGCAGAGGGCACTTACATTGATTGACAGCCTAGGTCAAGATAGACATATGTTAGGTCCTTAATCTAAGATATTTTATTCGATCAAAATGATCTGCCACTGAATCTTAAATGCCATGATTTGAGTTAATCCCCTGCCCCCCCCGACTTCACGCTCTGACTCAGTCATCAATGGCCTGCAGCCTTCTTAGGGAAATAATCTGGGCACATGTTTTGTAGCAGATACAAATGACCAAAAATGGATTTAAATGTATAATCCTGGATCCTCTGGCATAGTTAACTAAGAAGATGGGCCAGTATATGAGGGGGAAAGAGAGAAATTCTACCACTGTTGACTATTTTTCAGTGTGCATGTATACAGTCTTGGCCCTGACATCTAGGACAATTTATTAGAAATAAAAAACACCATATGCTTCCTCTATAGGTATAAATACTTGCATACGTAGGTACAACTTTTGTTTAACAAATTGCTTCTATTCATGGAAGAAATTATCTGAAGTTGGATACAGAGTCTTGCTGCATTCCAAATGAACCACATTAATTACCCAAAATCTGAGTTCATTAGGAAATTCCCATCCTTTGGACCCTCCAAAGTTCGATAGGTAGTCACCGGGGTGGAAAGGCAGTGGGGTAAGGGAAGAGAGAGCCTTACTTTTCATGGTTAGCACACAGGAACTGGGTGCTTGAGCACTTGGGCACGCAGAGGTTGAGCTCACCCATACGGAGGGTTTGGAAGTCATCTGGACACTCACAGGTGAATCCATTGCCTCCTGCTTTGATGAGGCAGAGGTGAGAACACCCACCATTGTTGGCACCACAGGGATTGTTCACTAGTGAAAGAAGGAAAATATATGTTCGTTCACTTAAAATATCAAGCACAGGTAAGCTGACTGCCCACGTAATCAAACTAGCCACTTCTCACAAGAAAAGTTACATGCTTTTTCCAAAATCAAACTAGTCACTTCTCACAAGAAAAGTTACATGCTTTTTCCAAAAATTCATAAATAAGACTGATGGTAGAACTGAATAAGCAATGCTGTGCTCTGAGAAAACTGATGTATGTGCTACCAGAAGTGAGGCATACCCACTGGTGCTTAGGACTAGCAAAGATGTGTTTCTCAAAGTCTTTGGAGAGCAGGTGGAAAACTTAGCTTAAGTTCATGTGCCCAGAACCTAACAGTATTCATTTCTAGCAGATGCTATATTCTTTCACTCTAAGAATCTGGGCAATTGAAGTATGGCCAAGAATGAAGTGAACAGGTAAACTGTGCAGCATCTTTACTAATTTTCTAGGTCATCACTTGGAGGTGAAGATTAATTTGAACTTCTATTTTATTGTTAAGTAAATTCTATGTCCAATGTGGGGCTAAAACTCATGACTCCAAGAGCAAGAGTCCATGCCCTACCAACTAAGCCATACAAAGTGCCCCTAATTTGAACTTTTGCTAAAATAGTATCAAGGGCATTAACTTCCGGGGGTTGGGGAAACCTGAATATCTTTATTTTGCCGATTCTTATTTTTCCTTACTTATAAGTTTATCATGTTTTAACAAAACATGTCCACAAAATCCATTCTATCCCCAAAGCATATTCCAGGTCTTTGCTAGATTATCTTTAAATCATACAATGGATTTAATTACATGATGAGGAATATTAGTTCAAAAGAAATTCCCTTAACTTATGAGATACTGTGTTGCTCTTAACATTACCTCCCAGATGACAAGCATAACATATGTTTAACACACAAAATGTCATATGCAAATAGACATTTAATAAATGAGATTTTATAATTATTGCAACTTTCTTTTAAACATCTCCTTTATATCAATAACTTAATAGATTGATCTTCGTATTAAGGAATGACTGTTAGTCTCTCAACTGTTATTATTTATTGTGGCTACATAAGAAATGTCCTTATTTTTCAAAGGTGCTTTCTTAAGTATTTAGGGGAGAAATGTCATGATATTTTACCCACTTTAAAATACTTCAGTCCTCTCACCAAATACATCATCTCAGTAAATATAGCAACATAACAACTCTTAATTCTTATCAAAAACAAAAGCCCAGGTGTTAAGAAAAAAAAAGTTATATACCGCTGTCAACAATAGCCAAACTATGTAAAGATGCCAAATGTCCAACAACTGATGAATGGATAAAGAACATATACATATTGTATATTTATATACAATGGAATATTACTAGACAATGAAAAAATGAAGTCTTGCCTTTTGAGAAACACAACAGATGAACATAGGGAAAAATAAGATAAAAATAGAGACAGAGGCAAACCATAAGAGACTTTTAAAGACCAAGAACAGGGGCACCTGGGTGGCTCAGTCAGTTAAGCATCCAACTTCAGCTCAGGTCATGATCTCACGGTTCATGGGTTTGAGCCCCACATCGGGTTCTGTACTGACAGCCAGCTCAGAGCCTGGAGCCTGTTTCAGATTCTGTACCTCCCTCTCTCTCTCTGGCCCTCCCCTGCTCACACTGCCTCTCTCTCTCTCTCTCAGAAATAAAAACATTAAAAAATAATTTTTTTTTAAATAAAGACCAAGAACAAATTGAGTGTTGGAGAAGAGGTGGATGGGGGGATGGGCTAAATGCATGATGGGCATTAAAGAGGACACCTGTTGGGATGAGCACTGGGTTCTACTCCTGAAGCCAAGACTATACTGTATGTTAACTAAACTGAATTTAAATTTTAAAAAGTTATAAGCAGCCTTTCCCATATGTTTTGTAGAAAACACTAACAAATGACATCATTCTCTTTATAAATCATGACGTTTAATACTTAAAGAAATAAGAACGGCATGCACATAACCTAAAGTACCTGGGCCAGACTTCTCTGTCACATACTCACCAATTGGCTGCCTGTACGGATGATACACATGGATGTCAAACGGCTTATGTGTTGTGTTCACCAGGACAGTCCTATGTGATCCATCATATTTATTTCCTTTTTCAACTGTCCTTGTATTCCAATCTGTCCAATAAATAGTGTCTTCAAAAATGGTAATAGCAAAGGGGTGAGACAGTGTCCCATCATACACGGTATGCCGATGTCGGCCCTCCAAATCAGAGTACCTAGGATGGGGGGAAGAGTCATTCAATGAAGCTAACTCCTTTCTTCTAATGGCTTTAGGGATAGATGAACTGATGAATCAATTAATAAACTTCTACTTTCTCGTGGTAACTGAAGCCCAGATCCTCCCCAAAACTCTTAGACTCTAATTCAATAAAAACTAAACTTAAAATATGTTTTGGCTGAACAAAAGCTGTAAAAATTAAAAAAGCCATACTTGAAAAAATAGGATTAGCCACAGGGGTTCAACAATCCCTAAATCTTAACCATGGTTGCTTTGCTACAGATGCAGCTGGTTCAGGTCTTATAGGCATATAGCCCCTTACATTAATGTTCCCCATTCAACATCTTTTTGATATCCTGAGATGGACACTATTTTTGTTCCCTAGGTCATTGGACTAAATCAGAGGTTAGCAATGTAAAGCTGGGGTTTTGCTTTTTCATGAACATTTCTGAGGAGAAGCTGTTCTTAGGCGACAGCGAGGTTCTCAGAGTCGCCTGTAAGGAATGTACTGAGTGAAAGTACAGGCCTGAAAGCTTCACTTAGCATATGCTGGCAACACATTTATTATTAATCATTTCCTGGGAACTACTGATGAATAGTTTTCCAGACAAATACAATTCCAGAGGAGGTTTTCTGATTTCAAGATATCACAGAGCATCTATGGCCAGATTTCCAGGTTTTTCCATTTCCATTGTCTTGTTCATTGCTATGAGTCTGTGTCAAAATACTGATCTCAATTTTAGAGTAGACCCTAAAACTCAAATGGGAGGTCGAATGAGCTAGCAGCTAAGAACTTTGATGTTATACATACAATATTAAAAATATTCTCCAAAATATAATTTGTGGTAACTTATAGAAAAACTTCAAGACCTTCTTGATCAATGTTATATGTCTCAATTTTAAAAACAAAAGGTTAGGGGCGCCTGGTGGCTCAGGAGGTTAAGCGACTTCGACTCAGGTCATGATCTCACAGTTTATGAGTTCAAGCCCCATGTCAGGCTATGCACTGACATGACAGCTTGGAGTCTGGAGTCTGCTTCAGATTCTGTGTCTCCCTCTCTCTCTGCCCCACCACACTCATGCTCATGCTCATGCGCCCTCTCTCTCTCTCTCTCTCAAAAATAAGTAAACATCAAAAAAATTTTTTTAAACAGCTTAAAAAGGGGATAAGAAAATTAAGACGAGTTGAGCACCAAGCTGCCTCTGATAAGGGAAAGATTACTGCTTCCACTTTCTAGATGAAAAAATAATAAGTGAAAGCACAAGGACAAAAACCAAAAACCTAATCTGGCTTCAACCTTCACACTCTTTCTACTGTACTATAACCACAGAAATGACTTCAGAGTGACTTCTAACACACAGGCTGTTAGAAGCTGCCTGGGAATAACACACTGGCAACACAAGCCCTGGAATGAAGAGTTGCCCAGTTTACTTTATCCTTTTCTATGTACGTACTCAATGTAACCCAGGTGGGCATCTGCCCAATAGAGTAGATCATTGGTGTAATCAATGGTGATGCCATTGGGCCACTCTATCTTGGTAGAAATAATCACAGACTTATTCATTCCATCCATGCCTACTCTTCCAATGTATGCTCGGTGAGCCCAGTCTGCCCAGTAGACATGCCTGTTGGAGAAAATAGGTATCAGAAAAAAGGGTCAGTCCTAGAAGCTAAAAGAAGTCAGCAGCCAAAAGACATAGCTCTTCTCCAATTATAGAAATAGAATTGACATTCTACAGAGTATTTCAGAAAGGAAAGAGAATGAACAGAAAATAATCTTAAAAAGGGTGATGTATAGGAAATGCTCAAGAATGGACATGATTAACTAGGGATTTCAGTGGATTTCACATGAGAGTCCAGTAGAGGTGGGGTTTTTTTAACCACAATTTTCTCCGCATGCAGCCAAAATAGGTGACTTCAAGTGAAATGGTATGTCACAGCAAAGAAAACAGAACCGCTGATGAATATCATTTGAGTAAGCCATGCTTCTACCCATTATAACTAAACATTTACCAGTTAAGAAAAGCAGAAGACAAATCCCAGCAAGACATTGGCCTTGAGATAACTATGTGAACAGCCTTTTTGATTACAGAGGCAGAAGGAGAGAAGAGCCCAAGATTACAGGGAGACAATACCCATAATGAGGGTGAAGGGCAATTCCTCTGGGATTTTCAAAGCAGAAGGTATTGTTGACATCCACGCAATGCTCAGCCAACTTGCGGCGGTATCGACCAGCAAGGTCAGAGACAGAGAGGCAATTCAGGTAGGCATCCACCCAATAGAGCTTTCTGAAATTAAAGGCCAGGAGTTATGGATATAGCCATTTTGCTTGTTGAACGGTACATAGTTAGCTACCAAGTTTCCTATCCATGCTATGGTGGAATCATAAAGACTGTTATTAGAAGGCACATGACCCCAAGAAAACAGGGGCAAGGGGAAACAGGAAACTGACCTTCCCGCAATGAGGCAACAGAAGATTCAAGATTGTGAGCTACATACAATTCCCACTTTAAAGAGATTGTCACATAGGGAATTCGGGGACCACACCTCAGAAAAGGACGCAGCTTAAGGCATCCTTCTCAGGCAATGTAAAGGCTTAGAGGAGCAGGGTCACAGAAGGGAAAGCAATTAGTGTTATGAAGTACAGCCAAGGAAACAGACTTGTCTACATGAATTATAGAGACCACACAAAGGAACTCTGAATTATGACAATTTTAAGATACAGAGAAACCTTACCCCTCCCTGGCCCTGTCAGACTAGGCCGGCAAAATGAGTTGCTTATTCTGGGCCATGTACTTAATCAAACTTAAGAACCTTCAGAAGTTTATTAGAATATTTTAGAAACCTGTACCTCAAGGGTATTACAGTTATCAATATTTATTGCTATTCAATAAAAATTTATTTTCTATAAGGCAGGAATTCTTAATCTGTGGTCCTTAATCTACCATCAGGGTAGGTGAGGCTTTGGGGGATCTATGAACCCTCTAAAACCAAGGCAAAGTTGTGTGAGTGTAAAAATTTTAAGTGCTTTTATCCAGCAAGCAAGGGGTTCACGACTTTCATCAGTCTTAAAGCAAAGGATTCAGTGGCCCCTAGAATTTGAATGTCATTTAAGCTCTGATGGTGACCCTGTTCCAACCAACCTGGATGTCAGACTATTTAACTGTTAGCACAGCAGCATCCTTTTAAGTATGAGGATGAGGGAATGAGAATGCCTAAATTTATAAGCCTTGCCAGTTAATTCAGTTGGGTAAATTCTGATGAATGAGATGTCCACAAGCATGGATTCAATTCTCTATTAAGACAAAAACAGGGGCACCTAGGTGGCTCAGTCAGTTAAGTTTCTGACTCTTGGTTTTGGCTTAGGTTATGATCTCATGACTCATGAGTTCAAGCCCCATATCAGTCTCGGAGCTGACTGTGCTTGGGAATCCCTGTCTCCCTCTCTCTTTGCCTCTCTCCTGCTCACTCTGTTTTTCTGTCTCAAAAATAAATAAATATTTCTACCAAACTGAAAACATTGGCTATAATGTTTTTTAAAGTGGTTTTTAAAAAACTCCTCTGTGTTTTCTTACCTGGTAACCCAGTCTACAGCCAGACTTTCTGCAGCTGGTAGTCTGTGGCTTATAACTGTTTCCTTGTTTGTCTTATTCAGAAACATTCTCTCAATGACTTTATTCTCTGCATCAATCCAATACAGTCTCTTTTCTACCCGGTCAAAATCCAGTGCCACAGCATTGCCCAGTCCTTGCAAAATGAGGGAGTAAAAATGGCCATCTAGAGTTAGATTTCTCAGATAGTAACGGTTGCTAAAAATGAGATAGGGCTCGATGTTACTGTTCTGCCGGCAGCTTCTTCCATCTGGTTCTCGGAGGTAGCCGGGGGCACATTTACAGATGTAGGAGCCCACTGTATTCTCACACTTCTGGCTACAGACAAAGGGAGTCTCCGTGCATTCATCAATATCATCACAACTCCGATTGTCAAACATAAGCTTGTAACCAGGACGGCAAGAACAATAGAAACTGGTGAGTGTGTCTGTGCAGTTGTGGTCACAGCCACTGAGTAAAGGGTCGTTGCATTCATTAACACCTGTAAGTAAAAGATGGATATTAGAGAAGCTAAAATGTCCACCAGAGACCCACCCTAATAGGTCAAGCTTCCCACTTGACAGCCCAATTCTTACTGAAATTTGCTAAAGGAAGACAGTCAATAAGACCTTCCTAAAGGCCACAGATTATTCAAAAGTCACTATTTTTCAACTTCCTCTCCAATTTAATCCATCACAGGTGGTTTTAACAACTAAATATAATAAGATTAAGTTTGACTTCTAATCCTATACCTGCTACTCTCCTTGTAACCAATAATTTAAAAAGTAAAATGGCAAGAGAGAGGAGAAAAAAGGGCAACAGGAAAGAGCCTGTCCAGGGGTTTGCCGATAAAACAGATCTCAGGGGATGGGGGGTAGGGGAATGCTGTGATTTGTACATCTTCCATTTCCGTGGTGTGACTCTCTCACCACAGCCAATTTCAGGTTACCAGGGCAACATCACTGAATATGGGGCTGGGAAGAGATGTAGACATTTGGCTCTCACAAGATAGGATGAGCTGGCCAGCAGCCTCCTGAGTGTATTTCTAGCTGGTTCTGTGACACATAGCCAAGCTCACCCAGAAACTATGCAGGGTAGAGAACATGTTCCCATCAATTCTATATTTTATAATTCCTCAACTGTTTTACCTGGGGAGAGTGGAGCGAGAGGGGGTTTAAACTCTCCCCTTTGGTCACCTGAGGATAAAAATAAACAGCAAAGGAATTCTAGCAGAGGGACAGCTCATGCAACAAGTCATTTCAAGGGTTCAAAGAGAATCAACACTGTTTGCCTTGTTTAAGGTATGAATTTTTTCATCTTCCATTCTCTATAATGACTGCCTAACTGATGAATTAATGAAAAATGTTTGTTTACTGACCTATTATATACCACAAAATCCTTGCCTTCTGATAGGCAAGCAATAGTGATTTCTTGGTACTATTCTATTTAGAGGACAGACTGAAAAGTCCTTGTGAGTCATAAAGAGTTGAGAACCACATTCAGTCTCCCTGTTTTCCTTTTCCCAAATCTTCTATTATACTCACCACATCCTTTTTCATCACTGTTGTCTGAGCAGTCATCTAGGTGGTTGCAGACTTTCACCATATCGATGCAGTTCCCATTGTTACACCTGAACTGATGAGGGGGGCACGTGGTCTCTGGAGTGTGGCACAGGTGCTCCAGCTCATCAGATCCATCTCTACAGTCATTTTCCCCATCACAGACTTCCTGCTTATGAATGCACAACCCGTTCTGACAGGTAAACTGGCTCTCACTGCAGGTGGGGTACAAGCAGTCCCTCTCGTCACTGTAGTCACCACAGTCATTGTGCCGGTCACACCTGTGTAATGAGACCCAGTACCACTCTTGAAGAAGTTGACAAGGCTCATCTGTCAACCAGTTGGGGCTTTGCTTCCTCCTTCTATGTGAAGGTCAGCTTGACCATTTCATTAACAAGACCACCCATGACCTTATTTACTTCTCCCCAGAATCTTTATCCACCGCTCCAATCTCCAGCTTTAGAAGAATCTAATATTTGGCATTTCATATAATTTCCCCAGATGCTGGTTGCTACCATTAGACATGTGGATCTGGAGATATTAAAAATAATCACATTCACATTGTATAATTGTATAATAATCACATTGACAATTTGTTTAAATACAACTTTTATAGTTTTGGTGTTCACTTCTATTCATCAGATAATGATGACAACTTATGGACACAAGTTGGATAGCCATATGCTAGAAGTGTCCATACCCAAGTGAAAATATATTATAAATGATGAGACTATTATGTGTCTTATAAGAACACGTATCTTCCAGTTGTAATAATGTTTTCATTGTCCTGTTCCATCCATCTTTATTTTATATGATACCCTGCCACCTATCATGTGATGTGAATGGTCATGGTGATGGCAAGGAGGGAAAACTGATAGATAAGCATGGGCTGAGGGCAAAAGAACAAGGCATTTCTTCATACTGTCTGGGGACCTAGCATTCCCAGGCATCACAAGGACAGCATAGCTCCCTGAAATTCTGTGAGCCAGGCTGGTCTTTCCTCTCTACATTATTTCAAGATCCCATGAATCTTAGGACTACTGAAGATGGTCTTGCTGACAGTGACAAAGCAGAAATATAGAGGAATCATGGAATTCATAAAGTAAAAAGGAATCTTGAATAAGGATTGGCAAAGCTAATGTTTGACAATTCATAAAAGGATTTACCAAAAGGGGCATAGGAGCTAAAGGCACAGTAATAAAAAATGTTAAAGTACAAAAGCTGAATGTGGTCAATTTTATAAGTGATTTATGGTCAGGTCACTAATCATCAATGCCATCCACAAACCTAGGGCACTGGCAAAGTGATTTATAACAAAATGTGTGCATATAACTGTTAAAAAAAAAAAAAAAAGCTATGACCAGAGCAAGCTGGTTTAACCCCGTTTGGTCTCCTGGGACCTATTTAACTCATTTTTAAGTGATCTGAACCACCAATGCTCTTTCCTCTAGTTTAGGCCCAATCAAAAGGCAGGGGGGGGGGGGGGGAGGGAGACTGTTAGAAAAGCAAATCACCATGTTTTGGGACATAATAACACATCAATATTCCAGCAAGCTGCTCACAACTCAGTCTCATCCAGGTTCTTCAGCAGCATCATACTGAGCCAAGAGGGAAAAAATCAATAGGAAAACTGATCCCCTATATCACCATACCAAATGGGGGAATACACACTCTGCCAAGCAGGCAGAAGGATGCACATTAACAGGGCTTAGTAGCAGCTACTGGCACCAAAGCAAAGAGAACCCATGATTATTTTATTTAAAAAAATTTTTTTAATGTTTTATTTTATTTCTGAGAGAGAGAGAGAGAGAGAGATAGTGTGATAGCATGAGAAAGGGAGGGTCACAGAAAGAGGGAGACACAGAATCTGAAACAGCCTCCAGGCTCTGAGGTGGCTGTCAGCACAGAGCCCGACACGGGGTCTGAACCCACAAACCGTGAGATCGTGACCTGAGCCAAAGTCGGATGCTCAATCAACTGAGCCACCCAGGTGCCCCAGCCCGGGGTTATTTAAGATCCTATAGCTCAGGTGCCCAGATAAGCAGTATTTTTGTTGTTGTTGTTGCTGTTGTTGTTCTGCCATGGCCCTTGGCTAAAGCAATTCAGAAAGTGCAGGCAAAACAACAACGACAACAACAACAACAACAACAAAAAACCAAAACCAAAACCAAAAAACAACCACTTGGGAGGGAGAGAGGGAGAGGAAGGGAAGAAGAATGGGAGGAAGGACGGAAGGAAAAGATGAAATCAATAAAAGTCTGGTAGGACAGGAAAAGTCAGCTGAAAGATCACAGTAATAATGTAATAATAATGTACTGAGACAGAGCTCAGAAAGTTCAGAAAGTTCAAGACCTGATTATCATTCTCTTCTTTAGCTCCTAGGGCTAGGTTTTCAGGGTATATGTTAGACTGATGGTACTAAATATTTACTGAATTCAGAAGAACAAATGGCAGTACAGCATAAAAGAACTCTTGAGCAAATAGGGAGAAAATATAAAGACTTACTCACTTTCAATTACAAAAATTTAAAATCTACAGAACACATCCATAGCCATTAAATATAGACAAACCATACTGAAATGCAATCTCACTAAGCAGACAGCTCTGTCTCCTGAATGCCTTCAAGATATCAATATTAGCACCTCTCACCGTCTATTGTCAGTGTCTACTTGGGCTTCACTACCATTTTTTGGCCATTATGCCAAGTCCCTCCTCCTTTTGCAGCATTCACAGAACACAACTTGACCTTCTCTGGCTTCCTCAAGACTACTCATGAACACACAGTTCTGCACCACACTGGATTCCAGAAGTACCTCACGGTAACGTTGAGGGGGTGCTTGCCCCCAAAGCACATGGTCCCAGAAGCTCGGCTGCTCTAACCTTGCACCAGCATTTTATATCTTTTCCATCTCCTTCCTTAGCAAACTGTATGCTGACAGTTCCTGTTGCTATCAGTATGCACGTATGTCCTTTAACAGACCTTGGCACATGCAACATCTTTTCTTAGCTCCAGTTCTACGTGTCCAAATGCCTGATACACATTTTCACCTCAAGAAGTCCCACTACATCAAACTCTCTGTCTACATAGAGCAAACCCCCTCCTGGACCCCCTCCTTTTTTTAATGTTCTTACTATTTCCATAGTCCATCAGGATAGAAACGTACACATCATTTTTCTTCTCTACTTCCCTGTATATCCAAACATTTGCCAACTGGGGATAGTGAGAAGGTGGGGCACCAAAAAAGTATAAACCTTTGGAATGGCCCGTTTGGAGAACGTCACAAGAAATCAAGCAACAGAATATTACAGGAGAGGTTTCCAACGCTGGCAGGCCGTGCACTTAATCTATTTGACCTGTAGTATTCTTGGAATTTAAAATTGTTTCCAGCATTTAAAATTTTCATATGAAAATCCATATTTCCAATTTCTCCAAAACAGATCAGCACTCCTGCACAATGTTGAACAGCAAGGTGCATCCTCAGTTCACCTCACCTGCCTCTCCCCACTGTCTCACTGGCTCTAAGCCTAAGTGAAAAGCTCCATTTATGATCATCCTTGTTCTGTTATTTTTCTATTGGAGAGAGAAGACAATGAGGAACTTCTTGTACCTATTCCTCTACTCCACGTGGAAAATCAAGAGTGTCACCTACTTCCAGAAAGAATTTTCTTTTATCAAGTCCACTTCATTAATCTCCCTGGCCCTCTGTGCAAGGCACACATTATAACTTTCATAAGCCATAAACCCTTCTACCATCATGGGCCCCTTCTTCCATGAAAATATAAAAAATTATATTTAATGATCATATTGGCACAAAGGCAAATATATTAATATTATATATTAAAATACTTTATTTGATCTAAACGTTCTCATTTTTTCTTTTGATTTTAAAAGAAATCCAAAAATTTTTGTAGACCACTAAAAGTACTATGGACCCTATACACTGTGGTTACCATGCCTAATGGAGAAGTTAGCCTTGCCCCTTCAGACATTTGAGGTTAGTGAGAAATTTGTTAATCCCCAAATCACCTGTATGAGTGTGGGACACACCACCCATTACTACAGGTGAAATCATTTCCAGAGCAAGATATCCTTGTACAATTTTGATGTTCATCAGCACCATCAGAACAATCCGGATCACCATCACAGACCCAGGACTGGGGAATGCACTTCCTGGATGGAGGCACATTATTTGCACAGACAAACTCAGAACTTGAGCAGGTGTGACTGTCTGAAAACAAAGCACACAAGAATCAGAAACCACATGACAACTCATTCTATCAGTTGAATTCATTCTGAACCATTATTTCTCTTGCTTTATGTTATTTAATAGTCTGAGGGATGAAAGCAAATTAGGGAATAACACATTGACAAACAGACAAATCACTATCATAATAATAGATTATAATACAAAATACCTTCTAAATTCCATTTTAACTCCTCTGGACCTTGGATTTTTTTTTTCTTCAGAAGTAGGAAATAAACATAATACCTTGCTTAGCTTTCCATATAATTGTTCTAAAATCATGTATTTCCCTTAGAGCTTCAGAAAACTACTCCCATTTTATTATTTGTTTACCAAAATTGCCTTACACTTGGTAACAATTCTTGGCTAACAAACTGTAATTACAAAAACACAATGTGAGGGGGCACCTGGGTGGTTCAGTTGGTAGAGCATCTAACTCTTGAAGGCACAGTTCGTGAGATCAAGCCTCACTTTGGGCTCACCACTGACAGTGCAGAACCTGCTTGGTATTCTCTCTCTCTCTCTCTCTCTCTCTCTCTCTCTCAAAATAAATAAACTTAAAAAAACACACAATGACGGATAGGTGTTTTTATGCCAATCTCTCAGATAAAAATTAAAGCTCAAAGTTGTTAACCAGATGGCTCCAAGTAATCTAATTTGATTTGAACCTAGGTCTTTTTTTTTCCTCCAAATTTTGGGCTTTTTCAACTACATTACAGCTAACTTCTTGTACCTATTCTACCACCTAAGTAGAATTGGGGTATATTGGAGGGGAATAGGTCAATAAGAGTTGTGAGCAACCAGTACAACTGTCAGGAAAAAGATGAGATGCTAACATATAATCATTAATGCCTGCAGAATAAAAGAACTGGTATTTTGTCCAATTTCATTGTGGATGAATGGGAGAGAAAAGGAGGGGGTGTCTTGGTGAGGGGAGCTAGGAGCAAAGTACATGATACAGTCTATGTTTGTGTAGCTGTAAACTATTTTAAAGGCTAGAGTACATGTGGAGCTACAGACAATCACCAGAGTCAATGACGTAAGGTGTTACAATGAAATGAAACGCAAACATCAGGAAGTCATTTTTTTTTTTATCATTGTACCATGGAAAGACACTCTAAGACATCTTAGCTAAGAGTTCCATGCTCTGTTGGTAATGGAAAATGGTGTTCCATGGTCTGTTCCACAAACCACTCAAAAGGAATAACCCTCCCTCTATCCACTCCTCCAGATAACAAGGTAACAGATGAAACTTGAGGCACAGCTAATTACTACACTGTTTAAACCTGCTATTAGGATTGAGTTCTCTTATGAAATCCTGCCATTTGCAACAATGTGGATGAAACTTAAGTGTCATATGCTAAGTGAAATTAGTCAGAGAGAGACAAATATTATATGACTTCACTCATATGTGGAATTTAAGATACAAAACAGATGAACATAAGGGAAGGGAAGCAAAAACAAAATAAAAACAGGGAAGGGGACAAAACATAAGAGACTCTTAAATACAGAGAACAAACTGAGGGTTGCCGGGGGTTTGGGGGTGGGGGTTGGGTTAAATAGGTAAGGAGCATTAAGGAAAACACTTGTTGGGATAAGCACTGAGTGTTATAGAGGATGAATCACTAGAAACTACTCCCAAAATTATTTTTGCCCTGTAAGCTACCCTACCTGGATATAAATTTAAAAATTTAAATATTAAATTTTAAAAAGTTTTTAAAAAGATTGCATTCTTTTTATCTGCTTCAGAAATACAAGACATTATTTCTGTCAGCTAGATGCAAGAGGAGGACAAAAAATATTTAAAATGTTTTTAATCAATTTAAAGCCTTTAAGTAGATGCTATCAAACAATTCAGAGTGGAAACTAATGGTAACATTTTACCAGTACGCAATCAAAGAGGAATCTGTTGACAATCATACACTCCCAAGACACAAAAATAAATCTCCCAAGTTTCCATGGAATGTGACTCTGCAGAGGAATGAATGGTTTCACTTACTGCAATGGTGCCTTTCATCCTCATCACTCATGTCTCCACAGTCATTATCACCATCACAGATCCATTCTCTTCGTATGCACCGCCCACTGTCACACTTGTACTCATTACTTAAGCATGTTGCTTCATGGTACTCTGAGAAAAGATAGAAAACACTCTCAGGGGAAAAGTGGGTTGTAGTCCAAAAACCTTAACAGAAGCCTGCTATCCCACAGACTGTCTAAAAACTTGAAACAGAGCATTACCCAGCTGTGGTACCAGTGACCAGTGGTCTGAGATTGAAGTAGCTGACTGACAGTGCAAAGCCCTCATTATCTTTTGTTACCAGGATGAGACTTGATATTCCGTTTCAGCTATGATAGAGGAATAATCGTCTTTTCCCAAGAGGATATAAATTAGTATTTCACGCATTTCATATTTAAATCTACTTTTCATCCAAAAACATTTTGTTCGGTGCAAACCATCTTCCAACATGCCTGATCCCTGTTTTCCTGCTCTCTGCTTTTCTCCAAAGCATGTATCACCTTTCAACGTGCCCTACAATTCACTTACTTGTTTTGTTGCCTGTACCCCCTCACTAGAATATAAGCCCCATGTGGACAGGGATGTTTGGCTTCTTTACTGACATAGCCTAAAGTGCCTAGAACATAAGTGCTCCATAAATATTTGTTGAATTAAACTGCGAAGACACCCTATGCCTCATATTAGCCACCATTGACTCAAATTCTTCCATCATAAACCCACATGTCCCTATCAACTATTTGTCATCAGAGACCTCTCAAAATTAACCTAGGGCAAAGTACATTAAATTTTAACTATTAGAAATGCAGCCCAATGATGAGAGTAAGGAGAACAGGACCTTTCATAAGCTGCTAAAGAAGGAGTGCACATCCCTACAGCCTCTTTAAGAGACAAGGTCCCTTTGGACCACAGCTAGAAATCTAGCCTGTATTCTACTCACCTAACAGTTATTTACTTCCTTTATAGATCCTCCCAACTCTACATGCCCTTTGCTTTCTACAAAACTTTCAGTGTTGGGAAAACATAACTTGGCAAAGAGTTTCAAATACTACTCTCCAACTATTAGCTACCGTATTTGGACATGAGAGAAAACAGGAATAGAAAACAATCTGGATTCGGCTGTAAAATTTTGAAAATGGTACTAAGAAAATACCCCCCAAATAAAAATCTTCATATACAATGATCTTACTGCAGCTGTATTTATAAGAGGGGAAAGATAAAAGCAATCTAAATGCTTAAAATACAGACAGTTAACTCAAAGATAATATAACCACTCAGTGGAATATTATACTCCCATTAAAAGAGAGTATGAATACTGTGTAACCAGATAGCATATGCGTCTCTTAACTCGATAGCATATATTTTAGGCTTCCAGGACATATGTTCTCTGTCACACCTACTTGACACTGCCATTGTAGCACAAAAGCAGCCACAGACAAAACGTTGTTGCATTCTAATAAAACGCTATCAAGACAGGCCGCTGGCTATGGTCGTAGTTTGCAGACTGATTTACTGATGGATTTTTTTTTTTTTTAAAGCAATGACAGTAATATGTTTTGAAATGTGCATGGATGGATGTAGATTAGAACTTGTAAAGGTTAATAGCACCCTCCAAACACAAATAAGCACAAGTGTCTCCAGGGATATAACCAGAGGGTACCTGAAACTTCTTGGGAAACTCAGATGGCCCTGAGACCTTACCTCATAAGTTGGCACATGGAACTGGAGGAGGACATGTGCCCATAATATGCCCCTTCCCCATATATATAATAATTGCAATCACGCTTGGATCCTCCCACAGCCTTATTGGCCAGAACTCAACAAAATTCAGAAATTCCAATTCACAGTCAATTACAATTAATTGAGCTTAAAAGCCAGGCACAGTATTAGGCTATCACCAACATCATCTCATTTCATGAATATTAGGCAGCAATCTCCATGCCCTGATCAGCATCCCACACAATGCCCTACATGAATGGGATTTTAATGAATGTCTGCTGAGTGGTTTCAACATCTTAACTGAGAGTAGGAGCAGAGAGTGCAAACGTTCATCAGCCATGAGCCTTAGTCTGTATGTGGAGGTAGCTGGAAGAGATTCTTTGGCTGCATTATAATGCTTGTCATGCTTACTCTCTTACCACAAGTGTTAGGCTCATCAGAGCCATCAGGACAGTCTCTTTCCTCATCACAGTACCAGTGTCTGGGGATACAACGTCCAGATGTGCAGTGAAACTCCTCGCTGTTGCACGTCTGAGTAGCTGGAGGGCAGAAAGACGGTAAAACCCAGGAGTAAAACACAAGCTTGTTCCAATCATTCTTAAGCATCTGTCTTTATCTCTGAACTAGGTAACAGGTGCCAGGGAAGAATGACTGAAGTCTGGAAAAAGGGTTTTATATAACTTTCCACAGGAAGGAAGATGTAGGTAAGAGAGAGAAGACAGGCAATACTGCTCCAGTTTTCCAGGATTTTTCTCTCTAGATTCTAGAAACCCAAAAGTAAACTGTAGTTGTTAGAAATATGTTTTTGACACATGAAGCCACAAATAATGTAAAAGAAGACTTGCTTCTATGTTTTCTGTATGTATTCTAAATTAAATAAATTCTCATGAAATAATATTAAAAGCAAAAACAACATGTGACCGTATCTGAGCTACCCACACACATCCTTTGGCCATGTTGAGACCATGGTTCTAAAAAGTTAGCACAGTTGTGTTCTTCTTCATACTTGTTATATGGGACCTTTATTTGAGTAAATGACTCTGCCTATGCTTGAATATTGATTCTTGTCTTGTGTAACCTCAGGTATCTCTAGTGCGGATGTATTTTCTAAATTGCTATGTGGGTACAAACTAGAATCAAGTCTTAGAATTCTTCTGCTCTACAAGGTTCCCTCACTTAGACCCATGATGATTTGCCAGGGGTAAAATTATTGAGGAATCAGAGGTCCCTGAAAGTTCAGCCCTGTATCCAATCTATGTGTCCCTGTCTGATGGCTACATCCTGAATTCTCCTTCCTTCTGCTGCTGTAATACTAGAACTGACGTCTGCTCTCGAACTTACCCTGGCCTGGTAAGAATTATTAAATTCTTAAATTATGCATCTATGTATAGTAATAGTTATCAAGCTTGATAAAGTCCTTTTTAATTCAATCTATACATGCAAGGAAAAATGTGTGACTGAACCAAATTGCTAAATATGGAATAAAGATTTCTGAAATTCAAGAATATTAAAAAGATAGAAAAGACATTTCATTTACTAATGGTGACTATAATCATATTAGGAGTAAATAGAAGAACTTGACATACAAATTCTGCCTGGGGTTCCTGAAGACAAAAAAAAGGCCCTTGACTCTGGGAGAAATGGTGGTCCAACTGTAAAAGGTCAGGTTGTCAGAGTAATTCTCTGGAAGAAATATTTGGAGTAGGGCATCCAGCCAAAGAACAGAGAATGGGACTGCCCCTCTAACCACATCCTAAAAAACTGCTCACTGCATCTAGTATTGAGGTCAATTTGAGGTGACAAATAGCACCAACACCCAGGCCATATATCTATGTATTAGCTGAAGACGTGCATCACGGAACCACAGAAAGAGAAACAAGTTTATCTTACCACAGAAAAGAGGGCTTTCATCACTCATGTCTCCACAGTCATTGTCTTCATCACACAAGTAAAAATGAGAAATGCAAATCTTTGTAGTCTCACATTTTACATATCCAGGCAGGCAGGTGCGATCAGCTTAGAAAAGACAGTGGCGTAAATATTGGAACCTATCTACAATATATATACATATAGCATTAAAAATGTCCATACAAATAGAGCTATTGGACTCAAAATACTGAAACACCAAAAGGGAGGCATTTTTAAAGCTATCACAGAGGCAAAAATCATGACAGTTATTTTTCACCATAAATTCTGTAGTAAAAAGAGATATGTCCAGTTGGTAAGGGCAGGGGAGAGGGGAGTGTGCTTACTTTGTAGCTTAAGGCATCTATTTTAATTATTAAGTAGCATCAACAAGAGTCTTAACTCTTGGTTAAATAAACCACACAATGAGGTAATACACAGTTGTTAAAAAGAAATGAAAAAGAGCTCCAAGGAGTGATGGCATGATCTCCAGCATATGAGCTAACAGTAAGGAAGCAAGATTCAAAACAGTAGGCTATCTTTTGTATAAGAAAAAAACAATATGCATGTGAGTGCATGTGTGAGTGGATGGGTGTGTTTAATAAGAGATATGCTCATAATAAAAAACAATAATCAGTCCCTCCTCCAGCCTTCCAAGATGCTGAAAAGAAAGAAGGCTAAGGCGGAAAAGGTAGCCAACCCCCTGCCGTTGTGAAGAAGTAAAAGGCCCAGAAGGTGGTTAATCCTCATTTCAGAAAAGTCCCAAGAAATTTGGCATCGGACAGGACATCCAGCCCAAAAGGGATCTCACTCAGTTTGCAAAGTGGCTCAGCCATATCCATCTGCAGTAGCAAAGGGCTATTCTCTATAAACGTCCAAAAGTGCCTCCCATGATCTATAAAATAACCAGTTTACCCAGGTTACCGTTTGTCCAGGCTTTGGACAGCTACTCAACTGCTTAAGCTGGTCCATGAATACAGACCAGATACAAAGCAAGAGAAAAAGCAGAGATTGTTGGACTGGGTTGTGAAGAAAGCTGACGGCAAAGAGGATGTGCCCACCTAGAGGCTGACTGTCCTAGGAGCTGAGGTTAACACTGTCACCACCTTGCTGGATAATAAGAAGGCTCAGCCAGTAGTAATAACACATGATGTGGATGCCATTGAACTGGTTTTCTTCCTGCCTGCCCTGTGTCATAAGATGGGGGTTCCCAACTGCATCATCAAGGGGAAGGCCAGGCTGGGATGTCTGGTCCACAGGACAACCTGCACCACTGTCACTTCACACAGGTTAACTCAGAAGACAAAGGAGCTCTGGCTAAGCTGGTGGAAGCCATCAGGACCAATAATAATGACAGATATGATATCCACTACCACTGGTGAGGCAACATCCTGGGGTCAAAGTCAATGGTTCATGTTGCCATTGTGGGCCAAGGGATAAAGAACTGGCCGTCAAACTGGGCTAAGTGCATGATGTTGACTTTTCTGCAAATAAAAGTAATAAAAAGTTCCCTTTCAGCCAGTGTCAAAAAAATTATAACTCACTATAATAATTATATTATAACAAATATTATAACAAATAATAACTCTATAATAATAATAATGTTAGATTGAGAATACTTTGGAGTGAGTGGGGTGGAAGGGACAAGGAGGAAAGACTACTGTCAATGTACTCATCATACAATTTTGACCATGGAAGCATGTAGATTAGTTTGTATAAATAAAAATAAAGAAATAGGGGCGCCTGGGTGGCTTAGTCGGTTAAGCGTCCGACTTTCGCTTAGGTCATGATCTCGCGGTTCATGGGTTCGAGCCCCGCGTCGGGCTCTGTGCTGACTGCCAGCTCAGAGCCTGGAGCCTGTTTCAGTCTGTGACTCCCTCTCTCTCTGACCCTCCCCTGCTCACGCTATCTCTCTCTCTCTCTCTCTCTCTCCTAGAAATAAATTTAAAAAAAAAAAATATATATATTAAAAAAAAAATAAAATAAAATAAAAATAAAGAAATAAAAATGGAAAAAGGAAAGCAATTCCTAAAATTTGGAAATAGTAACACAAGCAAACGCTACATCAAGATGATAGCAGAACCATTCAGAGAAAAAAAAAATTTTTAAGGGCTTTACAAGCAGAATTGGGCTACATATCCCTAGCAGGATATAGTCTAAAATCTTAGATTATGATGAGTAGATTTACTGGTAATAGTATTATATGTGTGGTTATTTTGATATTCTTATAGCCATTTTGAAATTATTATAGAATAGAGCAATCAAGTAACTACATTAATGTAATCAGAAACTAATATTTAGGCACAAAAGAGATAGGATTTATAGAATATAAGTAAAAAAATTGTAATCTTAAATTAAAATAGATTTTTCCCTTAAAAAAATGTATTTCCTAGCTCTGTATACTGAAAAGCCCTGGAAGCAATGAAAGGCAAATAGGAAAGGGCATCTCAGCACTGTGGTAATTTCTAAATCTACAAAAGAAATGAGGTCTCTTGGGATAAGTGGCTCACTCCAGGTCTGAGATAGGCTATGGACTGGATGGGCCATGTTAAAATCACAGAGGACCCAACTTAGCAGAGCTCCCACTATAAGTACTTGGTGAACTTACAGCAATTTTTCTCATCTGACATGTCATTATCATTGCAGTTGTTTACGCCATTGCAGACAAACTGAAGAGGAATACACCTTTTGTTACTACAAGTAAACTCCGAAGTGGCGTTACATTCCGAGAACAGGCACCCTGCCTCGTCACTGTTGTCACCACAGTCATTGTAGTGATCACAGCGGTAATGATACTGGACGCATCGCCCATTGTCGCAGGTGAAGGCTGTCGGAGGGCAGATGTGAAACGCTAAGAGGAAGAAAAGACATTGAAGAGACTTCTTGATTAAAGCATTAAGCAAATTAGAAATCCTAATTTCTAAAAATCAAAAAAAATACAATCAAATAAAAAGGATACTTTGAGTTTACCTTCTAAAGCAAAAAATGGCTGCAAAACGGACTGCGTGCAAAATGAGATAAACTTTAAATTAATCAAAACATGTTGTGTATGTTTTTAAAGTAAATTATGTATCTTAAGCAAACGTTAGTCACTTTATGTCTCTATCATCTCAATTTAAAATTTTACCTGAATCACAGAAAAGCATGCAAATACAAACTCTTTGGGGAAAAGAAAACTCTCAGCCCCTACACAGTCTATTAGGAAAAGGAAACTTCGAGTGTTTTACTCACCCCATTCAGATGGAAGCCAATATTGAATGATTTCAATAAATCATTAATGACCCTTCTGCTACGAAAATTAATAAAATGATAACAACCACCTTTTAGAGCTTTTGGTTCTGTGCTAAGTCAAGCGTAACATGCACCAAGCCCCATGCCATGATTTTATATATTGTTCTCTCACTCCTCACAAAAATCCTAGTAACAGCTCCAGTTTCCAGATGAGGTATGTGAAGCTCAAAAGGGTTGGGTAACTTTCCCAGGGCTTCCCAGACTATAAATGGCAGAGCTAGGATTTTATTCCAGCACCTTTGCTCTCAACCTCAGGAGAAATGTTTCCTACTGAAGCGTCATACATTACTCCCTCGCATACATACCAACATCTATGTGATGTAATAATCTGTGTTCTCAGACTAAATGTTTTTTAGTTCTAATAGGACACACTGGCACAAACTTCAAACCTATTCACACGCAGAAGGATTGTGCAACAAACACTTGGCATAAAGACAAGTTTGCTTCCTAACGAAAGCTCCGAGAGTCGGACTCACCACAGACAATTTCCAGCTCATCACTGCCATCACCACAGTCATTATCGTTGTCACACTTCCATTGCTCTGAGATGCAATGCCCATTGAAGCAGGTGAACTTGGAGCTATCGCACCGGGTCCCGTTGTCCACAATGCAGTGCTTTTGGTTGTTGGCCAGATACCAGTGGCCCTCATGTGGACACTGACACTCAGCACCATTTGGACCTTAAAACAAGTTGCCAAAAAAGCAAAAACTGTGCTTATCTTCTCCTCCAGAATAGCAGCGGGAATATTCCTATATTAAATGCACTATAACACAAGCCACAGAAACAAACTTCCCATCAACCTCTTGACTATATTCTATCCTTTTTCCGTGAAGAATAACCACCAATTCTAATAAATATGGCAAATTCACCCTCATCTTTAAACAATCAGCTCTTGCCTGCATGTGCATGGACACAATAAAAATTATTCTTCTTTCTCAGCAAAATCTATAAAACAATAGTACCACAAGATGCATCCTTCTATGAATCTGTTGCTATCTATAAAACACACTATGAAACATGTAATATCACACTATAAAATTTCATCAGAAATACTTCAAACTGTAATAACCTAAGTGAAAGAACTAAATCCTTTCATAAAGGACATAAGCTCATTGATGGAATTTCTTCCCTTTTTTTTAAGTTTTTTAAGTTTATTTATTTATTTTGAGAGAGAGAGAGAGAGAGAGAGCACAAGTGGGGAAGGGAAAGAGAGAGAGAGGATCCAAGCAGACTCTGTGCTATGAGTACAGAGCCCAATGTGAGATCATGACCTGAGCCACTCAGCACTACTCATTCATGGAATTCCTATTCAACTCATGAAGTTTGGCAGCCAAAGACCTCATAGTTTTACTTCCATCAGCCTTGAGTTAAAATTGTCTTTTTAAGAGTCCTCCATATCAAATAGAAGCCTATCAAAGTCTTCCTCTAAACATACAAATCCCTAAATCTAGTTTATGGATAACCCTAAAATTAAGGAGAATTTGGATTTTTTTCACCTATTAGAGCTGAATATCCCTCTGCCTTCCCTACCAGTCATCAGCATTATTACACTACATGATTCAGTCTTCATGGGCAATGCCTTACCTGGTGCACAAATATGGCTGCAGCCTCCATTAAACTCACTGCAAGGATTGCTACACTGCTGTTGATTCTTCACAACAACGCGAATACCATTAGGCCGGAAAGAAAAACTCACGGTCATTGCCATCTGACCTGACCCATCATATTTGTTAGCTCGGTAAACTTTTTTTGTGTTCCAGTCAGTCCAATAAATGTACTGGCCATAGAGAGTCAAGCTAAAAGGATGAAAGGCTCTGCTGACAACGACCTCACGCTGTGTGCCCGTCAGAGTACTCCGCTCAATCTTCTGCCTAAAATAAAGTGAAAAACATATTGCAAACCAGAAATAATAAGTTCCTCAAATGGCAGCCCAATGCTAACCATTCCAACCATTCCTTTACACAAGACCCAACTTTCTTCTCAAGGGTAGCATATGGCGGTGCTATGGCACCATCATCTGATGGTGAGAGGTCTTCGTCTGCTTATGAAACAATGGCCTATATAATATAATCACTGATTTGCAAACATTAATATAACCTGGAAGTAATGCTACAAAGGGAATCAAGCTGAAATTATAAACAGGAGACTATTATGAAATAATACACGCAAAGCATGGACCTCAGTGTACATAGTAATACATAGTACATAGTAATCACTCAATAAAACGTCAATTATTTTTTCTGTCCTATTCCCTTAACGACCTAGTACTTTGAGATATTTACCTAAAATGACCAAATTTAGATACTCAAATATACTGCTTGCTTCAAATGAAAAGATAAACAAAAGATGAGATTGGTAGGTGCTTAGTGTCACAAGACCAAAATCTTAAGAAAATAAGTTTTAAGATTTCTGACATGTAAACACCAGCAGTAATAAATGAAATCATCTCATTTTTTCAACTGTCCCATTAAGATGACTGGAATGTAATTTCAGGGCTACTTAAATAAGTTACATATAAAATTAGAATTGACCAAAGTTTATAAGAAAACATGGAAATTGGCTGAGAAAAATCTATTTGAGAAGACGACCAATAGTCAAAGACAAAAGGAAAAGTTTTTAACAAGACACAGAAGGCTAAAGCCCAGCAGAAACTCAATGTCAATGTGCGTTTAAAAGTCATTCATACTTTATAATAGTTACATGAGGCCTGGAAATTATAAATTGAATGATTACATTTACATTTATTATTGAAATTACCTCATCTACTAATGTGTCTTTAGATGCTTTCTAGTTCATAATTATTCATTCTCATGGTTTTCACATACATTCATCAAGCTGAGATATAGTTCATAAAACTGAGGTGCTAGCTTTTGGCCATGTCTATTTAGCATATTATGTTTTCATCATATTATGCAAATCCCTTCTTTGCAAGCAGAAGTAAGAACTCTTCTTATCAACACCCACAAGAATAATGAAAGACACGTACAGACTGGCATCTGCCCAGTAGAGAAGGTCATTCTCGTAGTCCAGAGTGAGGCCATTGGGCCAGACCAGGCTGCTGTTCACAATAGGTACCCGGAAATTTCCTCCCAGTGTGGCTCTCTCAATTTTGGCATTAGTACCCCAATCAGTCCAGTACATGTACCTAGTCATCCAAAAGGAGTCATAATTAATTCACCATAAGGAACCTCACAATACTTAAAAAGATTAAAAGAATGGCAGCCTTCTTTAACTGCAAATTTGACATTAGTATGTACATGAAACCCACTCCATTCTCACCCACACAACTTGCCTAAAAGGGACTTACTGAGTCAGGGCATTGATTCCTGGTGTGCGGCCAGCCTTCCTAGCATCAACAGGAATTACTTCCTAGTCAAAATCATTCATGCTCCCTCACACTTGAATATATAGCTATAGGGTCTCAAGCATATAAAATGTTGGCTGTCGATGAACATAGCAATTTCAGGCCCCGCTCCCTCCAGAAATAAGTATACAGAAATATGATAAATAAGATGATAGCATACCCTCGACAAGGATCCAATACAATTGCTCTTGGCTTTGAAACATGGGCTATCACAGTGCGCTTAGACCCATCCTCAGCAACTGAGTTAATTGTCTCATTGGTGTAGTCACTGTAATATATTCTTCTATTGATCCAGTCAAAGGCAATGCCATCAAGAGTCCCTTCACCTGGATGTATACCAACAAACACACACAAAAGAATTAGAATCTCAAAAAGCATTTCAGAACCCCCAGGTCATCCACATTGCTGATTACATTGTGTCAATTTCCAATATAAGCTGCTCCTTTAGTACCCTTACCTGAAAAAATGGCAGTGGAAGACCTGGTCCCTGAATTTAGATTGACATATGCAATCTGACCATTTCTAGATTCCAAAGACTGTGTGAAGTAGATTCTGTTACTTATGTCGTCATAAGCCAGATCTACAACAGCACTTTCCACATTTATCGGTTGGAAAGGTGGGCTGTGATCCTCAGGGTCCAAGTGTAAGCTTCTCAAGGTATTTGCCAAGGCAAAGACGAGGAAATTTTCTGTTGCAATGGCACAGTTCTTGCCATCACCTTGTAAGGTTCCAAAGGCACAGCCACATTTTGGGGTATTCAATCCAGGCACAGCAAAACAGAAATGGGCACATCCACCATTATCTTCCAAACAAGGGTTGTGGTTGACCTCAGCTGGTGACCGTGGCTGAATACTCTGGTCAAAGACGGTCACATCTCTTAGCCAATCAATATTGTCCCTTATCACCGTTGGCATCTCACTGCTATTTGGTTCCTTGCTAGCTTGGAAGATTTTTTTTAAATTTCTGTCTACCCATATGATAGAATTTCCAAAAACAGTTATGGCATAAGGAGTAGGATAACGACTTCCGTAACGAACTATTTCAGACACCTCTGCCTCAATACCGATCCTTGCAATTATATCTAAAGAATCATCAACCCAATAAACATAGCGATTGCTATGGTCTACTGCCAACCCCCGTGGTGTGACAATGCCTTCTGATACAAGCACAGTTCGGTTAGTACAATCAAGAAAAGAACGCTCAATCTTCGGGCTTTGGCCATAGTCAGCCCAGAAGAGATATCTGTTCTTGGGGTCTACAACAATATCCCTGGGTCTATCCACTGTAGCTCTAAGGAGAATACGGCGGTAGGTGGTGTTGATCCGCAGAACTTCTATCAGTGTTTCAGACACGAAAGCATTGGTGAAGTAAAGGTTTCCTGCAGGAAAATGAAAGAGCATACTGATAAGTGCAAAATCAGGAAGGAAAAAGAAGATACTTTTCAAATTCAGAACATAATATATAAGAGCAAGGTTTGGATCAGTAAATGTTATCTTTTCCAAGATAATAAATGACTCAGTTTAGACTTAGAAAAATAAATATTTACTCTTAAAACTAAAGAAATTGTTTCTTCAAATTTAAAGAGAAAGTGCCTACCTTCAGCAATTGAGAATTTATAGCAAACGTTATAAACCACTTTCTACTGACAAATATATTTTCCAGAATGCACACCTGAATGTTTAACACCTAAATCTCCACAAAGACTTAATACATATTATCTCATATTATCTTCTACTCCCAACATGATGAAAGGGGCAAAGAGGGAAGGTCATCAGTTTTTGACATTATCGATGTCATCAGGTGTTCTTTGTGCTTAGAATTAACAGGAGTTAGTTAATCTAACTAGTGTAGCTGTTTTCATCACATGGACCTTCTAGAGCCAACAATACAAAAATCCAATGTAAATGCTTGAATAAAATACAGTGCTGTGAGGGGCTCCTGGGTAGCTCAGTCAGTTAAGTGTCCAACTTGGCTCAGGTCATGATCTTGCAGTGTGTGGGTTCGAGCCCCGCATCGGGCTCTGTGCTGCCAGCTTAGAGCCTGGAACCTACTTTAGATTCTGTGTCTCCCTCTCTTTATGCCCCTCCCCAGATCATCTCTCTCTCTCTCACTCTCTCTCTCTCTCAAAAATAAAAATTGAAAAAAAAATTAAAGAAAAAAATCCACAATAATGTGAAGGCAGTATTATGAATAGAGAGTGATTACATATTGATTCTATATAGTCAAGAGCCTATTGCTGAAGTGTCAATTCTGGTACCAAGGAACATCTCGTTTGTTCCTAGGTCTGAATCAAATTGCTCTAGAGGAATCAGGCCAATGTGCAATATGTTAATGATCTACTCTTTGTATATTCAAATCCTTCAATCCAGGTTTTGTAAATATTTTCCAAAAAGGCACAGATAGTAATTATTTTAGGCTTTATAGAGCATATGGTTTCTTTCACAAGTACTCAGGTCTGCCATTGTAAACATGAGAAGCAGCCATAGACAATACATGAACAAATAGGCACAGCTGTGTTCCAGTAAAACTTCGCTTAAAAAAAAACAGGCATAATCAAAAGGTACAAATTTCCAGTTATAAAAAATATACGTACTAAGAATATACAATATAATGACTATAGTCAACACTGCTTTATGCCATATATGAAAGTAGTTAAAAGGGTAGGTCCTAAGAGTTCTCATTACAACGACAAATATTTTCTTTCTTCTTTCCTTTTTACTGTATCTGTATGAGATGATGGATGTTGGCTGTACCTACTGCGATAACCATTTCACATGTGAAAATCAAACTATCATGCTGTTTGCCTTAAGCTTCTATAGTGACGTATATCTATTTCTCAATAAAACTGTGGAAGAAAACACAGCCAGTGGGCTACATCTGGCCCACCGGCCATAGAGTGCTGACCCTACACTCTCAAAAGTAGTATAGGAATTTGTAATCATAAATGGGATTTAGGAACCCAATTAAACTCTTATCTAACTATTCTATGATATTACTATTCATAATAAACTCTTAGAGTACCTAGATTTCCATAATATATTTTAATATTTCTAAGTGCTGTTTACTTGCCCAACTTCATTAACACACAATGATACCTATTTTTTACAAAACAGGATCATATTCTTAAAATTAGAATACATTTAATACATTTGTTTCTCAGTGTTTTGTTAAACAAAAACAAATGATAATTTAAAATTAAGTACACTACACCTGTAACTAATATTACACTGTGTACCTTAAAAAGTAATAAAAATAAAAACAGCAGGTGATTTTGCTATATGCAAGAGTGGGAAAATGTCAAATCAGATGTGAGGATAATTACCAATAAATTCAATGTCAGCACATCAAAAGAGACAAGGGTTATGATCAGCTGAGCAGGGATTCATGAGAGCTTCAACAATGGGTAAGGAGGGAATAAATCAGTGATGACGGGTCCTGTCACCACCTGGAGATCATATTTGTATTCTTAGGGTTATTTGGAATATTAATAAATGTACGCTGCAGATGTCATTATAAAAAAATAAAATAAATAAGTACATGAATCAATATAACAAAGTTAATGTAATACTGGGTCAGGTATTTTCAATATAATTACAATAGAGAAAGTGCCTAATGATCAAAAGGGTTTCATACATTAACAAGAGGAAGCAATTTAGAATTTGTCAATTAAAGGGTGCCTGAGTGGCTCAGTCAGCTAACTGTCCGGCTTCGGCTCAGGCCGTGATCTCACAGTACATGATTTCGAGCCCCACATTGGGCTCTGTGCTGACAGCTCAGAGCCTGGAGCCTGCTTCAGATTCTGTGTCTCCCTCTCTCTCTTTTCCCCTCTCCCGCTCGTGCTCTCTCTCTCTCAAAAAATTTTGTAAATAAAATTGCTCAGCTTTAAAATAAATGATTGTCATTTCCTGGTTCACATAGTTTAATATCCTTTCTCTTTGAACATTTAGACATTTCTAATTTAGAAATTAGGTGTTAATCTAAGTGTGAAAAAAAACAAAACATAATTTTTCCAACCATTTTGCCTACAGTTCTGATTATGTTAATAATAGAAGAAAATGTATTAGCTGTTTTGAATTTGCCCACTGAAACGCCTTGTCATTAACTTAATAGAAATACAGCTTAATCTCAAAGCATAATTCAATTTTTCATAAATAATTCTCTAGAAGAATAGATTTGTAGGACATGTAGTGTTAACTTCTGGCATAAAACAAGATGAAAGAAATTTAAACACAAAAAGAGACTTCTGAGTAAAATCACTATACAGCTGACCTACCTGCTACCCAATCCACTGCTATTCCCCGAACTCCATTTTCTCCTATTCCTTGTGTAACAATGTTTGTAAAAGCAGACCCATCAGGTTTGATTCTACGGATTGCATTATAAGATGTCACAGAACTGCTAAAATCACACCAATAAATAAAGCCAGAGGATACATCAACATCCACATGCAGTGCATTTCGTCCTGAAACATTAAAAAAAAAGATCATTCAACAGTGCTCTAGCTGGAACTAGAACTTTAAAATGTTTGCCCACCCTCTCAACCCCCTGCTCTGACTGTGCCCCACTGCAAAATAAAACTGTTTCCCCACTGCAATGAACACACCTACCACCCAGATCATGGTTTCTAAAAGCCATTTCCCAAGATAAGAAGCACTGGCTTCTGCGAGAAACAGTAAGATGAGCCTAGAACACCTTCGTATACCCAGACGCAAGGAAGCACTCAAACACTAAGGGGATCACGAGATCACACAGGTAGCCATTTTAAGAGGTTTTTATCTGGATAAAATGAATCCAAAAGAGCATCAAGAGTTAATTGTGGTAAACGTTTATAATACATTGAATTATAAAAACTTGAGTCCATGATTACATTGTACACCTGAAACTAGTAACACTAAATGTAGGTGTGGGGGTACACACACACACACACACACAAACATACACAGAGTTCAAATGTACTGAAACATTAGCAATTTTTGTATCTAGGTGAAGGGTATGAAGATGTTCATTGTCCCTTTCTTTCAACTTTTCTGCATTTGAAATTTTTCGAAATGAAAAGTTAGGAGAAAAAATTAATTGATTTTATACTATCTTTACAAGATGGTAACTTAGATTTATAACTTTTTAGCTATGAACAAACAACGTCATGATTACCTGTGAATGTAATTATCAAGCAGGAGCACTGGAAGTTCCCTGACTTCTTACACCATATGCATTGCTATCTCCTCTGACCATCCACCCCTCCATTCCCTTCACTCTTTTTCTTCCCTTTCTGTCTTTTTTTCTATCATTATCCTGTGGCATAGTTCTTATGATGTTAATAAACATTTAGATCCCCCTGTGGTAACATGCAACTAGAAATCTCTTGGTTCATCTAGGAAGCAAGTGATCATTTTCTATGTTCACAGTATATAAACATTAAGTGCTGCAAAAATACAGTTACCAAGGAGATACTAATGTTGTCAACTCATTTATTTCAATCCATCAAATGGATATTAATAAATCAGATTATGGACTACCTCATTACTATTCTAAGTAGTAGAACCTTGACCCTAAATCTCCATTTACTGTTCTAAACACCAACGCTGTAATACTTCTAGCAATCTCATTCTACATTCTATCTTTCTCTAGTCTTGTCATTCTCAGTGTGGTCCATGGACCAACGACATCAGGTGACTTGGGAACTTTTAGGAATGTAGATTCTCTGGCCCTAGCCCAACCTACGAAATGGGATCTCCAATTCTGATGCACACTAATGTCTGAGAATCATTCAAGGCAGAGCCAGTTTATTTCAAGAGAAACCTTCATTACATGCTGAATCCGAACATGAAGAAACGCTTTATGGCACCAAGAATTCAACATGGCACAAATCTTACTTATATTGAAGTTAGCATACCTTGGGCCGCCACTGGCACCATGGCTTCTGAGTGATCTGAAAATTCCAAGCTAAAGCCTCTAATTGTAGACAGCATTGAAACAACAAGGAAAGAGCTATATGGAGAGCAGGTCCGATTATCAGGATTGAGTTTCATTCCCGTGGCACAGGCACATGAGAACAATCTCCCTGGTAAAGGCAGGCAAATCTGCTGACAGGCATTCACATTGTTGCTACAGCCATTGTAGGATGTGCCTAAATGAAATCAAAATTGGGTTATAACTTTTGACCTCATATACTTACCACTCCACCTCAAATATTTTATACTGGGTCAAACAATTCATTATAAAAATCAAAAACAAAATACAATACCTGAGTTAACAACATAAAAACAACACTGAAGAAACTGTATCTTAAACAACTAACATATAACCACAACTATGGTTTAATAGAGAATCGAGCATCAATGGTTTTTCTTCCACAAATCATATAAGAATTAGAGAGGTCAGTATGCAAATTCTAATTCTTTTCACCATTTCAATCTAGGTACTGGCATTTAAAATTACATCAGTTTAATTATATGATCAACAATGTGATGGGCTTTTGATTTACAATATTTTTTCCCATGCAATAAAAAGAAATGCCAAGTGGAAAACCTAGGTTATAGACAGCAAACAAACCATGTGCCAACCTTCAGTTAGAGACTAAAAGCCATAAAATATGTCAAAATGTTAAAAAAATAATCTCTACATCAAAATGCTAATCTAAGGGGCAAATCAAAAATTACATTATCTATAGAAAAAATGTTAAAATCAACAAGTATTCCTTTTAAGATGAAAAATTCTATTCTGTTAACACTTTCCTGGCAGATCTAACAAATGTTTACTGACCACCTTCAATGTGCCAGGAACTTGTCTAGTTACTATACATAAAGCAAGAAACAGGACAGACAAAATGTCTATCCTTAGAGAGGTTACATTCTTTTTAATTTTTTTCACTGTTTATTTTTGAGAGAAGGAGACAGAGTGCAAGTGAGGGTGGGGCAGAGAAAGAAGGAGACACAGAATCAGAAGCAGGCTCCAGGCTCTGGGCTGTCCACACACAGCCCGATGCAGGGCTCGAACTCATGAAATACAAGATCATGACATGAGCCCAAGTCAATGCCTAACCACCAACTAAGCCACCAAGGAGCCCTGGGAGGTTATATTCTAATGAGTAACACAGACAACAAATTGATAGATAATATGTCAGGGACTGCTGTGAAGCAAAAGGAAAGTAATGAGTGATGAAGAATGGGAATAAGCTTATTCTGAAATCAATCTGGCCTTCTGAATGCCTAGTCTTTGACAATTAGCCAAGTTTATGATAGGGCTATCATTTTTCAAATATTGGGGGTAATTTCAATTTCCATGCATGTGTATGTATATAGGTCTGTGTGTGGGTGTGTGTTTTTATATGTAAGCATGTAGCTGTGTGGAATATGCATCATACATTTGTGAATATGTAGGTTTAAGTGACAAATACTTACTGTATCTGTGATAAACTCGGAGACCCCTCAAGTTTGGAATATTCTGTCTCAAGACTATTTTGTCGCCCCCAGTGTTCTTGTCAACTCTTTCAATGACCTCATAGTCTTCATCAGTGTAATAAAGGTAAGAACCATAGACAGCAACTCCCCAGGGACGGGAAAGATGGTTTACCAGGATCATTCGATTTGTACCATCCACGTTTCCTCTTTCAATCTAAAAGATCAGAATTGTTGTCACTGACTGATACATGGTGAAACAAGAGACACATTTAAAACTAACATTCTCTTAATAATAATACCTCACATCTACATCCTTTACAGAGATTTTTCCTATTTGTTTTCTGATTTGATATTCACAATTATGTTGAGCAATAGATGAAGCCATTGTCATTATGCCTATTTTGTTGGTAATGAAGTTGGAGCTCAAGTAAGTCAACCAACTTTCTCAGATGGCATGGTGAAGGAAAAGGAACTAAACCTCATTAGGCTCTGCATGTAATATTCCAGACAAGGATACACATTCAATGTGTATTACCCAGGAGTATCAACCATTACCCAGGAGTTGACTGACTCTTCATTTAACGTCTTCGCCAACAATTTCTGCAACGGGAACAGAATACATGCTCCACTCAATGGCAGGATAACAAGATTTCAATGGGGTAAAGGGTAATGGTGTTATATTAGAAGAGCTAACAAGTCTCAGTGAAAATGACTCTGGAAAACTGGAAAAGAGCTCACAAAAATGAAGTTCCTAATGAGAAATGACAAGTTGTCTGCTTTTGGAAGAAAAATAAAATGTGGACATAGCTGGTTTGATTTCATTCCAGAAACTTGTCTCAAGTGCCTCCTCTGTGCCAGGATTTGAACTGAGTACACTGGTGAGAGAGACAAATGAGGTTTGGCTCACTGCCTTGCTTGACAGGGAATCCAGCAGTTATAAGAGCAGATTATGTCCTAGAGTGACAGAAATTCCAGAAAGCTATAGCACAGGAAAGCTAAGCTTAGAGGGGAGCTTTGAAGGAGTGACCAGCACCAGATTAGCTGACCACTCTCAGGTGAAGTGTTTGGAGCTACTCCTATAGGCTGAGCAGTGACCAAACCTGTTTTCTGGTTTTATGAAGGCAACAGGTCTCCATCATAAAAGCAAGGTTTATTAATGACAGCTGTCATCCACTCAAAGCTAGATAGAAAGGGCTCAGATGATGGAGGTGGCAGAAAAAGGTAGAACATGAGAAAAGGGACAGAGGACAAATTGTCAGGATTTTGTAATAGTTAAATATGGACAGACTTAGTAGAGTAAGGGGAAACATGAGGGCTCTGACTTGGGAGAAAAGATGGAAAGTCACACAACTAACAAGCTCACACAGTCAGGAGGGCAGAGCAGATGCAGGAAGGGAGAAAGTTGGTGGGTCACTGTCTGAGACAGGCTAACAGGCTAAGTCGTCCTAGAAATTATACCATGGGAAAAGAGCTCCTTTATCATTGCACAAGGCATCTGTAAAGTGCTTTTAAAACATCACTACTTCTTCTTCATCCTCAAAGTTTATCACCATGGTAAGTACATACTAGGAATTAAATTAGCATTTGTTGAACTGATAATGAACTGAAAACCAAACCTATTGCACAATATTATGGAGAACACCAACATCAAAACCAGATCTGAAGTCACTACTATTTAAAAGGCAAGGAAAAGACTAGCATACAATCAATTCAATATCCATCGCAACATTCTAATTGATGAAGTTATTACTGAGCGCCTTCTGTGTGCCTAGTCCCAGCTCAACTGCGTAAGCACAACAGTGATGATCAAATATTATTTCTGCGAGTGAATGGAATTATTGTTTCTGTTTCTTATGGCAGAATATAATGAACTCAACCCTGGGCTTTAAAATTATCTCTATAGGAGTTTTTTTATATGTGCTAACCATATTAAGACATTAGAAAATAACATGTGCCTAGGAGGAGATGCTATGCTCAGAAACTTGGTATATACATTTTTTCCTTCAGTCTCTACAAATTGGAGAGCCTAGAGAACTTGCAAAGAAAAGCACTAAAATCACTAAAACAGGAAAGAAATGGTTCTATTAGGACAAGTAAGAAATGTGAAATGGAAATATTTGACCTGGAAAAAAAAAAAGGATGATGAAAATGGCAATGAACATTATTCCGTAAAGCACTACGCACATGAAGAAAATACTGGACTTGAAAGTATTCAACTATGGCAATATTTACTCTAGGGAAAAAAGTCATTGGGAGAAAGGGCAATAAAACACTGCTCCATGTGGCCAAGTGAGATTGTTCAGGAGACCCAGCCACACAAGGAACAATCAGTATCAGCTATACAAGCTCAGCAATAAAGATAAATAAAATAAAGATAAATAAAAGACTGTGCATACCACTCCCGTGCTGGTGACAGCCCAATAGAGTTTCTGCTCTGTAATATCAAGGGTGATAAGCTCCACGTGTTCAAGGTTCCCAGTGAAGAGAACTTTTGGAAATGTGCCATCCATGTTAGCACTTGCAATCTTGGCAGGAACACCACTGTCCGTTCCTTGGTCCGACCAGTACAGTTTCCTACAACCATGAAACAACACCAGCATTTAATAAAACAGTTTCATTAAATATTTAAATGAAAAAAAAGTTATTTATTGCCCTTGAGATGTGCACAAGTCAATGGAGGAAGTCTGAATCATTAATATCTTGTGACATACAATGTGGTGATGTACTTAACCAGTGTTCTATCCTAATTCTTTTTGGGGTAGGATGCTAGCACCTTACATTGGTAGGGGATATTTTACCTTGGTCAGACAAGTTGGAAGCTTATGTTGTGACTGACTAAGAAAGAGCCTACATCAATGGTCAGTCCCTTTCAAAGAATCACGTACTGTGCAGTGCCCTGGGAAGGACAAAGCTCATGTAAAAGTTGTTCAAGTACCTCCCTGCTCACCTCTCAGGCCTGCTATCTAATTCTCCAAAGCATCATCTAGCACAAGACCAGCTACTTTCTCTTCTGATTTCTGTGATGAAAAAAATATTACACACAAACGCTACTTGCCACACAGAATTGCCAAATCCATGATATACAAAATTTCATTAAAATATGTGACGGGTTGCTTTCTATTTCCACTGGAGACATAGCTTCTAGATTTGAATCTAAGTTTCCATTCCTTTCTATCTCAACTGCTGCCATAGCCCCATGAGACAATCCTCTTACACTCTTTCCCCACAAGTCTTCAAACCCCTTCATTCTGATCTTTATTTGCATACCTCTTAGCATGAGGCTCATCTTCAAGTCTAAGCTTCCCGACTGCTAAGTTCTCAAGCTCTGACATTCTCTGCTTCAACTAAACACTCCAATCTCTTCCTGAGTCAGTTCAACCTTAAAACTTGCCTGAGCTTCCAAAACTTCAGTCGATCTCTGCCTGCACCACATACATAACCGTTTTAGCAACATCCTTATTTATTCTCTTCATCTCCCATTGTGCCTACCTTGCTAACAACTAGACCCAAGTTCCTGTCATAATTTTCTTTCTTTTCTCAAATTCTGGGCTATCAAAAGTTTGCTGGACAAACTCAAGTCTCTTGTGAATTCTGAGTTCCTTAAAAATTTAAGCTACCTCATCTTAGCTGAGAACTCTCCTCCCCACCTGAACACTTTCTCCTAATTGGTCTCCCTGCCCCTGGCCTCTTCCACTCTGAGCCTGACCCATCTTTCTGAAATAAAAATTTGATTCTATCATTCTCTTCCTCCAAAATCCCAGCTGACTCTTTCTTTCTCAAAAGAAAAAAGTGCAACTCCTTAGCAAGATGACATTAAAGTCCTTTCAGGATTTTTCCCCAAATACCTTTAGCTTCCATCTTGTCAACTATCACTGACCTCTATGCCTCTGGCTTCAGCCCTTTACACAGTCATGCTAATTGCCGTGATGCTTCTGCGCCTTCCTGCTCCCTTGGCCTCAAGTACCAAACCCTTTCTCCACCCATAGGAAATCTTCTTCAAGTTCAATTTCAGATGTTATCTAGCTCCTTAAATCTTTCCACACTCACTCAAAGTCAGACTGTATTCTTAATTGCTATAATTCAATTTTTTAATGACTAAAATTACTGTTGCTAATTTAAAGAACATAGAACAAAACACGTATTTACATCCTTTATGTTAGATATAAACTGGAGCTGTTTCTATTTCTCACTGAGATCTGTATTTTTCAAAAGGTTGGCATATGAAATCAGAAAAGGCCCTAAGTTTGAAATCTTCCATTTTATCAGGTCACAACTTTAACAAGAATGGTGCTACATAGAGCACATGTGTCATTTATGAACACTCACCCGTTAGCAGGGTCAACTGTTATGCCAACTGGCATACCAACTCCAAGAGCCGTCCCGTCGTTGGTCATCAGGGTTTTTCTGTATCTGACATCTCCCCGGAGTTTCAAAACCTATAGCATAAAGTCACTTATTAAAACTGAGTTTCAAAAGGGGAAACAAAGAAGGCTGAGATGAAGGAGAACTTACACACACAAATTCCAAAGCCCGATTAGAGATGAATGGGAGGGTTTGTGGAGATTCAGATAATCCCTAATTGCATTTTAGGGCTATGAGGAAATCAGCTCAATAGAAAATGAGTAAGAAAAGCAAAATCACCTCTCAAATTCCTATGGATAAGAGATGAATTCAAATGGGTGAACATACAGAATCACTGCCTCATAGAAGTTACTAACATGCCTTCAGAAAAAGATACAGGAAAATTCTGGAAGACCAGTGGAAACCCCACAGGTCTCCTGCAACCCAGTGACTTGGCCAAGTCACCCATCACTGACCAACCAGTCCAAATTTCCTCAGAGCTAAAGTGAATTCTGTGCCCAAGTTAACAGCCTAAGTTAAAGCAAAAGAGTTCAAATCCTTGCCCATTTAGATCTGATTGAGACAAGTAAATTCACCTGTCTGAACTTAATTTATTAATGAAGTGTGGATGATAATTGCATATTGTGCATAGAACTAAGAGATAATACATGTAAAGCATTTAACATAGCACCTAGTACAAGAGTGTATCCTATTTTGTTTATTGATCCATTTATTGAATATTTATTATGCAGCAGGCATTATACTAAACATTGTTGGATTGAATCCTCACAACTGTGATGTGAGATAGATACCCACATTACAGATGATGAAAGAGGCCTATGGACATTTAGTGGCTATCTTGAAATTGCCCATTTTTAATTATTACTGCTATAATTGCTAAAACTGATGTCAATAGTATTCTGAAACATCACAAAAAATATGTATTACTAGACTATAAGTAGTTTCTTATAGGAACAAGGCTATTCTAATCTGTACTTGAAACAGTTTGAGAGGAGAAACACCTAGTAAGAAATGAGAAAATATATATTGATTGTTTATTTACACAAAGGCTTTTCTATAAAGTGCTTTTTAATGCAAATAGATTGTGTATCAGTGTTTGGTTTTGGTTTTGGTTTTGAGAGAGAGAGAGAGAGAGAGAACACATGAACAGGGGAAGGGCAAAGGAGAAAGAGAATGTTAAGCAAACTCCACACCCAGGCTCAATCTCATGATCTGCGCTGAAATCAAGAGTCACTGATTGAGCCACCCAGAGACCCATGGTCTTTATGTTTCTATCTTTTCCCTCATTCTGTCTCTTTATGTATTTTTTTCCTCTCTCCTTCTCTTCCTACCACACACACACACACACACACACACACACACACACACCCCTCTTTAATCCCTCACTCTTCTCTCTAAATTTTCCTCTCTCCTGTCTGGTGTCTTTCTTTTTTTAAAATTTGCCTCTTTCCACCAAAATTTCTCTCCTTTTCTTAAGCTTAAGGATCTCTTTATTTCAAAGGAAAGTTATTTTCCTTTATTTAGGATATATCAAGTTCTCTCTCACACAATTATTCTGTACACTTCTTTGCAGCAGCAAAATTGAATGGGCACACAGCTACCCCTAGTGGAAAACACTTATTCAGTATTTGTCTTATTTTCAAATTTGAATTAAATAGGAGTAACTCTTTCTGAAAGGATATTATTCAGGTAAACAGTATGTGAACAGTATTTCTGTGCCCTTAAGCAATATAACATTCACCTGAGTCACCACTGATATCACCAAAGGAGAAAAACAATTAAAACACACACACACACAACACACACACACACACACACACACACACACACACACAAAGGACAATTTACTTTTGGATCATTATTTTCATAGGCCGTCTGTGGAAAAGGGGGAAAGGACTCTTTATAGTCACAGGATACCTTAGTGTCGAGAAGTACTTTTAGTTACTGAGATATAATCCCATTTTTCAGATACAGAAGCTGAGGCTCAGAAAAGTTAAGTAATTTGTTCAGTATCAAATATCCTGTGAGTAGAGGAAATACAGTGCTGTCCTCAATGACAAAATGCATTTTCAAGTCTCAGAGTCTTTATCAAGTGCTTTCCTCTGCCAGGATGTCTTTTCCCTACTTCTTCATTTGGCAGCCATAAATATTGGCTCTCTTTCAAGAGGCAGCTCACAAGTCACTGATTCTCCTGCCATTCATTCTCCCCCCAACACTTTCACTTCTGCCCCTAGTCACAAAACACTTTATAGTCACGGCTCATATCACACTTAGCACACTGGAAGAAAGCTATTTGTTTTTATGTCTAGCTCTCAGAGAGTGAACTACTTATAAGCAGAAAAAAATATTTTACTCATCTTTGAATATCCAGGACTAACAATAGGACAGATCCATTTACTAGCATTTGTTCAATGAATGAGCCAGACTCAAAGCAGGTCTTTCGACTCCAAAGAAAATTATCTTTCTTCTGTGCCTGACTGCATTGGGGCACAGTTACAAACTTTACGTTTATATGATTACAGTGGCCTTACCAAGATACACATTTGTGCACACTCACTCACTCAGTTATCCATCAGTGGGTGCCTTGTCATTGTACCTAATACTTATGGAGGAAACATGTCCTCTGCTTTTGGAAAACAATCAGTGTACAAAGGAAGACCTCTGTTTACAAAGCAAGAGACCAAAAGACAGAGTAAGAACATATTCATTGTCATTCAGAATGAAGACAGCCCTGTGCCAAGCAGACACTAGAGCTGTGTTTGGAATTAAGGGTTTTAGGCAGTCAGTCAATTGTGCCAATGTTTTGATGGGAGAGTGATATTTTTAGTTGAGATTATGAAAAATCACCTTTTGTCACTGTCAAAGGGGGTTAAAGCAGGCTGGACTGCTAGAATTATCATTTATAACAAGGCAAAGTCAGAACACTGCCTGGGAATCAAGGCAGTGAAGCTGACTGTTTAAGCCAATTTCTAAAATTATGTAAAATTCAGGAGCTTATCTAAATAACAAAGGGTTTGAACCAGATGGGCCTTCAAGAATCCCCTCATGTTAAGAGCTGATGATTTTACATGGCTTGAGAAAACTGGGAAGTTAGCATTTGTGCAAATTGCAAATTCCTCTCTTAATTGTGTTGCTTGCCCTTGGGAATGTTGAGAGGATTAAAAGAGATCCTATTTGTAGAAGACTTTTGTACACTATAACCAATGTTCTGACCAATCTGCTCAAACTTCACCACTTAGCTGCTACGTGCCTTCCTCACCTTCAGCATCTCCCTTTCTGAATACCCTGTAGAGCTGGTGCCTCACATAGTCCTAACTGCCCTTCCCACAAGACCCTCCCTTTGCTTTAGAAATTTTCACTTTCAAAATTATTATGGATTAATAACCTCGTCCCAGAATGGTAACAAACCAATACTAGTTGAATTACCTTTGATTTGCGTCATGTGATTGCATACCTGTGTCCCATCTAGAATTTCTTCTGGGAATTAGAGTAAAAAGAACACTTATCGCACAGAGGAAAAGTATCAAAGGATTTAGAATCAAGTTTCTACTTTCTGTTTCACTGTTAGAAAATCTGTATTGGAGCCATAGAAAGATTTCCATCTTAGAACACAGGTAACCTATCAGTTTGGTTTGGGACTGAAATAGCATTACAGACTTGATGAAGAAAGATAGCGGAAATCTCCTGCCTATTATATTCTTCCATGCCTAATGCTGAATTCCTATTTAAACTATTTTTACAAATTATCTAAAATCCTTTTATATAAAAAAGTTAATATTAATGCTTAGAAAGAAAACAAAATAGGGCAGTAGAAAGTTCCAACAATTTATTTCTAAGGTGCTTTTACTCTTTTGCTTCTAAGACTTCTAGTTAATATCGATAGCTACTCTTTTGCTTCTGCTTAAAAATAATTTCAAAAATCAATGAGACCATTTCCTGAGAATAGATTATACATGCATCAAAAACTAGTGTTTGTGTAGCTAGTATTATGGAATCATTACCTCAATTGACAGAGTAGCAGGATTGGTATAATATAAGTTTTTTGATATCCAATCCAAGGCCAGGCTCATGGAAGAACCCAACCTAGACAGAGAAACTAATACTGTCCTGTTGGTGCCATCTATCTTCACTCTGTGAATTTCACCCTGGAAAGAAGGACACGGAGAAGTGAGCTGTTTCAAAGAAGACCACAGGTTCTACAAGGAAGCATGTTCTTCACCATTGCCTGCTGCTATACTTCCTGAACACCCCTCACACCTGGAGGAAAGGCAAAGGTTCAACGCCATTGGGTGGGCTCACTGCGTATAATACTAACACCAGCAACACTTCAATATGTCATTAAAAAATTATTTTTAAGTGGGTCAGAGCACAATGCAAGACATATCATTCGGGTTGCCTCTGATATTGGCTATGGAGATTTATTTCTTAACTACCACAGGCCATAGTCATAAAAATAATCCATCTCATCAATGAAAATCAGAAGGCCAGAGCATATTTTACATAGAGGTCACAAGCCTCAAACACAAAGATCATCCCTCTCTTCCTCATTTGTGATCTCTCTGCCCCTTCCCTCCTCAGAGCTCTCTCCTCTAAAGGGTGAGCTCCAACCGAAAGGGAACTGAAGGAGGGCTCTTTTTACCCTGGAGGAAAAGGTGCTGATGAAGATCCCAGCAGCCACATCAAATGCTTTCCTGGAATTCCTTCAGAGAACTATTGCTTCTTGTCTTGAATGATGATCATTTTTATGATCATCTAGTATCTTCTATTAGCTCAAAACTCCTTAAGAGCAATCTTTGTTACCACTTCTTGGTGTATTTTCTACAGTTGGGAGTAGCTAGTTTGGTGCAGAACAAATAGTAGGCACTTAATAATTACTTGCTGAATGAATAAATGAATAAAATCCAAAAGCTTAAATGTGCTTATTATCTACTCTGCTCCAGGTCAGCCTCCTATTTACATCCTTTGCTGAATCAAAAAAAGCTTAGTAGTAAATTAATTTATTTCTGGACCATTTCCCTTTTATCCACTCAGCAAAAGTTTGCTTATAAGAAGGCATTAGTGTAGGTAGGCTCTTTGAAAACAAGTTATATACTTTGAATGTTATTCAACACTTACTGGATTCTCAACCCAATAGATGAACTGCTCTGAGTAATCAAATTCAACATCATAACCGTTCATTATCCCTGCTATGGGAACCATAGCATCATTGCTCTTCACCTCAGGATTGAGGAAGAATCCAAAAATTATACTGTATCTTACAGTTACTAAGAAAGGTCGATCATCTGTGAAAATAGCAGATATCAGTCAAAATTATATCCTACTATTCCCAGACATTTAGAGTAATGGAAAGCAGTGGATTGTTACCATCTCATAGGACAAAATGCCATTGAAAGCTTTGCGGCAATAAATACCATACATGATACATATTTCATCAGACAATCCAGGGCCTTTGATTGGATTTCAACAGGTTGCTAGGTCACCAAACCTCCAACCCTAGAAACACTTCTGGACTTTCCCAAGGAAGATCAGTATTTACCTTGCTCTTCATGAATTCGTTACTTACACTGATAAAGCGTCCGTGTTTGTTAAATGTCACATTCTACACATAGATAAACCTAACTAATACTGAATTTAAAAAGAGAAAGAAAACATATAGACTATTCTTGGTGAATGGCAATTTATTAGTCTTAAGTGTGCTCAAAAAATAAAAACACTACCAAGTGTGGCCTGGTGTTTATTAGAGGTGAATTTTAATTACTAAATAAAGTCCAATTTATAATCTCCCCAATTGTTGTTTGATCAATGGCTGTCTTCCACACTAGATTCTAATTCCAAAAAGGTAGTAACTATGTCTGATTTACTCACGATTCTGTCCCAGAACCTTGCAGGTAATAGTTGCCAAATAAATGCTTGCTAACTAAATGAATGACCACATAAACAAATAAATGGATGGATGCATAAGTCAAAGTGTAAATAGTGTCTTCTAAAGTTCTCAAAAGTATCTGCATTTTGCAACTTAAACATTCTCAAAATACCTTATTCAAATTATCAATTCACTTAACCTCCTTAATAGATAATAAAAGGTCCTTTTCCTTTTTCCTGCTTTTTTTTTTTTTACTAAGCAGGTTCCAAGGTTTATTCACAAGACAAAGCCAACCACTGTAAAAGCAAAATACTTCAGTAAATAATCCACACATCTTCAGCCCATAGGAAAGCACAAAGTCATACTAGAAGTTGGTTTATAAGCTTCAAATATGGACTCTGGCCACTCAGGTTTGATAGTCTGATGCCTTCTCTCAGATTGGAGACTTGCTGGCCTGGCTAGGGACCAGAACTGATGACCAAGATCCCTAATCCCCACTCAGTGCAAAAGACATCGATACTCTCTGGCCATCTGTCTCCTCTTCTCTGGTCTAAGGGTTCTTTTTCACAGATAATGCCTTTATCCAAAAAACAAAAAACAAGAAAACAAAAAAAATCTAAAATGAGGAAATCAAGAGTAAAAATGTATTTATAATTCTCTCATAAAAGGAAAACTGGAATGTGAGTTTTGTGTTATGAAGACATATATATATATATATATATAACATATACCCCATATTAAGCAAAATAGAAAATGATTATTCACTGCATAATTTTCATCTACTAAAAATGATGTTTTCATTATTTTTATAATCTGGACACTTTTCAGTCTTCAATGTGAGTATTTTTAAAGTTTATTTATTTATTGAGAGAAAGAAAATGTGAGTGGAGGAGAGCAGAGAGAGAGCGAGAGAAAGGATCCCAAGCAGGCTCTTTGCTGTCAGCACAGAGCCCAACATAGGACTCAGTCTCACAAACCTTGAGATCATGACCTGAGACAAAATCAAGAGTCAGATGCCCAACTGACTGAGCTACCCAGTTGCCCCTGGCTCTTAACTTCTTAACTTATTTTAACATCTCATTAACTTTTCCTTTTTCCTGTCATTTCAGTTACTAAAAATTACCTAACATTTATAAACTGAGTAAAAATTTAAAGCAAATAATGCAACTATTAATGCTTTATATTTTACAAAGTGCTACAATATACAGCATTTACTCTTTCCATTAAATCTGTGAAGAGGTTTTCAACTAAGGCCAATGAAACTTTCCAGGGCTAGTGAGATTCATCTGTCCTCTCCCAACTGCTCCACATCGCCTCTCTTCTGAACAAATGAAATAGCCATAATAATTGGCCCTATTTATTGAGAATAGGGGCCACATAGTATGCACTAAATATTCATTCACTTAATTTATCTCCCTGAAGCCTCTTGTTAGCCATCCCCACCCCCAGCTCTCAAATGAGGCACAAAGAAATTAAGCCATTTAACCAAAGTCACACAGCCAGGTCCTCAGATTCCAAAACTTATGTTCTTAATCACTACACAAAGTGAAGGCTGGGTACTAGTTCTTGAATATCAAATTACCACTCAATTCATTTGATTTAACATGCAGTAACAAAATGTGTAAGCTATATTAAGAGTTTAGATGTACCTTGAAATTATAATGAGATGTTTAATTATTGATTATACATTGTAAGTGTTCATTGGTGCAGTAAAAACAAGAAAATTCCCCAATTTCACAGGATAAATTGTAAATTTTACTGACTCAAAACCTAACAATGCTCTTTTTAATGTGTAATTTTCTTTTTGCTTAATTGGAGGAATTCTCAATAAAGCACTGTTTAGGGACGAAAGAACTGCATTTCTCATCCATCAAACATGGGCTTTCTGGATTCTTCCCAGAAGCACTTCTCTCAAGTCCTACCCAGCTCTACTCCTTCGGCCTCTATTTCTTTGTCAGGCAATGTCTCAGGCCCTTGATCTGATCAGGTATATTGGAGAGGGCTTACCACTAGTGAACATTTATGGGCAATGAACCAGAGAGTGGGAGTCATTTAGTGCTACACTAGCAGGAAGTGAGAGCCTAGGCAAAGGATGATGCCAGAGAGAGTGCATGAAAAGTGCTCTGTGGGAAAGAAAAAAGGAGCGATTTGATGACACAATACAGCCATAAAGGAATAAATAGGTGGAAAACACAGGAATGAAGAAGGAGCAAGAAAGAATATTGGAGGGCTTCACTGAAAATTTCCTGAGTGCTAGTATGTGCCACAGGCAACGAACAAATATCAATGAATCAGGTGGAGGCTTAATCTGCAAGGAACTTTGAGTCTATAGAACAAGGCAGTTCAGAAGGAGGTGATATTTTAAGACATCTTAACATAGTATGTCTCAAAAAATGAAATTTGGCCATTTGTAGCAACATGGATGGAACTAGAGGGTGTTATGCTGAGCGAAATAAGTCAGGCAAAGGACAGATACCATATGTTTGCACATATAGGTGGATTAGGAAGAAGTTAACGGAGGATGAAGTGGGAGAAGAAGGGGAAAAATAGTTGGGGAGAGGGAAGGAGGCAAACCATGAGAGACTCTTAAATGCTGAAAACAAACTGAGGGCTGAGAGGGAGTGTGGGAGAGGGGAAGGGAGGTGATGGGCATGGAGGAGGGCACTTGTTGGGATGAGCACTGGGTATTATATGGAAACCAACTGGACAATAAACTATAAAAGAAACTCAGTCTTTTGGAGTTAAAAATCGTATATTTATATTTATTCTTTATATCATGATCCCATTAAGATTCGTCTAAGCAGGGCAGAGAGGTAAAGAGAAAGCAGCTGGTAATGAGAAGTTTATGTTGTAATCGAAGAGCAATGTTTACTACTTCCTAGTTAGGTTCTCCTTAACTCAGACTTTGCACTAACTGATCAGCGCCTCAAGCTTTCTAACAGTGTGTGCAAGGAGTGTGTTCTTCTTACGTGGCACTTAATGACTGAGACGATTGCCTTCTGTCTCTCTCACAATGAAGCAGAAGCCTATTTTGGATTGGAGGTTGTTTATTGTAGAAGATGCTGGAGCAATGTTTTGGTTTGCTTTTTTGGTTCTTGTTCATTTGTTTTTGGCATTGTGGAGGTGGAGAACATATTTTTGAAAGAATAAAAAGCTATTTCATACAGAAAAAGTTCTTGGCTTAAAATTTTATGTCATAAAATTAGGAAAAAAGAAATATCTCATAATTCCCTTACTCAACTGTAACCACTATTGGCGCTTATGTGTGTTCTCTTCCAGGTCTTTTTAATGCATATTTTTACATGGCCAGTAGTGAACAGTATCTGCTTTTCACTTAACCTTATCGCATCAGCAGTTCCAAAGATATTCCAGACACTTAGTAAACAATATTTTAAAAGCTATTTAACCCGTAAATCAAGTAAAATGTTTTCATCTATAAATGGTAACAAGCTTCTAAACTTCTGATTGAGAAAATAATGTGCACCTCTTTTTCTTCGTTAACATATACTGGCATTCAGTTACCCAAGTGGTACTCAGAAATCAGTTGAACAGTGCTAAAAAAGTTCCACCCTAGTAAAGTCAATCAATGGAAAACCACTAGTGGAATTATTTGTGAAATAACAAAAGCTACTATTTAGATATCAATCACCATCAGATAGTAATATTGATTACACCAATCCCCAATGCACAGTTCAACAACCTTGGCATGGTGAAAGAATGCTTTGTATCCAAAATGTCTGCAGCCCAGTTTAATCTTCTGCTGAGAGACTCTGAGGACACACTAAATTAAACAGTGTCAACAAGGATTAGGTGCATAATAAGTCTCTGAAGAAAAATGGCAAATGCCAATCCCTTTGTAAGCACTACCAATAATTAAAATCTTTCATCATGAAAGTATCATTGCAAAATATTATACCTAGATGGAATTCAATTTTCAGGAAGCCTACATCTGCAAAATCTGTAAACACCATTAATTTCCTGGATTCAGCAAAAATTTTCCACTTGAATAATAACTTTCCCTCTAGATTAAGATTCTGTTTTCTCTTAGCTTAAGGATTTTGTATCATTAAATATTTTAACTTTCTGCAACCACTTTTGTCAGTACCAAAATATTCACGAACTAAATTCAAAAAGCTTAAATTTAGAATAACTCTCTAGATTTTTAAGCAAAGGTAAATATTTTTAAAAAGATTATTATTGGCGGCAACTGGATGAATCAGTCAGTTGAACATCCAACTCTTCTTTTAGGCTCAGGTCATGATTTTGCCCCACATTGTGCTCTGCGTTGACAGCATTAAGCTTTCTTGGGGTTCTCCCCACCCCGCACCTCTCTCTCTCTTTCTCTCTCTGCCCATTCTCTGCTCACACACACTATCTATTAACTATGTTTACACTATAAACATTAAAAACACTTTATTTTATATATTTTACATATTCCAGAAGAAATCTGTTTTGTGGATTGACTGTATCTTTCCCTTTTGTTCTCACTCCCTAATAATAATAATTGTCCACATACATTTCTATCAACACAGTAAAGTATCTTGGATGAGATGAAGATCAAATTGCTCAAATAATCACTTAACGATCTTTCATACAAAGAAAACATTCATTTTTAAAATACCAAATATTAAAGTTACTGAAATTGGGATCAGAAGGCCTATGCTAGAACACTCATCACTATTAGTTACAACAATACAAATGAGAGAAGGAAGCCATAATCAAGTGTTAAAAATTCTTACTCCTTAACTGCAGAATTGGGAGGTTTCCATTATCACCACTTGTCTAACTATAACCAGGTAAGAGAAAACATGAATCACATGCACACGTAATATGAGCTTTATATACAGAAACTATATTACAACTGAGGTGCTCAATTAAATCACCTCATATGGCATATGTACTCAAGAGACTTGCTGAATCAAAGGGAACACAGCACACATTCCATGAGCAAGTGGCTTAGAGCTTACACCACTCTGCTAAACCAAGGCAGACTCTGCCTTCAGGGCACACTTAAAGGGCATACAGTACCTCTCAAGCAAGACACAGAATCATAAGAAAGAGTCCATCCTGAGGGACAAACACAAGAATAAAGGCGTGGCCTCTGTGAGGAAAGCAAGCATAGATGTCTGCAGGAGGAAGAAGCACAGGAATTTTCACCTGTAATGGAAAAAGAAAACATTGGTTAATGGAAAACCTCCCACATTAAGGTGAACAGAATGAAGTAATAAATAAAATGTAGTGTGTACACACACACAATGTCATAAATATGTATAATGGTGGATATTCACTAATCTTATTGTCATGATCATTTCATAATATATACATTTAACAAATCATTGTGTTGTGCATCTAAAAATAATATGTCAAATTTATCTCAATGTAAGTAAATAAATAAATTTTGAAGTAGGCATATAGCCATACTGTTATTTTCCACCCAGGGACTTCCAGTAAAGGCACAAGTAGATTAAGTTACCTATGTTGGTTTGGTTTTTTCCCTAAACTATTTTACTCTTCTCTATCATCATGCTTTCAACACAAAATTCATAAGAGGAATAAGAGGGAGGAATGACTTCACCAAGGTCACAGACTAATCCTGTCTATAACCAGATTATGAACAAATAGCTACTGAGTAACCCAAAGCTTAGTAACAGAAATACAATGCCAAAAAACATGTGTTTCCTTGCCTGAGCTAAAAGAGATCTTTTTACATTAAATGAAATAAATGTGCATGTTCCCTTTCTGACCTTGACATTTATCCACTATTGTCCAAATTTTGGTTAGATAGTAATCTTTAATTTTTCTATTGATATCTTGGTGTGTCTCTGCTTTTTAAAATAAGGGAATCTGTGGGCATCCCAGGCTCAAAGGATGTCCTCTAGATCTTATATGTTCTTATTATATACATTGTATTAGATCATTAAACTATTCATTATTCATTCACTAAAAAAACTTTCCATATGCTTTAAGCACTATGCTAACCATGGAAAATACTGTAAGCATGGAGGCAGCTACTCTTAAAAAAAGGGAAATAGAACTAAATTTATAAACTCATCCTGCAATTTCAGGATATGAAGGTAAAGAGCAAATGAATTATGAGAAGGATAGGCTATTTTAGATAGGGTGATCAAGGGCCACCAAGAAGCATTTGAGAGAATCCCAAATGACATAAAGGAGCCACTCAAGCAGATATCTGGAGAAGGGGTGTTCCAGGGGTGTTCTAGTACAAGTTTAGAAGTAGGAAGTAACCTGGTGTGCTTCTGGGCCAAAATGAAGTCCAGCATGGCAAGAGTAAAGGGATAAAGAAACAAAGAAGAAGGCCAGATTCTGAAACGTGACGGGTTTTAAGGGAGAAGATTAAGTAAATATTAAGTGACTTAATCCTCCTCCCACCAGAGAGAACACCAAATTTTTAAATCATCTAGCCATACACACATCTAGGATGTGTGGAATACATCACATCTACATCCAGGATAACTTGGGATACAGCTGCAGCACACCTAGAGGGCACTGGCGCCATGAGTCCTAAGAAAAAGCTCCTTTACGCCACAGAATGGTTCTAAGGGACTATCCGGTCTATGCGGTATTTGTCAGCTGAGAAAATTGGGGTTTGGAAATTGTCACAGAGACAGGAGTCAACTGCAGAATATAATGACAAAATTTAGGTCTGTTGTTACATACAAGTTTTTAGTTGACTGTGATAAATAAATGTAATGAAAATGTTAGGACTGTGGTGGTTAGTAAAGAAGAAAGGAAAACATATTGCACAAATAAGAATAAGTTCTTTCTGAGCTATTCCCAGGCAGGTGTCTCTGTATCACTTACTGTTAGGTTGTCTCACAGGATGAACTGCAACAATTCCCAGGGGCTGCTGAAGATTGCGAATTATGACTGAGTGGTTTCCACCATGCCACTTATTGGCTTGCAAAACCTGATTAATAGAACGGTCAGTCCAGTACACAGAGTCTTCGAAGACTGTTAGGGCATAAGGATGTCGCAGAATCTGTGAAGCCAAAGAGAAAGATCAGACTTTGCCAACAATCCAAGTAGAAATGTAGAATGTAGAAATGTAGAAAAGGATATCTTTTAGCATTTCATTATTTAAGACATAGGGAAGTCATTGTTGAAGAGACAGACAAAAAATACACTGCTTGGCCTGTAATTATCCCACGACAGCACTCAAAATACTCCCAACATATTTGTGTCACGTGCTCTTCATTTTTACTCTGGTTGTTACCCTCGGGATCCATTTTAGAAATGAAAGCAGCACCGGGGTGCAAAAAGTACGGTTGATTTATCTGGATCCCCTACTCTCAAGTCTTAGCCCCCTCCGCTATTAGCACTACTCTTTATCCAGTGCTATTTCTGCCACTACAGATTCACATAAATCTGATCGAGCCTACGTGCATACTTTCTGAAGGGAGGGGGGCCCTGCCAGGGTCCCTTAAAGCCATAGAACTATCCACAATGGCAATTTTAAATAATGGCTCTTTGCTACAATATATTTATTTTTTTATATTTTCCCATTTAACTTGTGAAAATAAATTCAGCATAATTTTCTAAATATTAATAGAATTGTTGACTCAGTATGTTATACACCTGAAACTAATATGGCATTATATATCCATTATATTATAATTAAAAATACAAAATATATAATAGGCTATGATTTAATTGAGAAAGCTAAATATAAACTATTAATTTTTGCTTAACACACTTTTTTAAAGTATAGAAACAACAGATTAGCCTCTACAGATCAACTAAATCGCACAAACTACTAATCCTTCCCAAACACAGCACAATCTAACCATGAACTAGAATAAAAATATTTATTTTCTGTTAGTAAGAAAAGATGGATTGGCCCTCACTCCTGTTGATATTTCCTGGATTGCCCTTGTAATTTCTAAGATACAAAAACTAATCTCTTTAGTTTTCTTGGTACTCTATTTGCTTTCTACAAAGCCGCTGTTGTGGGTTTAGTGTAGTTTTCATCAATACCAACTTACCAAATCACTGGCTATCACCTGCCTCCGATGCTGTCCATTATAATCACAATAGTCTATATAATCAAGATAGGAATCTATGAAATAGAGCAATCTGTTGGGATAGTCAATTGTTATGCCACTGGGCCAGAAAATCTTGTCCTGAACAATGACAGTGCGCAAACTGCCATCCATGCTGGCTCGTTCAATACGAGGGTGACGGCCCCAGTCAGACCAGAACATTAAATGGTCACTGTGGAAAGAAATTAGTTACCAGTAAGAAAGGATATATTTCAATATGGAAAATAACTGCCATTTTAAGTCATATAATGTAAATAATTAAAGTAATATAAAGTCAGTAATGTAACATCATATTTATGTTCTGCTTACAATAAATCATCTCTAGTTCAGAATATACAGAGTTTATTATTTCCTCTGAGTGTCACAAAGTAAAACTATAATCATAATGCAATCATAAGCCATCTGGGTGTTTATAAGATGATCATAAAACATGCAGTACATTATGACAATGAAATGTCTCAATGCCTATTCATGTTTCTGTACAAACCACAAATAGTTGATCTAGAAATATCCATCTGGCCTTGTTTATCTACCCTGTCATTTTTTAAGATAAGAAAGTCAATTTCTTCATCATCAGATTCATCATAAATTTCACTAGTGTAATATTTGATAATATCTAGGAAGTCTGTATTGTATCAAGCATAATTTGTCTAACTCATAATCCTACAGAAAAGAATTTTAGTTAGAGAATTTTAACTAAATTTAAGGAAAGAAGCCATCAAAGGTTTCTTAAACACATGTGAGAATTTCTTCTTCTCTTTAGGACCAGGGGGGCAAAAATTCTCTTCCTTTCATGACATAAAAGGGAGCTCTAATAAACATGAAACTAAAGCATGAAAATATTGCTGTCTTTGTTGTATAACCATGAGGTATAATGTTACAGCAAACTGGCCCATCTATGGAATACCACTGCATGCATTCATTTGAGACCTAATTATATAGTTCTATGGCAATCAATTCAATAATTGTATTATCAAGCCAATAAATCAATGTGTTCTTAAATTAAACAACCAATTGCTCTTATGTACTTTATGAAAAAGACTATACAGATAAAGGAAGGGTACCAATAACTACTTGGATGGTTACTATTTCTGTAGAAATGTTTATTTTTATTTTTATTTTTTTATTTTATTTTTATTATTTTAAATAGTTTATTGTCAAGTTGGTTTCCATATAACACCCAGTGCTCATCCCCACAAGTGCCCTCCGCCATGCCCCTTCCCCTCCCCTCCTCCCCGATCAGTCCTCACTTTGTTATCAGCATTCAATAGCCAAAACATGGAAAGAGCCTAAGTGTTCATCAACTGATGAATGGATCAAGAAGATGTGGTTTCCTATAGGAGGATTAGGAGGAGCTTAACGGAGGACCATGGGGGAGAAGAAGGGGGGAAATGGTGGGGGAGAGGGAGAGAGGGAAAACATGAGAGAATCTTGATGAGAACAAACTGAGGACTGATGGGTGTGGGGGGGAGGGGGGAGATGGGCATGGAGGAGGGCACTTGTGGGGATGAGCACTGGGTGTTATATGGAAACCAACTTGACAATAAACTTTTTGTAAAAAAAAAAGAAGATGCGCTTTATCTATACAATGGAATACTACATGGCAATGAGAAAGAACGAAATCTGGCCATGTGTAGCAACATGGATGGAACTTGAGGGTGTTATGCTGAGTGAAATAAGTCAGGCAGAGAAGGACAAATACCATATGTTTGCACGTATAGGAGGATTAGGAGGAACTTGACGGAGGACCGTGGTGGAGAAGAAGGGGGGGAAAATAGTGGGGAAGAGGAAGGGAGGCAAACCATGAGAGACTCTAGAAATGTTTAAACAAGGTTTCATTTAAAATTTTGAGATAGCACTTATCAGCCTCTTCATGCTATTATTGTTTTTCCCTTATAAACACATCAAGGCAATATAATTTTTTAAAAAAAGATTCTTACCTAATTCTGGGATCTAATGATAATCCCCTTGGATTTGATACATTATTACTAATCAGCACGGTCCTGTGACTTCCATCCAGTTTAGATACTTCAATTGTTCCCAGAGCATAGTCTGTCCAATAAAGATTGCGACCTACCCAATCTACCGCCATACTTTCAGTCAGAGTGGCACCAGTGTTAAGTATCTAAAGAAAAAAAGTGAATGAAGAGTGACTTCTAAGGAGAATGAATAAATTGAAATTACATAGATAATTTTATGAGTAGACTGAAGTTCTATGAAAATCTGGAATAAGACAACTAAATTTGTCCTATGATTGCTTGTAAGGATTGGAAAACATTTGCCTTCCACCAAATCAACATAGGGCATTCCACAAAAAAATACTGCATGTTGTAGAATTAAATACTCTGGGATAACTCTACCACTGGGTGAGTGTGTACTTTCATTTGGTTTCAAAGTTTTTGCATTTGAACAAAAGCTCTATCCATTCGCTAAATTGGCCACCCTATGAAACTTTATAACATTCACATTCCAAAATAATATCTTTATTGATTAAATGCCAACAATTACAAAATAAAAGTCCTAAGAGGCAGAGGAAACAACCATCAAGGGTCCAGAAACTGAAACTCCGGGAGATAGATTGAGAAATTAAACCTAAGGAAAAGCACCCCCTTAACTCCCCTACATTTTCCTCTGCTCTCATCCACTAGGGGGAAAAAAAAAAACAAATTTAAAAGTTACATCAAAGACTTTCTGAAGTCTCTGAATTATGTGACCTGGAATTCAGAATTGTGGAACTACCTTCAGAGGTCACATTCCTATATAAAACATTCATATATTGGGAATTATGAAGGCCTGAGCCTCTGGGGTACAATGTGACCCAAAAGGAAAAATGAGAACTACCCAGGGTGAGGTAGGACCTGCTCTCATTGATGAGTAAAAGTAATAGTCCCAACATAGCAGGTCTAGTAAGACCATATATCAGTAGAAATGTACTTACTACTCTTCTATCTGTTCCATTTTGAAATGCACTCCAGATTTTACCCTGACCTCCATCAGACCAAAAGACACGGCCACTGATGGAATCAAAATCAAGAGCTGCAATGTGAGAACCATTCTGGATAATTGAAGAGATAGAGTGAAACTGGGAAGTGATATTGTCAGCAATAATTTGGTTCCGACTTGCCGCAAGTATCAACAGACTTTCAGATTCTGTCCAAGAAGAAAATGCAAAAATGTCAATGAATCTGGGAGCAACCACAATTAAAACGTATCTTAAATATTTCATGCAATTCTTTTGATGACAGAAGGAAGACATAATTCCAAACCATAGTATTAAGGAAAGCAAATTCCTAAAAAACATTGTTTAATCACTTGGTTCATTATCTTAATAGTTAACTGATTTTCATGAGTATTTAAAATAAACTTTTTCCAAAATATCTTTCTTCCTTGAATATACTCCAGTGTTTGCCTAAATATCTAGAGCAAAGGACACTTGCATTCTTTCAGTTACTATTTGTTACTTCTGTACTTACTTTTGAATTTTGTTTATCTTCCTTCCTAGAATATGGGCTTCCTGATAGCAAGAATTATGTCTTAAATATTTTTGTTTTGCTTGAGGCATTGAGCTGTGGCAGAGATTTCTAATTATCTCTCAGTATCTCTTCACTTCCTTTTTAGTAATAAATCATGCCCATGTTTTAGCATGGCGCACACCCTTCCCCCGCCCCTGGATGGTCTACCATTCAGCCTCCTACTTGAAAAAGAAACTATTTTGTCTTAACCTTCTTTATTTGGTGACTTTTGAAGTGAGGCAGCCAAATCAATATCTTAAAACCTAGTATAATCACTTTCACATAGTAGAAACTGAATTAGTATTGGTTGAATTCAATCAATTATATAAAATGCTTAAATATGATATAGAAATAATTTTTAAATAATATAAAAGCCATTGATATTTTAAGTAATAAAAAAATCATCTACCTACTTATATTTTAACCTCTATTTTCCAAAATATGCCAAGATTTTTATGAATATTAATTTATTTAATCTGCACAATAAACTGTGAATTAAGGATAAGGTTACCTAACCCATCCAGTAACATAACCCATCAACATTGTCCAATGCCTGCATGCAACATTTGAACTCGTGAGTGTGCTGTTACTCTGGCTAGAGGTAGTTCACTTTCAAGTTCAGTTATTACCTGTAACTTTGCAAGTTCTTCCATTAGTGTCTAACGTGTATTCTTTATCACACCAGCATCGGAATGAACCTCTCATATTGTAACAATGCTGACTACAAAAGCCTGGGACATCACACTCAGACACGTCTTCACAGGTCTTAGAGTCATTCGCAAGAAAGTATCCTGGTGGGCATAAGCATTGAGCCCCATAGGGCCCCTGAACACACTGGTGAGTACAACCACCATTGAAATATGAGCAGCTATCCTGGTCTAGAATAAAGAAAGAAAAATCACAAAGGGAAAAATTCAGAAATCTTTGCCTTTTTTTTTTTTTGGTTCACTCTGTTGTAATATTTGTCATACAGTCTTATGCCACCTTCACTGAGGTAAGAGCTAAGAGCAGCTATTCACTTGGATGAGCTCCACAGCCTAGTCAATGTCTGTTTAAAGATTTACTCTCCTCCACAATCACAGGACTTCAACCACTTTTTTCACTACAACCTTCTATTATAATTCCATTTAGTGCAGAGAGAAACTTGGGGAAATACTGCCAACATCAAAAAAAAAAAACAAAACAAAAACAAAACCACAACTGTCATTGATAAAGCACGCAAAGAGAATTAAGTTACTTCCCACTTTCTTTCTGATATTCTTCTACCTATACAGAAATGGAAGATGAGACATCGACATTTAAGATCAAGGGCTGGAAGGTCTATGATAGGGTGTAAATGGAAAGGGGAAGGTAATTAGAACAGTAGAGGGCACAGATCCACCAACATGCCATCAGTCCTTGCTTTCAGGGCCACAGCAGCAATGCCTGAAGCCACCCAAAGTCAGTTCAAATGCCTGGGATGCAAATGCCCTCTATTCCCATGTGTACTCGAACTTATTTTTAACAGACGATACACGAAACATGCTTCAGAGGGGAAAATTAGAATTATTAGAATATTTTCAGCACAAATACAATCCAAATAATATCATAAGGATCTAAAATATTTTGCAATCATACCTGGCTGGGGTTCATCTGAGAGTGATCATTGATTAAAGAAGAAAGAAAGAAAGGACAGCAATTAGGATTACATGCCAATCACAGGACTTTAATCACAGCAAACACAAATCCCTGGACTTCATTTGCTTTGTGGCAAGTTCTGATTGAAATTAGAAAATATTAAAGTTAGAAAAACTTAGAACCGCAATCCAAAACAAAAATTAATTTGACAATCTAATGGCCTTATTTAGTCTCATTTTTCTAAAAAAAAAAAAAAAAAAAAAAAAGTAAAATCACGGAACCAAATGCAAAGGATTTAATGAGAAATAGCATTCAGTGGTGATTTCTTTGAATTCCATGACACTTATCCCTACACAGATTTGATTTCACAGAGGAAGTGAAATCCCTTCCTGAAAACTACATGGAGACAATGGTGATGCATAGAAGGTCACTGCTCAGAATGAATTTATGGCCATTAAATTGTAGTCAGGAAACTTACTGCAAAGTGGGGATTCATCTGTCCCATTGGGGCAATCAAAGATGCCATCACACACTGCACTCAGATTCACACAGATGCTATGGCCAGGGCACTGCCATTGCCAACTGGGACAGTGAAAAGCCTGAGTAGGGCAGTCCTTCTCATCACTCATATCCCTGCAGTCATTGTCCCCATCACAGAGCCAGTCTCTATAGATGCAGTTTCCATTATCACACAGGAAGTGAGTTAAAGGGCAAGTCTTGGGGGCACAGCCGTGGTACTCATCAGATCCATAGATGCAGTCTGGGTGCCCATCACACTCCCAGCTCTTTGGGATGCAGACGCCATCTGCTTGGCACTGAAATTCATCTGTGTGGCACATCCCAGGAGGCCTAGTTGCTAAGAGAAATGCACGTGAGAGATGCACTTGTGAATGTAATTCATAATCCTTTTTATATAATACCAAGATTCAGAGGAAATTATTTTGGACCAAAGGTAGGTTTATTATAATGATCATAACAAATTTAATATTAAAATCTAGAACGATATAGGGTTCTCAGACATTGTGGTACACAAAAATCTTTCTATGTGTCTGATTTGTCCCTGAGTCTAAAGAAAATTCTGTTTCATGTGTTTTTAATGTTCATTCAACTACAGGATAATAATAAAATTTATCTGCCTCTTTATTAAACAATTACCAGCACATTTCAATAGGACTTAAATTGACATTAATTTGTTACTTTGAACTCATGTTTAATATCACATATTTGAATGTTGTTAATTTTCCCTCAAATTAACTACATCCAATGAAACCAGCACACAATAAGAAAACAAAAGGTGACAGTAAATCCTTAATTCTTTGCAAACTTTCCACAACTCATTGAGAGATAAGATTTGCTTCCCTATCTCACAGGGGTAATTCCAAGTTTCCTCCCAGGGACCTTGTAAGGCAACAGCAAGTGAGTCACAATTGGCAGTTTAACCACAAATCATCACAGAAGAATTCCGTGTTTTCAACATGAAACAGGAAAACCAGTAACTACGAATTTCTGGGTGTTATATATATCTATAAAGTATTAAGCATTTTATTTAACTTTTTATACATAGATTTAACACATAAGATTTATATTCTATCAAGTCCTCCTTGAATCCTATGACTAGAAGGAATTTCTTTTCTGTGAACCCCAAATGAATTTTATCCGTATCATTTCTAAGGCCCTTATTAAAGTGTACCTTGCTTCCATTATTTCTTATGTTATATAATTTCTCTAAGAACAAAGACCACATATAACATCTTAGCAGGTATTCAGCAAAAAATAGCTGAAAATGAATTCATTCAAGTCAATATAAAATACCACTCCATACCCCATGATTTAACCTCGCTACTAAAATTTAAAACAATTAAAATAACTTTATATATAGCAAGCTTCAAAATTTTGAAACCCACTAATTTGGGATATCCTAGGAAATATTCATAGCGAGAACAAAAATATCTAAGAAATATTGAACCTACCTAAGGGACTATTGGAAAGTGCCCATTTATACCCTAAGTTATTATTTGCAAATACCTGGTCAACTCTAATGTATATTAACACTGTGTTCCTTTGATAATAGTTTGTAATTTAAGCTGTCCCCCCAGTTTATACAAATTAGAGGAAACTTAAGATAATATGAAATTATTCCTCTGCCTAAATGCAGAAATATGGTACTTACAACAGTCTAACTCATCAGATTGGTCACTGCAGTCAAAAACACCATCACAACGATATGTAATGCTAATACACCGACCTTCACTGGCACATTTGAATTGAGAAGCGGTGCAATGGATTACTAAGAATGAAAAAAAAAAACATTAGAAATTAGCTCAAAATGACTAAACATTGAGATTATTTGTAAAAATTATGAATAAAAATAAAGCAATCCACTTACCACAACTATCTTCATCAGATCCATCAACACAGTCCTTGTCCCCATCACAGACAAAGGATACATCAATACATCGATGATCAAGACAACGAAACTGACTAGGTAGGCATGTCCCTGTAAATTCTAACATCATTCAAAAACAAAAACAAGTAACAGTTTATTTCTTGTTCATTGTGTACTAGACTGAAGCTGCAAAACGCTAAGGAGATACACAAGTTATCTCATTTGTACGTGTGTTCAAAATCCCTTCACATTGGCCACATAGCCAAAGTCAGCCCAGAAGAGTACTCAAAGACAGGACAGTTTGGAGGAAGAGGAAGAAAAAAAGTCAGGTGTTCTGTGATTACAATTTGAAAAATACATAACACTTACCAAAGTGAACATCATGGGCTTGGACTAGACTATACCTCATGAATACGATTGAGTCCATGACTATACACCAAACCTAAGCAACAGAGCCCAACTGGGCATCATGGTCGACCTGACCCACATGCCACAACAATACACAGACAGATCATGACCGAATTTAGTCGAAAGTCTAAGCAGAACAATTCTAGAAGCCAGAGTCCTGCCTTGCTAAAGAGACAAAACCTTAGAGTCAGATGTGCTGGCTGCCCCATCCACAATATGAAGCTATACTAAATATAGACCCACAGACTGCGAAAGTTAGAAGAAGCCTGAAAACCCATCCGCTACAGTGGAAAGTGACTTGCCTAGTCATGTAACCAAGACTAGACTTTAGCCCAGGGAATTCCATCCACCTTCAACTACTATTGTAGGCACAAAAACAAACAAATAATAAACAAAATCAGAACTAGCAAGATGAAAAGCATGCAGACAGCACCTATGGAAATTTAAATTTTCTGTGTTTTACTCCCTTTTTACCTGTGAAACAAAAAGAAAAACCAATAGCCAAATGTCTTATATGACTTACTAATTTGTGATATGTAGATAGATGGATAGACAGATAGATAGACAAATATATGAATAGTTAGTGGAGGAATTTCTTGTGTCTGGAAGTTAGACAGAGACAGTCCTTGTTCTGCATCCATAGAACTCGGTGATCAGAGGACTCTAAGCTTCTCATGTCTTTACTCTTATAGCCTATGGATACAGGGATTGACAGATGGAACAATGATTACAATCCAACAAAAACTGTGTGAGCCTCAGAGGAAAATGTGCAAGGTCTACTAGTTACTCAAATCGATTCATTAGGCTGACCAACCAAGAGAAATCAGTTCAAAACTTACGACAATTCTTCTCATCGGATCCATCGACACAGTCATTATCTGTGTCGCAGAGCCACCTCCTTGGGATACACATATTATTATCACAGGTGAATAAGGATGCAGGGCAGGTAGTGGGTGCCTGGGAGGGACAGTTCTGTTCATCACTGCCATCCAGACAGTCATTCTGCTTGTCACACTTCCAGTGTGCAGGGATACACTCTCCATGGCCACACATGAATGCTGAAGGTGCACAGGAATTGTCTACAACAGAAACAAACTGGTCACAAAGACCTTTGTTTTTATAGCTCTATTCAGGGAGTTCTTACCTTGTAAAGGCCCATTTCCTCTTTTTCAATGGGAGCAATATACAAAATAGGGAGAGACGTGCAAGTCATCCTTATCATCATCAACATCACTAGCTGACATTTATTTTTTCTAAGTGTTTCATATTTTTTTCTCTCTTAATCCTTACAAGTATACTGTGTGGTACATATAATTATCTGCATTTTACAGATGAGGAAACTGAGGCTTTGAGAGATTTAGGAATCTCCCCAAGATTCATCTCTTGTTGATATGATCTGAGGCCCATCCCTTACTTCTAAGCTGTACTTCCTCTAATCTCAATTTCACACGTAGTCTACAGACACCTTGAAAAGGTGTCATGTGAAAAATGCAAACTGATAAAATATTCAGGTAAAAACAGAAATAGGAAGAAAATTTTAGAAATTTCATAAAGTACAAATCGGCCCTTTTATTTTCAACTGTGACATTCTTCTTTCTCTCCAAAAAGACAGGTTATTATTATTATTGATCTCACTATGAGAAAGAAATGTCTTAGATTTGACTTATTCCTTTTTTTTTTTCATTTTAATGGGATGCCTTTGTTTTCTGAAATAGCATTCATTATGCCTCAGACTTTATATACAAAATGACCATTGAAAGAAGAATGTAAACATTAAGACCATCAGTTCACCCTTATTTTACTCCAAAGTGGAGGAAAGGGAATACAGCACATGAGATTTATGAAATATATTCTTTCAGATACTAAAGGTACTTATTTTGATCTGACTTTTGGAAGAGATTGTAATGACTGCATTGGTCCAGAATGTTACTGTAGATAGTCCAAATCAATGGTAGAAATAAACTGTAACATTATCTATGAATGATATTTATTATCTAACTCCTAAAGCCTTGAGGGTACATATTAAAAATCTGAACTTCTGAAAGTTTTTTTCCATTTTCCCCCCATAGATAACCCACCCTTAAAGGAAAAAAAAAAAAAAAAAAGGCCCACCTCTCTCTGTTCTATTCATCACAGAGTATCTCCCGTGTATAAACTACTTACTAAATTTGCCACATAGGTGCTCATCACTATTATCATGACAGTCATCTACTCCATCACAGCGGTAGTGACTGGGAACACATCTGCCATTGCTACATGGAAAGGAAAAGGCACCACACTGTTCCAGGGGTGGTTCATGGGACTGGTCTTCCTGGCATGTCAAGTGATTAGAAGTCAAACTCATTCCATAGGGACAACCACACACCCGCTGGAAATTTGGCACTGGGAAGCAGAAGTGGCTACAGTCGCCGTTTGGATGTGTGGGTCGATTGCAGTAGTTAGAACCTGCAAAAGCAAGGCGGAAGACAGTGAATTATGTACAGTTCCATGATCACAGGGTTAGGTGGTGAAGGAAAACAAATGGTAAAGAACAACGTTCAGGCCCAACCCTAAAAAGTAGCTGCCTCTTAGAAATCAACATGCCAAACAGAACATTCAGTTTAAACACAGAAAACATTCTAATGTGTGTTTTTCCTGACAACACCTTTATAGGGTTAACAAAGATGAACAGATTGTTAAGTCGTAATTACTTAACTATCTGGGTAACAGGAATATATAACAATCAGGAGCTATATTAAACCATAGGTACGAAAAAGTAAAGGAGCCACCATCTTAAATAAACACAACCATGTAAAAGAAGTTGGCAATCTCACCAGTCTGAGTGTTGGCATTGTATGATTTCACATGCATTATATTAGTGATACCACTTCGGATAATTCTCATGTCTCCACCATCCATTTTCCTCACTCGAACAATAGCACCGAGTCTCCAGTCAGTAAAAAACACATAGTCTAAGAAGAAACACCAGTGATTAGTATTATCACAGCTAACTTTGGCTTATAACGCTTCATCACTTTGGCTTGTAACGCTTCTTGCAAATATGAGAAGATTCTCCCATAAATATCTGTAATATGTTTCTGTGATCATTTTCTGTGACTTATTACTTTCTAGAAATGGCACTTTAGAAGGCTACATATTTGATACCAGAGTTCCGGCTCAGGCAGAAATGTACGGAGTACTGTGATGGTATTTAATAGCAATTAGGTTTGGATTTCTTTAGGTAAAAATAAAAATTTGGATTATTCAATAGAGCATTAGCTGTGTCTCATATGACTGAGTTCTCATCCCACCTAAAGTACTAAGCTTCTGAGTGATTATAGGCAAATACTTAACTGTGTGAGGGTTCTTTTTTCGGTAAAATTAAGGAAATAGACTAAATCTCTAAATTCCCTTCCAGATCAACCTTTCTATATATCCCATGTCTTAGTTGAGGACACTAATTTTTCTTATATACTCAACTGCTGAGAAGGAAAAGTACCAATCTAGTGCAGAAAGGAACTTTCATTGTATCTCTGGGGATCAACAAAATTATCCACGGAAGTGTGCCTAGCTCTCCAACTATAGTAATATTCCATGAAGTTCAAAATAGTCAGATGGGGAGCCCAGGTGGCTCAGTTGGTTAAGCGTCTGAATCGGCTCCAGTCATGAAGTCATGGTTCATGAGTTCAAGTCCCACATCAGGCTCTCTGCTGTCAGCACAGAGCTTGCTTTGGGTCCTCTGCACCCCCTCTCTGCCCCTCCCCTACTTGTGCTCTCTCTCTCTTTCTCTTTTGCTCTCTCTGTTTCAAAAAATAAATTTAAAAAAATAGTCAGATAGAGGCATCATTAAGACTCTAAACTCGGGGCGCCTGGGTGGCTTAGTCGGTTGAGCGTCCGACTTTCGCTTAGGTCATGATCTCGCAGTTCGTGGGTTCGAGCCCCGCGTCGGGCTCTGCGCTGACTGCCAGCTCAGAGCCTGGAGCCTGTTTCAGTCTGTGACTCCCTCTCTCTCTGACCCTCCTCTGCTCACGCTGTCTCTCTCTCTCTCTCCTAGAAATAAATAAAAAAATATTTAAAAAAAAATAAAAATAAAAATAAAAAAAAAAAAAAAAAGACTCTAAACTCTAGGGTTGCCTGGGTGGCTCAGTCGGCTCAGTCAGCTAAGCGGCTGACTTTGGCTCGGGTCATGATCTCATGGCTTGTGGGTTCAAGCACTGCATAGGGCTCTGTGCTGACAGCTAGCTCAGAGCTTGGAGCCTGCTTCTGATTCTGTGTCTCCCTTTCCCTCTCTACCCTCCCCTGCTCACACTGCCCCTCTCTCTCACTCTCTCAGAAATAAATAAAAGACTCTAAACTCTAAATTTAGTCACATTCCCTTTACACTATCTACTAAAGCAGAGAAGTAAACACACACATTTTGAATAGAATCAGTGGATTTTTCTCTTTAACAATACCTTTTTTAAATTTTTTTAATGTTTTATTTCTGAGACAGAGAGAGAGAGAGAGAGACAGTGTGAGCAGGGGAGGGTCGGAGAAAGAGGGAGATACAGAATCTGAAGCAGGCTCCAGGCTCTGAGCTAGCTGTCAGCACAGGGTCTGATGCGGGGCTCAAACCCACAGACAGTGAGATCATGACCTGAGCCGAAGTCAGACGCTTAACTGACTGAGCCACCCAGGCATCTCTCTTTAACAATACTTTAAAATTCCCAGCTAACCAAAAAATGCCGGAAAGGCCACAAATTTTACCATTAAACCAAATCCCTTATCTGTGGTCTAATCAATGAATCAGTCACTGGACTTACTAAACCTCATCTAGACTGACTGACAATCTCAATACTACCACTCATGAAGGTATCTTACTATACTTAAATAGATGAAAAGTTCAATAAGCCTTTCACTCCTGTGTGATGCACAGATCTAGCCAAGCAGATCTAGCCTTTCATTAAAAACAAGGATAATTGCTATGGTGTTATGCAATCAAAGAATTTTCTAGGGGCACCTGAGTGGTTCAGTCAGTTAATCATCCAACTCTTGGTTTCAGCTCATGTCATGATCTCCCCACATCAGGCTCTGTGCTGACAGTGCCTGCTTGGGATTCTCTCTCCCCTCTCCCTCAAAATAAACTTAAAAAAAAAGAATTTTCTATAAGAAATTCACAATGAAGGGCAGTGTTGGGAGAAACTTAGTATTATTACTATTATTTGGGGAGCACGGTGTTGCTTTTGTGAGTATGCACTAAAATTTTTTTCAAATTGATGAAACCACATGATATTGAAACTGCCTTTTTATTCGATCCCAAAACATTTCCTCAAAGAGCAGGAAAAATTTAACATCCTTACAATGTTCCTATGTGACACCAAATGGCTGTCTAATATCATTAGTGAAAAGGAAGTGAGTAAATGGGAAGGCGTAAAAAGAAAGGGATGAGTATGTGTAATTGACTCATCTCATCAAAAAACTTACTCTCTCAAGAGCATTTTTAAAATATTTTTAAATACCATACACTCCTCCACAGATAAACAGAAAGCAGGATGGAACATGCAATATATTTACTAGCTGTTCATTGCACACTATATGTGTGGGAGAAAGTCTTTGATTTACAGTCAGTGTCTAGCCTGTTAAAGTACCTTGCTAATTATCCAGAATAGGACACAACTGGCATATGGCCTACTGGCATATGGGCGCTACTGTAACTGGACTAATTATGGATTGTCAAAAGAATCAGGATAGATTTGAGTCTCACTTCATCCTCTTGGCCTGGCAATTTTGTACAATGTACAAGCTATATAATCATTCACAGAAACTTTGTGTTCAAGACTAAATAAACCACCTGTTTCACAATGCCAAGCTACACTCAACTCAATACTACACCTTCACTCAAGAAGGGAGCTGGGACAAGAAAAACTGATACATTGGTGTGATCATTGCTGCTGCATTTCCCAGAATTCCACACCCACAGCAATCTTTACTAGCAGCATTAAATTTTCAGAAAGGTTAATGAAAAAACAACTACATTTTGCTATTTTTCAGAAGACATATACTAATATTTGTATAAACAATGATATCAGTTACCCAATATGTGTCTAAAAAGTTTCAGAGTCATTCAGATTATGCAGTTGATAAATATGTGTAATAGATTTTCCACATAGATTCTAAGAAGGTTTTTACAGAGAACCACAAAACACCACAAGACACCATGAAAATTCCTGCTGTTTCTTATTAAAAATGATGAAATCAGTAGTTCTTTTGTTTGGGGGCTATTTATATCATAGAGTACTTGGGGAGTTAGACTTGGGGAGTCTAAAAGCGTCTACAACAAAAAACACATGAAGTGAAAATTGTCAGTCAACAAAAACAAATGTTTTGTTTATACATAATAGCACCATTCTCATTTTTTGTATTCTAAAATAACCAACTTTTCTGGGGTTGTGAGATTGCCAAATGAGGATGAGTCTACTGTTAACAATTTGCAAAGTATGAAAACAACACACATCTTTTATTGCTTCAAAGCATACCTTCAAAGACAGTAAGTCCAAATGGATGTGTCATCTGCTGTATATGGCCCAGGGTTCTTCTGTCTAAGCCATCAAAGGTGCTGTGCTCAATTTTATCAAAAAAGGCATCTACCCAGTACAACCGTAAAGCACTAAAATGATAAAATACTCAGTTATCTGTTATCAAGAAACTAGTAATGCACCCTTTCCACTGAGGGCTTTCATGAATGGTATGTTCAGTTGAAACATTTATTAAACAAAGTTTTAAAAATTAGATTATACTGATTAAATATGTGATAGTTTTTGCAAATGGCATTTCATTCTTTTTCATAGCTTTTCTTATGCCCCCCTCAAAAGATACAGTACATTCTAATAAAGCAATTTTAATTGTCTTAAAATTTTTTTATAATTCTTCCTTTTGTCTCTTCTATAGACTACTTTGGCATTCACCTCTGTAAACTTTTTTACCCCGTTACCTTTTCCTATATTCCTAGATAGATCTTCAATTTCCTGAGAACTTTATTTTATACTTCAAAATTCTCCCAGAGTATATATATGCAAATATATATATGTTGATTAATTGACACTAATGACTTCCTATCCCTAAGATGCTCCCTATGAAAATTACACATGACCTGGGGCGCCTGGGTGGCTTAGTCGGTTAAGCGTCCAACTTTCGCTTAGGTCATGATCTCGCGGTTCGTGGGTTCGAGCCCCGCGTCGGGCTCTGTGCTGACTGCCAGCTCAGAGCCTGGAGCCTATTTCAGTCTGTGACTCCCTCTCTCTCTGACCCTCCCCTGCTCACGCTGTCTCTCTCTCTCTCCCTCCTAGAAATAAAAATAAAACATTAAAAAAAAAAATTTTTTTTTAAGAAAATTACACATGACCTGAACTTCATCAAATCCTCTGTCCTACTTCTGATGGGATTTTAGTCTTGCATCCTCTGTGCTGACCTTCCACAAGGTCCTATCATCGGCTCCCTCTATCAGTATCCTCAGAATATTCATGATGCAACAGTTTTCATCCAAGCAGAGGTTAGCCAACTATGTGTTCTTTGTCTCTTTGTATCATTCCATATCCTTCTCCCAACACAGCATATGATATAAAAAATACCCGGGTATTTTTACTCACTCCATCATACTGCTTCACGTGATTGACAGTAAGTGGGAACTTAATAATTCAGAATGATTCCTACTTACCCCCAATCAATGGCCAACCCATTGGGCCATCCAAGAGTAGTGTTTACTATAGGCAAAAGGTTAGATCCATCACTCCATGCTCTCACAATTTTAGCAGGACGGAACCAGTCAGTGAAGAATATGTAACTAGAAAAAGAGGTAATAAATAAAAAATGTTAACACGGGAACAAACTACAAGACTTAGATTTAGCACAAAGTCAGATTTTCCAGAGACGTTACAATTTCATTCTCTGTATATGTTCTTGGGCTTATGCAGAAAAAATAAATCTGCTTAATAGGCAGATTTAGTGTATGATTGATCTCTTAATTAAAAGTTCAGTTATCAACATATAACCAAAGTCATAAATACAATGGCATTAAAATGGGAGCCAGAGTAGAGAAACAAAGTGGTAGCCTTGTGACCTAAAACTATTGTAACCAAGTAGATTCTTTTAAAAGACATAATTCAGGTTACATTTTTTAAGAGTTTACTTTTTAAGTAATCCTTAAACCCAACATGGAGCTCGAATCTACAACCCCGAGATCAAGAGTCACATACTCCACTGACTTAGGCAGCCAGGCGCCCCTGGGTTAAACTTTAGATACTCATAATATACTATGAGTAAGAAAACAGATTTTAATCTCTTTCCTCTCTGAATTAAACATCTAGGTCACACTAGATAGCTCTTTAGTCATCTTCCACATGGAAAGCATTTCATCTCGGAGGAAGAATGCACCCAAATCAACCTAACTCTTAATCACTATCCAAGGTAAACTTTTATTCTGAGGAGTGACCAAAAAAATTTAGGAGCAAAAGAAACAAAGAAAAAAAACTTTTCTCTTTCATGTGACCCTCAGAAACTAAAATTAGTCTTTCCAAAACATGAATGTGACTTATTATTTCAAATGAAGGAGTCAGTGGGAAAGGAATTTAACAACTTTTCAAAACCAAATGTCTAAGACTTAGTTTAAGGTAAGTTCATTAGAAAAATCAACTCTCTACAGGACAATAAAATTTCTTATAATATCACCAGTTTTTAAATTTTTCTTACATTATTTCACAGGGAGAAAATTTAAATACAAAATAAACACTCTAGAGGCAGCATTCAGACTTCTTAGACACAAAGGCTTTGTAGTCAGATAGGCCTGGAATTTGAATACTAACTGCTGCTTATCAGGTATTATATCTACCTGGAGCACAAACCAGCTTTTGAATTAGACAAGATTATGTAAAGTGCTTACTCTGTGCCCTCTGTGAATCAGGTTTAAGTGAATTACCACTCATTTTGTTTTTCTTTTTAAACTCCACTCAAATACAACTACCAAACTCAGACTTGTTCCAAACAAACCTATTCACTATTAACCATATTTAAATAAGAAAGGTAAGAACCTAAAAGGAATAGTATAAACTATTCTCTCTTTTCTTGTCTGACACCACCAATCATGGAATGGTTAAACATGAAACTTAGTCTGTGGTCTGAAAGACTTTTTATTCTGAAAACTACTGAATAATTAAGCAGGTTTTGCCAATCTTTATATCAATACATTAAAGCAGGGAAAGAATTTGAGCCTTTCCTGATAATTCCACTGAACATTCAATCCTTTTCTACTGAATCTGTATCACATTGTTGGTCCTCTTCAATTGTGGGGGAAAAACACACACTTGAGTGAAGACTGGGAAAGCTGAAACTAAGAACAAAGTATTTCCAAGGAGATGAAGTGATTACTTAAACTTATGCTAAAGGGATAAAATTCAAGGTGATTTCAATTTATATAGATCAATCTTAATATTTTCTAAACTTGCTAACTAACTGCGGCATCACTTTTCAATAACTTTAAAAGACATACAATTTCAAGCTCTTCAGGAAACATGAACACACTTACCCAGCAATAGGATGAACTACAATTGATCGTGGGTTATTTAAATTCTGGATTATTGCACGTCTTGATTTATCAGCTAACCTCATGACACTGATACTCCTGTAAGAAGCATCTGTCCAATAAAGATTCTTTGAAATCCAATCAAAACTCAAACTTTCAACACTTTCCACCCTGTTGGCAGTGAGAATTTCTCTTCCTGTAAATTAAAATATGAACAAGGTTTAAGCTAAGTATATTTCATGACATACATTTTCCAACTACTACATATTTAAATTGTGTCAGAGTCATAGCATATTTCAGTAACCCATGTGGAATTCTTAAAACAAAAAAATACTACTGAGCAACAACACAGATCAATCTAGAATCTAATCATTCTCAAAAGTTTGGATCTCAAAAAACAGATATGATTCTGATAAATTGAACCAGAAGCGGTATGCCTTATATTTACTCCCTTGTTCAACCTTCCAGAAAAAAATTTCTCATTGCAGAACATCTGAAGAGAAGATACCTGACTTCACATATTCACAAACACCACCCAGAGAGCTCTGATAAGCTGACACCACCAGGTACCACAGGCAGATCTCTGAGGTGTGACTGCCCAACTTTCTCATCAACAGTCTTTCAAAAACAATCTTTTCCATTCCATTACTTAAGCAAATTATGAAAAGAAAGTCTTCCATGTGCTAGACACTATACTAGATACTTAGGAAACATAAAACTGCTAATAGTATTAGTAATAATAGCTTATATCGGGCACTTACTCCAAAGCAGGAATAGGCCCAAATATTTTACATGGAATCATCCGTTGTTAGAACAGTTCAACCAAGGGGGTATTGTTAGTAACCTTATTTTGCGAAGAGGAAACTGAATCATAGAAAAGTGAAGCATCTTGAAAGAAGTTGTGGACACTGTCTTCAAAAGGTTTATAATGAAGTGGGGAAAGGAAAAGAGGTAATTAAATCAAGAGATTAAAAAAAGTCAAAGAGTAATGGGTACATTGACAGAGGTGTGCACAGAATGGTATGACACACAAATCCCAAATGAAGCACATGGCAAGGTGAAGGTGTGTGGAAAATTTTCCCAAAGGAAGGGGTGAATTAGGTAATGAAGGAAAGACTTGGAAGTGAGAAATAGAGATTGAGAACTTCATGTGCTTTGGAGATTAATCAGTTAACGATAGAGGCTGAGAAAGGGAGAAATTTAGGTAACCACCAGATCCTGGAAGGAATGGGGGGGGAAGGGGGGATAAGAGGGGAAGGGACAGATGTCTACTTAGATCTATTAGTTTTGAGGTAGTCATGGGATATATCGTGAGATATGCAAAAGGCAGTTGGCATTATGGGTCTGAATCTCAGAGAGCTTGGAAGGAGATTTTTGGAATATCATCACCTGAAAAAAAGCCTTCGCTGATCCTTCCCCCTCATTTGCCAGGTTAAAAGGAAAATCATTCAGTAAAAGCCTTTATCATAAGCCTCTCCATACTGATTTATAATGGCTACAAAAATGGCAATCCAAGACACTGAAGGTGCAAAGTTAAGCAGAAGATGGAATAGAAAAAGAGAGCCACATGTTGAACACAGAGAACACACCTGTAGGGAAACAGGTAAAGAAAGAAAGACCTCTAAAGAACACCAGAAAGAATGGCTAAGAAAAGGAAACAAGATTTGAGGTGATCAAGATGAGAAGGGTTTCGAGTGACATATTTGGCAGATTGGGATGGAGTGAGGAATAACTGAGAATATAAATGTGGAAGTGAGAACAGGAACATGTAGGCCAACTTCCAAGAAGTCCAACCATGAAATGAAGGAGAGAGAGCAGTAAGTAGAGACCATGGACTGAAATGTGGGTTGCACTTTTAGGATGGGAGACTTTTGATCATATGAGTCCCCTAAGAGCTTCATTCAACTGATCTGGACTTTCATTGGATTTCTGACAACTCATTCCTGCATATGTACTCAATGACCCTTATTCCTTTCCCTAGAAAACAGCAGTTTAAAACCTCTCTCACCAAAGCATACAAAGTTTAACCACTGACTATACAATATTTTAGAAGGTAACTTGCTCAGTATGTAAACTTGCAACTGACAAAAAGCATGATGAGAATTCCAGTTTGACAAAGCCAAAGGAAGCTGATCTGCAGGAGACTGAGCCTACATGTGGCAAAAACCCAAGAGTGCTTTTTGGTGAGAGCCCAGATTGACTGGAGTTCTCCAAGCTCAGTGGACCTAACACTACTCTTCAGAAAAGACGCATTCTGGTTGAAAGTAGAAGATTGACCACACATATTTTCTCCTCTTCCTTCCAAACTCTATTAAAATGACAGCAAAGCGACAGCAGATAGATTTCGACAGTTTGGAAGAGAAAGGGAGAGGAGAAAGCTGCAAACTAACTCCAGCAGAGGGAAGACCCACACCCACACATATGGAGACGCTTCAGCATATCTGGGTTCAGAGATAACAGAATCTGCGAAACACAGGGGTAAAGAACTAAGGGGCTTAGTTAAAAGTTGGTATCAGAAGCAGTGAGACCACCAGGTCCTTCCTAGATCCTGAGCATCTATGCCACTTCCGTCTATCTCTTCTAACAGACCAGCAATCTCGTTCTCTGGAGGAAATGATGCTGAGGTGCTGTGGCCTCAAAGATATCACAAAGCACAATGGCACTGCATCTACTGGGTGGAACAGAACTGAATACAGGCAAATTGTGTACTGAAGGGTCCTTGGCGCCCTGTCCGCTGTATTCTACTATAACACAGATAGCAAGCTACCTTTACAACCTCTTAATCCCCGTACCAACAAGAATGGAGATATCTACTAAGCGCAAATGACTATTGCTAGAAAAAGATTTACTAATACTGATGTTTGGAAGCTCCCCAACAGAAAAGCTACCTCAGTCACCTGAAGTTATCCAGCTGATGAGGCCCATACATACAGATAGACTTTCTGATAACTTTTATAAACCTTGCCCTTGAATTACACAAAAATCACAAATTTGAAGAAAGTGTCCATCATGGGAAAAAAAAGTTGAAATAAAAAAGGAAAAGGGAACCCAAAGAAAAAGGAAAGAGAGAAAGATTTTAATTCCAGTATAGTTAACAGTGTTATATTTATTTCAAATGTACAATATAATGATTCCACAATTTTGTATATTACTCAAGTGTACATCTAGTTAAGTGTAATCTTAATCTGCTTCACCTATTTATGCATCCCCCCACCTCCTCTCTGGTAACTATCAATTTATTCTCTATAGTTAACAGTCTATACTTTGTCTCCTCCTTTTTTCCTTTGTTCAATTGTTTCTTAAATTCCACATGTGAGCAAATCCTATAGTATTTGTCTTTCTTTCTGCCTTATTTCATTTAACATTATACTCTCTAGCTCTGTTTGTTCATTTTTGTTTGTGCTTGACATCGTGTGCAAAACCTTATTGCCCAAATCAATATTGAAGAACTTTTTCCCTACATTTTCTTTTGGGAGTTTTATGCTATCAGGAATCAGTTTTTAAGTCTTTGATCTATTTTGATCTACTTTGGTTAATTGTGTGATTTGTGTGTTAATTGTGTGATTTGTGTGAAATAAGGGTCCAATTTCATTGTATTACATGTGTTTCTCCAGTTTTCCCAGCACCATTTGTTGAAGAGACTATCCTTTTCCCACTGGGTATTCTTAAAATCCCTCTCAAATATTAGTTGACTGTATATGCCACAGTTCAGTTCTGGGCTATTTTGTCCTAATGTTCCATGATGTGTCTATTTCTGTGTCCATATCATGCTATTTTTATTGCTATGGCTTTGTAGTATAGTTTGAAATCTGGAAGTATGATACCTCCAGATTTGTTCTGTTTCCTCAGGATTGGTTTGGTTATTCAGGGTCTTTCATGGTTCAATACAAATTTTAGGATTGTTTCTTCTATTTCTATGAGGAATGCCTTCAGTCATTTGATAAGAATTGCACTGAATCTGTAGATGACTTTGGGCAGTATGACCATTTTAAGAATATCAATTCTTCCAGTCCATGAACATGGGATGTTTTTCTGTTTGTGTCTTCTTCAATTTCTTTAATCTAAGTTTTGTAATTCTCATTTTACAGATCTTCCACTTCACTGGTTACATTTATCCCTAAGTATCTTATTGTTTTTGATGCTATTGTACATGGAATGGTTTTCTTACTGTCTTTTTTGGATGCTTCATCATTGGTGTAAGGGAATGCAACTGATGTCTGATTACTGATTTTCTGTCCTGCCATTTTATTGAAATTATTGATTAATTCCAACAGTTTCTGACTGATTCTTTGGGATTTTTTGTATATATAGGATCAGCAGCAAATAGCTACCTCTTTTGTTCTTACTTTCTAATTTGGATGGCTTTTGCTTCTTTCTCTTACCTAATAGCTCTGGCAAGGACTTCCAGTACTATATTGAATCGGAGTAGTGACAGAGGACATCGTTGCCTTATTCTTCATCTAAGGGGAAACGCCTTCAATTTCTCTCCATTTACTATAATGTTAACTGTGTGTTTGTTGTACATGGACTTCATTATATGAGGTATGTTTCTTTTATATCCACTCAAGAGTTTTTATCATGAAAGTATGTTTTCTTTTGTCAATTGTTTTTCTGGATCTATGGTGATGACTGTGTGATTTTGTCTTTCATTTTATTGATGTGATATATTACATTTGTTGATTTGCATATATTGAATCATCCTGGCATCCCAGGGATACATCCCATTTGGTCATAGTATACAGCCCTTTTAATGTGTTCTTGAATTCTGTTTGCAATATTTTGTTTATTTTGTTAGAATTCTTGCATCAACTATAGTAATGGTCTATAGTTTTCTTTTCTTATGGTATCCTTATCTGGTTTTGGTATTTGATAGAATTCTCCAGTGGGACTAGTTATAAAATCCAAACACAGGATTATATCATCATCCAATAACGTATCCAACAGTAAAATGTAACTGACCATTATTTGTTCTTTTGTAATGATTATGAAGATATTAACAGAATCCAAATCAATTGAAAAGCTATAGTAAATCAATACTCACATATAATTCATGCTTTTTTTGGCGGGGGGGGGGGGTTGTGTTTTACTATTATTTCAAGCACAGCATCCAGGGAGATCCTCTGGCTGCTTGAATGTGAGGAACAGCCACTAGCCAATTAACCTATTACTGACTTTCATCCACATGACTCTCCTTTTATATGAAATGTCAGCTTCTTTTCTGCTAATATTTTTCACCATTAAAAATGCACCCTTAAAAAGTTTTTAACTTAAGTCATAAGAAAAGTAACGGATCACTTTCCTTATTTAAAAGCATTTCTCAAGCCAAATAAGTTCTAGTGAGAAAATTATTATTATTAATCAAAAACAGACAACGCATGCAGAAAAATGTTTAATGTATTCTCACCTGTACCATTGATATTTTGTTTAAAAATCATGTCTTTTGATGTATCTGAAAAAAAGATAGTGTTCTCCTGGGCATCAAAATCAACTCCAACAAAGAAAGAAGGGTTTCCTGTCACTGGAACTATGACATCTTCTTGGGTAGACAGGTTGAATGGGATGCCACGAACAGCCACCTCAGATGAAAAGATCAGGAACTGCTTAACAGCTGTAGGAAGAACACAACTCCATTAGCCACAGCCTGATTCTTGTCCACCTTGAATTAAAGAGAAATTACTTATACATCCATTATGCATATTTTATAGTTCAGAAATGTAATACTGAAATAAACATAAAATAAATCTGTGGAAAACAGTTGTAAATAATGGGAAAGGAGAGAAAAGGATAAGCAGCTATGAAGGCAATACAACTATTACAATCTTCCTTCTTCTTGAGAAATTTGTCATTAAGATTTATATAAAACATGGTCCATATACTGAATTTCTAAAGCAGTATTAACTGATCTGCATATGAATTCCATCAAAATCCTTGATTTGGATTAACTTTTGAATAGAGATCTATACTAAGAATCCTCCTGCAATCTTTACGGTATTAAGACCAGTGAAGGGGACTCCTGGGTGGCTCAGTCAGTTGAGCATCCAGCTTCGGCTCAGGCCATGATCTGTACATGGGTTAGAGCCCCGCATGGGCTCTGTGCTGACAGCTAGCTCAGAGCCTGGAGCCTGTCTTCGGATTCTTTTGTCTCCCTCTCTCTTTGACCCTCCCCTGCTCACACTGTCTCTCTCTCTCTCTCAAAAATAAAAATAAAAACATTTTTAAAAGTCTTCAAAAAAAGACCAGTGAAAGAAGAATGAACAGTAACCAGGTAAGTTATTTAGAAATAAACAAAGGAGGAAAAGATGGGAGGGAGAGGAAAAATGGAGGAAATGGAGAAAAATGAGTGATTTTAAAATCAAAGAAGGAGACAGTAATAGTATGTCAGGAAATTAAAAAGAAATGAAAGAGGTATACCCAAGACAAAAATAAAAATTGTATGAGTTTAAGTGCAAAATTATTAGACAATGTAGTGTCAATGTAATAGAAATATATGGCTTTTTGAATGAGGGTTATTTTTACCCGAGTCTAGTATTACCTACAAAGTTAACAAATTTTGGGCTAACTGGGGGCTCAGATGGTTAAGTGGCCAACTTTGGTTCAAGTTGTGATCTTGCAATCTGCGGGTTCAAGCCTCATGTTGGGTGCTGTGCTGACAGCTCAGAGCCCAGAGCCTGCTTTGGATCCTGTGTCTCCCTCCTCTCTCTGCCTCTCCCCTATTCCCCTCCCAAAATAATAAAGTTAACAACTTTGTCTCAGTTAGAATTAGAGATATTACATTCCAAGCAGAAAGCAGCACCATCTGGGGAGCAAGAATTTGTCAAAGGCATTAAAAAGGAGGGTTTCAAGGTGAAGAAAAGAGAAACAAAAATTGTTGGAGTGTGCATTTCATCAGCTGAGGCTGAGGCCTAACCATGAGTAGATGTATAGGCAACCAAAGAAGAAGAAAAGAACTGAATTGCATCCCAGAGCATAGAGGCAGATATAAAGAAAATATGAAATATGAAAAACTAGATGAGTAAATGAGCTACCACAACACTTAGTTTGCTGTGGAATACAACAATAAAGTCAAGTGGGATGCAGGCACAAGGGGCTAAAGCAGCGGTCTAGGAAAGGGCAATGGAAGTGTTGAGAAGTACCTCCCAATAACATTACGGCTAACATCTAAAATGGAAAAGGTATACACAATAGAGAAAATAACTCAAAATTAAACTGTATGGAATTTTAAGACAATAGTTTAAAATAAAGACAAAGACTTCATGAAGGAGACAAAAGGGAAAGGGAGTCCAAGGAAACCCTCGATGTGCAATTAAAGGAAAGACCCACAGGACATAAATTTACATCTTCAAACACAATTCCGTGTATGAAGGGAGTAGTGCCTACTGAGGAAGATGTTCTGTCAGCTACCAAAAGTTTATTCATCATGAAGAAGTGTGACAGGAAGAAGCTGGCCCAGTCCAAAAGCAGCATATAACACCCCCCCCCATGCTGCCTGCCAAAAAGACAGCCCCAAAACGATTTCTTACCAACACAGTGGCGGTTATCCACATCCAGGCTGAAGCCGAATGTGCACTTACAGCGGTAACCCAAACCATCATTATCTGTTACATGGCTGAGGACACAGATCTGTTCACAGCCCCCATTGTTATTTCCACATGGATTCCTAACTAGAGGAAAAACAGGGTTAAATCTCAATTAGAAATGTATGATTGTCCAAGATATATGAAACCACTTTGAGCCCTGTTGGTGAAACAGAATAATGGGTTTAAAACTCAAATACCACTACTGGTTGCTTACCTGCTCTGACTCTCCCACCTACTCTCAACTGGCAATGGCAACACACAGGGTTCCCACAGCGGGATAACTTTGGGAATTCTTCTCCCCAAGACAATTATGTCAGACTCTGTGTGCTAGCCTCAGTGGTTAGAAAATAACTGCCTCCCCCAAAAAAACTTTAGTTTTATTTTTACCATTTATGAGATATAATAAGGAACTATTATTCACTGGATTCTTGCTTTGAAATTAGGCCAGCTTACAATCAATAACTCTAAGAACTAAGTATTATTATTTCAATTGTATAAAAGAGGAAACCAAAGCCCTAGAAGCTAATGCCACTTGCCCAAAATTATTCAGCAACTAAACTAGAAGTTCTAAATCCAGTTCCAAAACCAGTTCTAATTCCAAAACCATCCATGCCTGCAATACAGGCATACCAGTTAATACTTCAAAAACCCATTCTAAAAGCAGTGACTCAAAAAGCTCACTATACACAAAGGTGTCAGGGCCAAAAATGTCATGTCTGCTTTGAAAATTGTCTTCTTAGCCTTTGACTTATTCTTTAAAATTGTCTCTTTACCTTCTCAGGTGGATTGATTTAAGGAAACTACAAAGAGAAAGAATTTGGATGATAAAATTAGTTAATTTTTTTGGTCAAAGACAAATAGGAATTTAATAGCTGATAAACTTGTGTAGCATGTTTTTCAACTAAAGTATATATTTTCCCAGGATGAATACATTGAGGCATATTCACTGGAATGTATCAGTTCTAATGGCTGATTTTTTGTTAAAAAAAACAAAACTAATTACTTTATAGTCACTCTCCACTGTAAAGTCAGACCCACTACTTAACAAGGGAGTTTTAAAGTAAAATCTACCTTTCCCTGAATTACTATTCACTGGTTGTAAGCTTTCAGTCAACACAGTTTATCATATTTATTTTCTTTGATGCACAAGCAAACACAGAAATGAGCCATATACAGTCACAACAGTCATGTCAATTTAAAACAAGACTTACTATAAAATAGCAGAAGTATATATAGTGTCTGAATCAAAATATTTCTTTTCTTTCATTCATAAGTGACCAGTCTATGAGACACCAAGTACAGTTGGTCTATGACAGACCCAATACAAACCAAATAACAGGTGTCATATATATACAACAGAGAAGAGAAATTGGCTCTGACATCACCTCAAATGAACACTTAAGCATATTATTTTTTCTTCTGGGCCTCAATTTCCTCAACTTCAATATTAAAGGACTGAATACAAGATTTCTCCTAGTAGAATGTGAACACATATTTTGGTTTAGTTTGTTTGGTCTCTCTCCCCAGCATTTAAACAGGACCTGGCACATTGCTGGTGCCAATTAATATCTGTTAAGTACATCTCTAAGTTCCTTGCAGATTTGGCATTTTAACTCTAAAATACATCAATTTCTCCAGAAAGTCCCTGAATCTACAGAGCCAATTTCAGAGAGTTTAATTCTCTAGATAATCCACCATGTATTTAAAAATGCTATCCAAATCTCATGAGATCGCCCACCATTAACTTCCATAGCTTTGAAAAACTCTTTCTACCAAAGCAAGGTAGCTCTCTACCAAGCAGGGTTTCCATTGTTCTGGGGCATACATACCATAAGGCTGCCTGAGGGAATGGTAAATAGTCACTCCAAAGGGCCTTAGAGAGGTCTGGTGGTATAGTTGTGGACTGGTCTCTCTGAACTTGTTTGCCTTTATTACAGCCATCTTTGTCCAGTCAGTAAAGTATACATGATTTTCAAACAAGCTTATTCCAAAGGGATGAGGAACAAGAGAGCCTCCTCGGACTACCATCTTCCTGTTGCAAAAGATGTACATCACACAATTTTTTTTACCTTACTTTTGATTAAAAGTGGAATTAGTTCAAGTAAACACCCAAAAAAGCGAAGTAATTTCTTGATACAAATGTAGAATATATAGAAAAATACTATTAAGTTGTAGAAATATCTCCACCTACATTTGAAAGAAGGAATTTCATGTTGTCTCTTGAAAAAGACCCTTGAAAATAAAATTCCAGTCCTAGTTTATTCTAGATTTTTTAAAAAAATTACTGTTTTCCCACATGCTTCTCATTCTTTGAAGGTTGCCCCACAAAAAAAGAGGGGCACAGATGTTAAATATCATTTTGAAATCCATAGGTGCAAGAGTACAACAAGGGAATGGAAATGTGGTAGCAGATACCCTCAACGTAGTTCATACTGTATCATTAACCATTTCTTAGCAATTAGACAGCAGGATAGTGAGTAGAACAATTCAACCCAGAACAACCATATAGATCTATTCCTGATGTCGCTCTGGGAAACCAAAAAATATTACTACTGCCATGTCTCTGCTTGATAAAACTGTCTCTCATTACATTTGTAGTGAAGACAGAGTGGCCAAAGCTGCTTAACAAGAAGTAAAATAGAAGTAATAAAAGAAAAGAGAAGTAAAAGGTGCCAAGCAAAGGATAATGTCTACCATAACTTCTTCTACATAAATGGTAATTCACTTAGGCCATATAAAGAAAGTGAAGTAGAGGATGGTTCATGAGAAAGAACTTATTTTTTTCCCTTGTACCAAAAGAGAAAGACCTTATGGAAAAACCTTAAGAGCCCTGAAAACAAAAATGCACAAAAGAACTCTAAGAACTGAAGATACTAAGGCTTTACACCAAAATGTAAAAAAGAAAACAAAAAAACAAAAGAAAAAACAAAAACAAAGGTGGCAAGTTATCATACCTTAAAGCACTCAATAATGACATGGTATGTTAAGATTAGAGAATGGTTTTTCTTTTTCAGTTAGGAAATTCCAGAACCCTGAATGCCACCTGCTGGCAAAGCAATAGGCAATGACTTTATGATTTCAGCTATACTTAGTTAGCTTTAAGATAGCTGTTTGGTGTGAGGTGCCTGGGTGGCTCAGTCGGTTGAGCATCCGACTTTCGCTTAGGTCATGATCTCGCGGTTCGTGGGTTCGAGCCCCGCGTCGGGCTCTGTGCTGACTGCCAGCTCAGAGCCTGGAGCCTGTTTCAGTCTGTGTCTCCCTCTCTCTCTGACCCTCCCCTGCTCACGCTGCCTCTCTCTCTCTCTCTCTCCTAGAAATAAATNTAGAAATAAATAAAAACATTAAAAATTAAAAAAAAAAAAAAGATAGCTGTTTGGTGTTTCTTCATAGCCAGCACAGCATTGAAATATTCCTGAAACTACACTGAGTTTTTTAACCTTAGCATCTGATATAATGTCAAAACACTGATGAAAGACAAAAAAAATTTAGGCAATTTCTCAATTGTTTTTATATGATTTACTGGGTTGACTGATATTTTTAAAATTAAATTAATTCATATTCTCACTATGGGAACTAGTTTCTGCGATAAGTCATAGTTTTAATATCCAATCACTTCATTTAATCAAGTAGAGATTGTTTTAAGAATATGACATCTAGTGGCAAACTGTGATACCACCTTTACAATTATCTCTATAAGAAGAAACCAAAAATGTAATATTCCTTCCATTAAGAAAACAATAAAGCTGGGGCGCCTGGGTGGCTCAGTCGGTTAAGCGTCTGACTTCAGCTCAGGTCATGATCTCACGGTTCGTGGGTTTGAGCCCCGCATCGGGCTCTGTGCTGACAGCCAGCTCAGAGCCTGTTTCAGATTCTGTGTCTCCCTCTCTCTCTGACCGTCCCCTGCTCACGTTGTCTCTCTCTCTCTCTCCTCTCTCTCTCTCATAAGTAAATAAATAAGAAAACAATAAAGTCAAGTCATTTGGAAAATTAAATTGGCCAGTTTATTTGCTGAATCCACGAAGTAATTTTTGTTAGTCAAAATCTAAAGACTGTGGATTTACCAATTTTTGAAAATATGAAAAGGAGAGAAACTAAAATAGTTAATTTAACTAATATAGTTACCTCTAATCAAACTAATAAGATGAAATAAAAAGTATACCATATTTTATGCTCATTCTTAACTATCTTTGAAGTACATCAGGTAAACAGCAAGTCAGAATTTCTCTTTGAAATTTGAAATATATAAGGGCAGAGTAAAATTCAGTTAAAACCCACCAGATAATGTTAAATAAATAATAAAACTTACTTATTCACTGGGGGAAATTAGTAAGCAAAAACATAAAGTGATCTTTGGAAATAAACCGTGAGGGACCCAGAGAAATAAACAGATTCTCAGGAGTTAAAGAAAATAACGTGTTCCAGCTGGAAGTGGAGTAAAGGTTGGAGAGGAGAAATCAAAGAACAAATGCTCTAAATAATATTGAATGAGTTATTATTATGGAATACAAGAAAAGTTAGTCTCCCCCGCCCAAAAAAATGTCACTACACACAAATGTCAACACAAAAGTCACTCAAGATGTAAGGTCAACCAACAAAGCCATATTTTTTTTTTGAGAGGGGGGAGTGCAAGTGATCAAGGGGCAAAAAAAGAGAGAGGGAAGGAGAGAAGTGGGGCTCACGAGAAGCAGGACTCAAGCTCACCCCATGCGGGACTCAAACTCACCAACCATGAGATCATGACCTAAGCTGAAGTCGGATGCTTAACTGACTGAGTCACCCAGTATCTTAATTTTAAAGTATTTTAATTCTTCCGGTCTCTCTGTATCCCTCCCCATGAATTTTATATACTTTCCCCCAAAAATATGAAGCTATAAAAAATACTTCTTACCTTTGAACTCCATCATAAGTTACAGTCTCAATGTAGTCAAACCGGCAGTCGACCCAGTAAACACGCTTTGATACTATATCCAGGGTTATCCCAGCAGGCCATCCCAATTTTGTTTTTACCAAGTCTTTACGGTTGGTGCCATCCATGAAAGCCCTTTCCACCTTAGGTTCCCCAGAAAGGCTCTTCCAATCAGAGAAAAATAGATAACTACAAAAGAAAAACCAAAGATGACAGTCATTTTACAAGGTTAGGTGGTGTGTTTGGATCAATGGAAATTTCCTCCAGCTGATTAGAGAAGCATGGGAGTATAAAACAACAAAAAAGACTATGAGGGCCACTCAAGAGAGTCAACAACTCCAAACAGCAACTATGAAAATGCATTAATATGGCAGCCTAAAAATTCATATCTTCTTAACTTTCTCCCCTGATCCCTGGCTCCGCCTTCACTTTTTTATACCCAGGAAAACTTACACATACATTTTCAAATGAGCTATCAAACCATTTCCCTCTGTAATTCCCCAGTCTAAGGCATAGTCTACAGAACATATCCATTACCATGAAGTAAAAATGAATAATCATCATTCACCAGCCCTTCAGTAGCCCAAAGTTCAAACAACGGTTCTAAGATCCAACTTTGAAAATCTGAGAGAAAGCTAAGTCTCCTATAACTGTTCTCAAAGTGGACAGAAGGAATATTTGAATTTACACCTGAAGACAAGTAACCATTTCCAATCTTGATGGGGTGATGCCCATTAAACAACTTGTAATTAGGTATTACCATTGTCATCTCAATTCCAGTTTATAACAAGTGCCAAAGCCATCGTTTCAATCTTCTTTCCTCTCTTTAAAAAATTTTATAGCTGGGGGACCTGGGTGGCTCAGTCAGTTATACACACAACTTCAGCTCAGGTCATTATCTCCTGGTTTGTGGATTTGAGCCCCACATCAGACTCTGTGCTAGCAGCTCACAGCCTGGAGCCGGCTTTGGACTTTCTCTGCCCCTCCCCAGCTTGTGCTGTCTATCTCTCTCAAAAATAAACACTAAAAATTAAAAAAAAAAAACAAAAAAAACTTTATAACTAATTCATGTCAGGATGATCATCTTGATGATGGTGAATCAAAAGCGACATTTAGTTGTAACAATATCATTAGATTGGGTCAGATGAGAGTCCAGTCTCTCAGCCAGGCAAATGTGGTGAACATTAAAAATAAAATTCATATCCCCCCAAAAAATCACATACTCTTAGTACACCAGTAGAGGTACACTCCTTTAAAGTTTATATGAAAGGAGACATTAAAAAAAAAGCACGAGTTTTAGAGCCTACAAGAAATCAGAATTAATCTTTATTTAATCCAATGGATGTTTTATATATAAGGGGAAAAATAAAACTCCAAAAATACTAAAACCAGTATATTTTCACATCACTTACCCAAGTGTAGGGTCCACGGCAATTCCTCGAGGATGCCCCAAGTTTTCAGTTATGAGGACAACCCGGTGGCTTCCGTCTATATTTACCAGATCTATGCGGTTGACCTTCGTCTCTACTAAATAAAGTTTATTATTAACCCAATCTACAGCCAGATTCTCTGGATCATCAAGAGAAACAACTTCTTCGATATTTAAGCCATTAATGTCAACCGAAAAAACCTAAAAGAAAAAACAAAATTACATTTCTTAAGCATAACTGTGGGCACTGTTTTCCTATATTCATTCAGTATATTTATGTAAGTTGTACCAGTCAGTCATCTGGATGTAAAAATAAATAATAATAATAAAAATTCTGAGACTTGGTAAGATGGGTTCCTGGGGAGAAAGATTATTTCAACATATATGTAAGGCAAATATAAAAAGTTGAACCTTTTTAAATCCTGAATTTATAATTCTTGGTAGCTATCGAAAGCTTCATTAGAGAATGTGGATTTTTTTGTGGAGGAGGTGATGATGGTTTGTGTTGATTTTTAGCTTTAATCAAATCAGTATTGTTAGTAATCTAAATTCTCATTTTTTAGAAACTTTATGCAAGTCATCACATAATTGAATTAAAATTTCATTAATAGTACAGGAAATTTAAGAGTAAGAAATAACATTCCATAACTCTTTATAAGTCTCTAAAATTTATGTTTTTAAAAAAATCTCTATTGCATCACTCAAGGTTGAAATTAAATCTGTCACACTTTCCAAATAAGACAGAATAATGAAATTTTGGCTGTTAAACAAAATGCTGTCAATATTTGTTAACGAATCTCCCATTACAGTTCCATTTAGAAGATGCCGGTAAAATCTGATTTTTATCATCCAAAGAAGCAGAGTAGTTTTTACATTTTAAATGATCAAGTGTCAAAAATTACTACCAAATATCTATCCAGTTTTGAAAGAATGTCTACTATTTCTTTTAATTAGGCTTTTGGACTCAATTTCGAATAAAATTAAAAGTTGCTCAAGGCTAATTCATATAATAGACTGCTTTGTTTAATAGGTCACATGTAATAGTATAGCATGGAAAAGGTGCTGATTAACATAAAATATCTCAAGGGCCTTTTTTTGTTAGAAAACAAAAGAACTTTCCACTCCCCCAAAAATGAAAGCTATCAACACTCTGTGCTTGGGGTTCTATCAGCTCCCAAGCTACACTCCTGAAATTTCTATTTACCTTATCTTGCACCGTGTCAGTCCAAAAGACTCTGTGTAGGTGATAGTGAAAATCCACACCCACAACCACTCCACGATTTTGAGACTCCACGAGCATCGAAAAGTTCCTTCCATGAATATCACCAATTAGCAAATCCCGACCGTTGGAGAAGATAACAGAGGCCTGCTCAACTAAATGTGAAGAAGAAAGGTATTATAGCTCCTTCCAGTGAACAAATATATGCATATCACTCTCTGGAGAACTTACAACTGATAGGCTTCCTGTCTTTTCAAATTCTTCTTTTTTGTTATCTTATTTGATTTTAAAATAAACTTCTGAAGCAGGCATATGGGTATCACTCTACCCAGTTTACCGATAAGCAAATGGAGGCACAAAGATGCTTGATGAACTGTCCAAAATCAAAGTAAGTTAGGAACAGAGTCTACCAAGAATTCAAGTGTCCTGACTGCTAGTCCAATGCACTTTGAAGGACACTTAGGGGAATACATCAGGTATTTTCAAGAATCCTCTATGACATGGGCACCTGACCCCATGAACAACTTCAGATTGTGTAAAGCACAGAACGTATCTTAAGGATTACTGGGAAATCACTGTGAAAAATATGGCAATGAAGATCCAAATCTGCTTTACCTACAAACTCACAAGCATTCAAAATGGCACATGAACTTCAAGGTTTTCTTCACAGTCTTGTTTGCAATGGTAAAGGATAAAAAAAAATAATAATATAAAAGTCCATTAGTAGGGGACTAGTTAAATAACACACATCAAAAAATGGAAAATTATGCCACCATAAAAAAAGAGTGAAGAAAAGACCTCTGTGTTGATACACATCAGTAAATGCAGAACTGTGTACATAGAAAAATAGAATTAAAACCTATATTTGTACATTCTTATTTACGCATTTAACGATCTCTAGAGTTGAAATAAACAATGATTATCCATGGGAGAGGGGAAGTGGAAACTGGGCAGAGAAATATCCATGAGAGAACAGAAGTGTAATTTGGGCAGAGAGAAACAGTGATGGAGAAATACATTTTTATAGTTTAGAGTTTTTGAACATATGAATTTATTATCCATTCAAAAATAAATACATTTGTTAAAAATTAACTGTGACAAAAAGTTACTACACAGCAAGTCAGATTTTGTACAGGAAAATAACTTGGAAATGGGAAATTCATCAATTATATGAGTAGATAAATTTCGGAAGGCCTCCAAAGAAACTTCAAAATGATGTGCAGGGAAAAAAAACATTGGAAAAAAGGAACAAAGTCAAGATCTTCTTAGCCTCAGAAATGCATGATGCAATGACAAAATGTTCGGGGGAAGGGGAGTATCTTTTCTTAAACAGATTTTCCCCTTAATTTTCTATACTACAGTACTCCTAGATTCATTCTAAAAAAATCATCCAGAATGAGGGCATGCCCCAAAATTCCAATCCAGGTTTCATAGGTCCATTTGGAACCACTCCTAAATGTTTCATAAACAATGACAAAAGTATTTCTATAGATACTAGTCACCCACATTTATGGTAGGTAAATTATTTAAAATTTAAATGTACAAGTAATAATCCACAATTAAATGTGGCAGATGACACAAAAACTCAGACCCCAAGCAAACAAGCAACCATTATTAAAAAAAAAAAAAAACAGAAAACAAAAAACATGAATAGACATAATCCACAAATTGGTCCCTAAGAATCAAAGTATGAAATTAATATGGACCCATTCTTCCAGCAGCAGGGCCCACTCCTAATTGGAGATGATAAAACCCTGCTAACCACATAAATGCTGATATTTCTTTTGTTATCTGCTATGGAAGGAGGATATTAGTAATAAGTTTTGTATTCCAAGATATAACAAGTATCCTTAAGTGACTCACAGGAAGTATTAGCTTTGCAATGCCGCTGATGCTCCAAGACATACCCTTCCGCGCAGTGGCACCGGTGATGGTCCCCTCGGTCTTCACATATTTGGTCACAAGCTCCCCATATCTGGCAACTTTTAAATTCTGCCACATAGTAAATAAACATTTGTAATCATGTCTACCAGCATTTTTTGAGCACACTCTGACAAAAATCTTGAACAGGTTATATAAGAATGTGGTGATGTTCATAACTAAATAAGTACCTTCTGGAAGTAGCCCAGATTCTAGGTATACAATAAAAAATAGGAATTCAGAACAGACATTTCGTATTATGGAAAATCCAAAAGGATTTGAACAGTACTTTAAAATCTTCACAAAGGACAATTTTACAGAGGATGCACAGCACTACTGAGATTCGTAGCCTTGTGGTATTGCACTTAATTTATTAATGTTGATTTACAAAATATCTGAATTTCTTTTCTTTCTCATATAGTAGCCACAAGCCAAGGGTAGCTTCCCAAACTTATATTTAAATTAATTAAGATGAAATAAAATTAGGGGCACCTGGGGTGGTTCAACTGGTTAAGCATCCAACTCTTGATTGATCTCATGGTTTGCACACTGACAGTATGGAGCCTGCTTGGGATTCTCTCTCTGCCCCTCCTGCTCTGCCCTTCCTTCCCTGCTCTCTCTCTTTCTCTCTCAAAATGAATAAATATTTAAAAAATAAAATAAATCAAATGAAATAAAATTAATAATTCATTTTCTTGGTCTTACTTGCCATATTTCAAGTGATATGATCAGTGGTTACCCTATTTGAAAATATAGATATAGTACATTTCCACCATGGCAGAAATTTCTATTAGACAGTGCTACATTAGAAGAAAGTAAGACCGGCCTTATACCCATCCCCTCCAGAAGATATAAAACTGTAACTGCAAAAAAGTACTTGGAAAGATCCATTTGCACAGCTGCCTTTCTTCTGATGTCAAAAATTATAACCAAAATTAAAGTTAAATTATTTTTAAGACATGAAAAATATCTCTTCTACTTATTCATTAACTTCTTATTCATTCATTTAATTAAGTGTTCCTTGAAAGCAATTACATGGCCAAGCTCCGCTTACTGCCACCATTGCCCATAGTTCTACTGTGTAAAACTGACAATAAACAATATAATGTATTACAATGTATAAACAATACAATGGGGGGGCGGGGGGATAAGCAGATGGAACACAAGATATAAAGAGTCTTTCTCAAAGACTGTACAGCTGAAGGGGTACAGAAATTGTCCTATCCTTAGTAGACTGTTACCAAATATTTCATTTGACCCTCCAAGTTCACATCTACTCTCAGCCTCCTTCACCCTGCTCTCTTTAACTGGGAGGAAGACCATCATATCTATACCAACAGGTCCTCAGTAAATTATAATTTCTGAAAGCACTCTCCACATTTCTAGGACCTGATTACACTTGCAACAAATGTCAGAGTTGTGAACTGAGTTCTACCATACCTGCTGGGGGGCCCACCATCTCACAACTCCCCAACTACAAAGCTGGAGAAAGTCCTGGGATCAAGCTAAAGTTTCCAGTTTTCCCTCAAGATCAACTATAACAACATGGGCCTTCATATCTTTCTTTCCAAAGACTGTGACTAACCAAAGGGAGATATTAATCCGATTTGGACATAACAAGGTAAAAGGCATGTGAGTATAAATAAAAGGCCCCTTCATGATTTATCTCTTCTGTGCCCTCACCTCAGCCCTGAGAAAGCACCACCTGAGGCTTCGCCTCAGTAAAAATGAAAGTACAGGATATTCGCCCTCAAACTCCCAGAATGTCATGACCTCATTTTGAGTGCAAGACCGATGAGAATATATCTAAGGGCCTGTAATCACCCTGGGAGCAGGAGTTCTGATGTCAAACAGAAGAAAACCAAAGGTGAAGAAGTCATAACTAGGAATTCTGAGGTGCAAATCCCCTTCCTATTACCTGGGCTACAAAGTACTTTACAGGTTGAGAGTGTATAAAATCAGTGTCACTTTTAATGAATGAATAAGATTATACTCTGCATTATTGATAAAAATGAAGGGTAATTATATACACCAGCCAAAGTGAAAACAAGAAAAATGAAAGTAGACTTGAGGCTTTTCATGAGAAGAGAAAAGCAGTGCAAACTGTCTAAAACCCTAAAACACTGCTTTACAATACCACCTTCTACCCCATTGCCTTTATCTATTTTTCTTTCCTTTTTATCCTTTATCACCTCATACCAACAGATACTACTTTGAAAATAATTCAAAAACCCCTTTTTAGCTTAGACCCCCTTGGACACTGTCGGATCAATCTGGTTGTCTGAAATCCCACCATGCCGAATGACCTCCCTGCCCTAACTCCGAACCAAGATGTCATTCCGTCAACAAACAGCATGTCCTGTCAATCAGAAACAATGACCCTGGTAAACTGCTTCAGCACGTGTCAGAGGCTCCACAGCCATGTCAAGACTACCAGAGGCAGATGAATGGTACAAGTACACAAGATTTCGTGTCAGGATTATTCGATTTTATTCTTGATTACCACTGAGGCATTCACTGGAGAGCCGTGTCTAAGATGATAGATGTCACATAGGTTTGTTTCCAACACCTGAGGCCTCTGTAATGAGTCAGCCATGCAGAGTATCACAGCCATAAGGAGAGTGTTTATTGAGTTCAAATGCTTGAAAGAGCAAACCAAAAGAATTTCCCTAAAAGCTCAGCTAAAACAAGTGTTAACTGGTTTCATAATGTCATATATCCAAAATAATGTGTTCTTTTTACAAAGAGAGCAAAATATAGTCTATGAAATAAATGTTAACCCAGCTTCAAAACTCGGGGGATAAAGAACACATCTTTGAAAAACAGAGATCACAGAAAAGGTCTCTATAGATGGCACGGGGCCTAAAAGTCGCAAAGGCCCCCAACTGCAGACTTTTGATCTCATCTCCAAATGAAGTTATCTGTACTAAAGGTCCAAGCACATACTGCAGGGATGAAAAGACGTTCATCATGGAAGTTAAAACTAGTGCTGAAGTACCAGACCAACTACTTCCAGTGTGCTAGGAACTGGGTGTATTCTATAAACCCTGAAATTATCTTGTGCCACAGCATAATATGGAATTTTCTATATTACATTCACCAGTAGGTTAAATGTATTTTTTAAAAACTCATTACGACAGTTTTTCATGTATTTCAGACTTCAAAACAAAGAGACCCAGTAGCCTCTGACAAGTAGCTCTAGGCACTTGAAACCCAAAGCTCGTCATAGACTTAGATACTGGGGGACTTGGGGTGGAGGGAGTGTTGGTAAATGTGCTATCGAGACTCTGGGGTGCAAAAAAACAATGTCTAAGAACAGGCTGTAGGGCATCACAAGACTAAGCCAGGGATTCTGAAAGAGCAATCACTTTTACTGAATAGAAGTCACAGCCTATCAAGTTCCAAATGCAAGGCAGCTCGGCTGCATCTCCTCTTCGGAATTGAGAGAGGTAGAAAAGAGAAGCTGATAGAATACTGACAATGTGGCTTCTGGTATTTCTGTTGGAATTCCTTTTCTACTAAGAGAAAGGAGAAATGCCTAGAGAACTAAAAAGACTAGAAATCGAATTGGCAGGTGGGTGGCAATAAGGGGGCTGGGGGATGGGGAGGCACCTGACAATTGCCAAAGACAAAGGAGCAACTTCAACCCATAGTGAGCAGCACTCTGAGGAAACGGGGATGAACCTTCACAGGGAAGCCAGGCAACCCAGGCAGGGGCTCCAAAGTCAGAAAACCACCCACTCATGTGAAGAGTATTTTTTAATTACCTGAACGCATCCCCAGTGTGATGTTGGTGGTGGTGAAAATGATGATGATGGTAATAATAAAACACAAAAAGTGTCCTAATCTCATTTAATGCCCATTGCAGATCATAATCTTTTATTTGTAGAATATTTTCAAATGACTAGAAATTTGGGGGCTTCCTTAAATAATTCTGAGTTGTCTCTGAGTCTTCAGAATCTCTTGGGGTGACTTGCACAAAGCACACGTCTTATTTTATATGCATGTCTTGTCCTGTGACATGCCTTATATTCAACAAGTAACTATACTGTTACTTCAGAGGAAAAAATCAGATCATGGGCAAACTTTGGGGCATGGTCCCAACATTAGAAACTTAAAATGCCTTTGGACACCACAAGGACCACCTTAATTGCGCTGCTCTACTGGATATAAAAATCTTGTTTTTCTTGGCATACAACACAATAATGAGTCAGATTATAATGGTTTTCATAACGCTGAGGAATAGACTTTCTCAAAAGTTCCAAGTTAAATTTGTAAACCAGAGTTAATTTGTGGCATTAAATTTTTTCTGGCTGTGAATAGTTATTAAGATCAACAATATCTGGGGCGCCTGGGTAGCTCAGTCAGTTAAGCATCTGACTTCACCTCAGGTCATGATCTCACAGTTTGTGAGTTCGATGCCCATGGCAGGCTCTGTGCTGTCAGCTTGGAGCCTGGAGACCTCTTTAAATTCTGTGTCTCTCTCTGCCCCTTTCCTGCTTATTCTCTCTCTCTCTCTCTCTCTCTCTCTCTCTCTCTTGCTCTCGCTCTCTCTCTTCCTCTCACAAAATTAAAAAAAAACTTTAAAAAATTAAAGAAAGATCAACCATATTTGATACAGTATAATCAAATTGGAAGCCAAAAGCTGAGATTAAAGACTGAGTAACTTCATCGGGTTCATCCAAACTCAGTATCTTTGGCCAAATTATATTGATATTTTGGAAATTATTTCAGAAGTACTTTTGTAAAAGCATTTCTTACATATTCCATGTCTCTTTTTATTCAGAAAGCCCTGAAGAACCCCTCTCATTTGTAAGTCTATCAAAAGAACACAAATATCCTGGGAAAACTCTGAATTATCTACCTTTTGAGATCCATAGATGACTACCAAACTTAATTTTAATGAATCATCACAGCTGCATTCCAGATGCCCTTTTGCCAACACCAGTAAAAACAAAGTTGTGTTGTTGTTGTTTTAAACCTCTATGCACACTTTTTGCTAATAGGTTTGTTGTTTGTGTATCAAAAATTAGAAAGAAGGAAAGAGAAATAAGAGTATTAAAAATCCATTGTTTAAGTCCTACAAAAACTTCAAAATTGATGATACTTGTCCATAGTAGTTCTCCTATAAGACCCCATCCTAATCACAGAAGGATGCAAAGCCAGATCACATCACACTCAAAAATTTCTTACATTCTTACAATTCAGATAAGAGAGCTGTGGGAAATATCTGGTGCACCAGCATCTAGTTCAATGCCATCCAGATGAAGCAAAATGATAGTGTTTGCTCTTGAACCAAGCTTCAAGAAACTTCAAGTAGATGTGAAATCAATAGGATTAACAACCAGCATGGCATGGGCACTGACTGGCCCTCAGTGAACAGTGAGATCATGAACTGTGTTACGTGACCGCTCTTTAGTTGCTGTGTCCTGAAGAGGTACTAGCATCCTAGAGAAGATGTCAGGGAAGAGACAAGGCCATGTGGTAAGACATCCACATGCATGTTATACTGTATTAAATAACCAATATGGCCACACCAACCCTGTTTCCAAATACTTGAAAAGAAAACATAACAAGATTTCTTCCTTCATGAGGTTGTAGACAGGTTGCTAGCCAACTCACTCAAAAGAACCACTCTTGGGGCACCTGGGTGGCTAAGTCAGTTGAGCATCTGACTTCGGCTCAGGTCATGATCTTTCAGTTCGTGAGTTTGAGCCCCACGTCAGGCTCTGTACCTGACAGTTCAGAGCCTGGAGCCTGCTTCAGATTCTGCGTCTCCCACTCTCTCTGACCCTCCACTGCTCATGCTGCCTGCCTCTCTCTCTCTCTCTCTTCTCAGAAATAAATTAAAAATTAAAAAAAAAAATAACATGGATCTGTATCCATTGCTTGCATAATACAAGGTTGAATTAAGGTTGCATCTGTCTCTGCCCATCCCCCCCCCATGCTGTGTCTCTCTTTGTCTCAAAAATAAATAAACATTAAAAAATTTTTTTTGAAAGAACCACTCTTTTGCCTTATGCAGTTCACAAAATTTTCTCAGACTTAAAACTTGATATGTAAAACTTCATAAGTTTTCTATGGGGACTGTGTTGCTTTTTGTTATAAAGATCGACACTCTCATCCACAACCACAAACCCCTTGATGTCAGAGACCACAGAACCCATCAGTGCCGCCACACCGTGATGAAACACAAGGCGCTCCCACCTGTCACTTACCAACACAGTGGGTGGTGTCATTTTGGTCAACAATTAAACGAAGGGGACAATAACACATCCCTCCAGTTGGTGATCTGCGGCAATGGTACTCACAGAGCATTACATTACACAAATGCCCTTCTAAACAGAGAAAAACAATTTGTTAAATGAATGGTGACCTCTGGACAAGACTAATTTACCCTTAAAGTAAAAGCTTCTTTTATCAAACCTAAAAGTTAAGTAGCATGTAGTAGAGACATAGACATCATTACTATTCAAGCCTTACTGCAATATTATGCAAAAAAAGAGCAATCATATTTTTAAAAAATAAATCCTTTTAAAGTTATAACTGTATGCAATTATAAATCATCTTAAGGACTATTTATGGAAAAATCAGGTCATAAGCCTATCCTTTTGTCTACATAGTAGGAAAAAAAGTTAAGAATTCCCAAGTGACTGGATTGAGAATAACATAAAACATGTTAACCATGGCCACTTTTAAACAACTATTGGATAATTTATAGAGTACACTATTGATGGAATCAAGGTAATAAATTGTATTCCCTTATAGGACAGTCAGTTGTCCAGAGTTGATGGGTTGATGGTGGAGGGATATTCTACAACCACAGAAAAAGAAAAAAGAAAAACTGGAGTGCCTGGGTGGCTCAGTCGGTTAAGCTTTAATTCAAGTTAAGTGTTTTTGGATGAGATTATGATCTTATGTTTTATGATTCGAGTCCTGCATCAGACTCCATGCTGACAGTGCAGCACCTGCTTGGGATTCTCTCTCTCTGATTCTCTCTCTCCCTCCCTCTCTTTCTCCCTAGCTGTAGAGATAGATGATAGATAAATAAGAAAAAAGAAAAACGAATATAAGGTATATGTCCCAGAAATCAGAAGCTTCTTTTTTTGAATATAATCAGACAAGACTTTTCCATAAGTATAACCCAGGGAATAAAATCTCCAGAACACCTTTAGAATCATCAAAGTTGCCATTAAGACCATTCTACCTGGGTGACAAGGAAAACACCACAAATATTCTGAAGTTCTTCCCAGTAAGAGATGGAGTCTGTTTCATCAACCCATTGAATCTAGGCTTGGCCAGATGACTTGCTTTGGCAATAACACATTTAGTAAACATGACCTAAGAAGAGGTTTAAAAGAGCTCATTCATGGGGCGCCTGGGTGGCTCAGTCACTTAAGCGTCCGACTTCAGCTCAGGTCATGATCTCATGGTTTGTGGGTTCAAGCCCCATGTCGGGCTCTGTGCTCAGAGCCTGGAGCCTGTTTCAGATTCTATGTCTCCCTCTCTCTCTGACCTTCCCCTGCTTATGCTGTCTCTCTCTCTCTCTGAAATAAATATAACATTAAAAATTAAAAAAAAAAAAAAAAGAGCTCATTCACTAGGGTTTGCTTTTTCTATCACCATGTGGAAAGAGATTGGACTGGGTTTTTATTTTAATATCTTTGATGTGTCAGTGAGCTGGTCTAGACCATGAGAACTTCCTAGCCAACCCACAGAACCATAAGAAACAAATATAACTTGGTTTAAGCCAGTAAGTTTTGGGATAGTTATGCAAACACCAATACTCTCTGAATTTGGCAATCTATTAGAGAAAAACAGAAACCTTTTTATCTCAGGGGTGCCTGGGTGGCTCAGCGGGTTAAGCTTCCTACTTCAGCTCAAGTGATGATCTCATGGTTTGTGTGTTCAAACCCCACATTGGGCTATCTGCTGTCAGCACAGAGCCTTTTTTGGATCCTCTGTCTCCCTCTCCTCCCCACTTCACTCATGTGTGCTCTCTTCCTCTCTCTCAAAAACAATTTTTTAAAAGTCTTTACCTGAAAACTACCCAGATAAATTTCCATACTCACCACAAAATAGTCCTTTGGCACTATTAGTTTCATCTTCTCCTCCTGGACAATCTAACTTCCCATCACAAACACTGGTAACTGAGATGCATTTTCCAGACTCTGGACAAGCCCATTCGCCTGGGTAACATTCATGAACCCGAGTACTGAGGTCTGCAGAGGAGCAGAAGAGTCACAGGCTACACGAGAAGCCAACTCTTTTTAATCATTATAGAGAATATACACCAGGTGGACAAGTGAAGTCTACAAGTGATCTAAACTACTAATTTCTAATCATACTACTGGCCTTTTATTGGGATTCTGAGAAGTGGCAAATGGAATTATTCAAATTCCATTCTAGGGTAGGCACCAGTTTATAAGAGTAAGAAGAGACATGGACCTGAATTATCAAACAAACTAGATTAATAACCCCTAGAAGAAAATGCAGTTAATTTAAATCATGAATCATAGAACTAAGGCTATCAAGGTAATACTAGGATTCCTGAGTTTTTACTTTGTTTTTCTCTGTCCTTTTTTTTTTTGGTGTTTTGATTTTTTTTTTTTCTTTAGTGTAATGTCATCAGTGTAAGAAAAACTACGACTATACTGCAGGAATACTATTTCTTGGGAAAGCAAAACCAATGGGTCTTCTCCAAGCATCACTCTTATTACATCAGAGGCTGGAACAGTACAGAACTTGCCTTATGCTGTGGGTGTTAGTAACTTCTGAACTGTTGGAGGTACTGCTGGTGAAGGAGGTGAATATCATTGGCAATTTCCTTCTCAAAGAATCTTGAAACAATTCCCTGGGTAGCAGCCTCTCCTGCAACTACCAATCCCTAACTCTTTCACTCATGCTGGTGGTGGCCTCTCTTCCACCACTGGATGTCAGTGACTCCTGTGGTTGAAAATCCGAATTTGACAACGAAAAAGTCAGCATGCATTACAGAAGGGGAACAGAGTAGAGTGCCCCACCTATTCTGCTTTAATGATGATGACGGGAAAGAGATCATAATTTATTCTCTAATTGGGTTCAATGTCTTTTTAAGGAAAGCCAGTGGAGTCACCTCCTTCTGCCCCACCCAGTAAATTACTTAAAATGCAGGCAATCCTGAGACTCGCTTGTCACACAGATAATTTCTAACAAGGGGAGTAGGAACACAAGTTCTAAAAAACACGTTAAGAAAATGCTTTCCAGGGGCGCCTGGGTGGCTTAGTCGGTTAAGCGTCCGACTTTCGCTTGGGTCATGATCTCGCGGTTCGTGGGTTCGAGCCCCGTGTCGGGCTCTGTGCTGACTGCCAGCTCGGAGCCTGGAGCCTGTTTCAGAGTCTGTGTCTCCCTCTCTCTCTGACCCTCCCCTGCTCACGCTGTCTCTATCTCTCTCTCCTAGAAATAAATAAAAATATTTAAAAAAAAAAAAAAGAAAAGAAAATGCTTTCCAATAAGAATCTCTTCTCCTTACCACATCCATTTTCATCTCCATTATCTCTGCAGTCACTCTCTCCGTCACAGACCTTATTTTGACTAATGCAGTAGCCGTTGGAGCAAGTGAACTGGTTACCTTTGCAGGTCTCGTAGGCTGGAAGAAAACAGCAGCTGCACTCGAAAGATACAAACCACTTGGGAAAAATCAAGAAGTTCAACTCACTGCCTAAACTGAAATAAAACTATGTCAATTTAGTCTCTGAAGTATGTCAACAACAACAACAAAAAGACAACAGCAAAGAACAGGGGGAAAAGGGGAGAAAAAGGGAGAAAACAGAACAGCAAATTTGGGGCAAGGACATGAACTCAGGTGCCAGTCTGTCTCTCAGAATTGGAAACAAGGCAGTATGATATAGGTGGACACAGAACAAAGAATACAGATTGATAAAGGTCAGACAGACATGTCAATGTCCAACATGCCCTTGCTTTATCACCAAGGACTGAAATTGCTATCTAAGATCAAATGATTCTGAGTCACCCATTCCATGTTGTCACATTCTCTTTAAAACAGTCCCTGAAATAAGCCCAGAGGCCAGAAAGGAAATCAAGCATGGCTCATAAAAAGTTAGGGTGATGGGCGCCTGCTTAGTCTCTCAAGCATCCGACTCTGGCTAAGGTCACAGTTCATGAGTTTAAGCTCTGCGTCAGGCTCTGTGCTGACAGCTCAGAACCTGGAACCTGCTTCAGATCCTGTGTCTCCCTCTCTCTCTCTCTCTGCCCCTCCTCCGCTCATGCTCCCCGTCTCTCAAAAATGAATAATTGTTTTAAAAATAATTTTAAAAAGTTAGGGTGATATTGAAAAAAATTTAGCAAGGCCTAGGTGCCAATCAATCAAAACGGGTGTGGTGACAAAAATCAAAACATTCTAGTAGATAAATGACCTCAAAAAAGTGCCAACTAATTTTGTAAAATCAGTAAAACTCTTTCACAGGGACTTTGAACTACATATTCCAATAAAATAAGTCCAGAGTCAGGGCATCTGGGTGGCTCAGTCAGTTAAGCATCCAACTGGCTCAGGCTATAATCTCACGGTCCATGAGTTCAAGCCCTGCATCGGGCTCTGTACAGACAGCTCAGAGCCTGGAGCCTGCTTCGGATTCTGTGTCTCTATCTCTGCCCCTTCCCTGCTTGCACTCTGTCTCTCTCTCTCAAAAACAAATGTTAAAAAAAAAAAACAATTAAAAAAATTAGTCCAGTGCTGGCAACAATGAGGTGATGTGCCTTGCAAGCAATTAAATGGAGAAAAAAAAAAAGTAGGGACAGAGTTAAAAAGTGGAGGCAACAAAACCCACCTGCACGACACTGAAACTTTCCTGTCCCTCCAATTTCAATGTGGTAAGAATTTCAAAGTAAAGAGGAGACCTAGGACCAATGCTATAAGGAAACTTCCTCTCCCTTCGAAGTGCTTCTCTCATTCAAGTACCAAGGTTATCAGACCCATTCCTGAGGTATGGGTAATTTGAGAGCCTAGTGATACAATACACCCTGTACCCTTGTAGCCTAAGAGAAAAAGAATGCACATTGTCCGTCAGCAATCCTTCAACTCTACACAGATCCTTAGAAGATAAAGGAGTCCGGGTCTAACTACACTACTGAAGCTCCTGCCATGGGGCCTAAATGATCTTCTGGCTCCATCTGCCATCAGACATAGTGACTCTTTTGTTTGAAAAGAGTGGTACATTCGTCAGAAAATAACTACGGCAACACTCCTGGCAACCTGACCCAGCTTAAGGAAGTTACCATACCGCAAGAACGCTCATCAGCGCCATCATCACAATCAGGGTAATGGTCACAGACATGGATACGAGGGATGCACACCCCAATGTCACACTGGAACTCGTGTTGTGAACATTCCTGAGCTGTGAAACAAGGTTAACAAGGGCAAGAAGAGAAGTTCAATTGCACTGTAGCCATTTAATTTTACAAGAAGATTCTGCCTCAAGTTTAAAAAGAGATTTTTATTATGCAGCAGCATGCCAGTAAATGTTTAACAATGAATTCTCCAGGAACAAAAAGGCCCGGAGTCAGTGTTTGCCAATTTCCATGGTGCAAATACTCCCACCTCCAAATACTGACTTGAGGCTACCAACATGAATTCACTGAACACAAATTCGAAAAGAGACTGTGTAACTGGCCGGTAGAAATGACTGTGAATACCACTGCACATCTTGGACACGTTACTTACTGCAGTTGCTTTCATCAGAAGAGTCTCGGCAGTCAATGCTCCCATCACATTTCTGACTGCTGTTATAGCAGGCTCCGTTGGCACAGGTAAGCTGTTCACATGTCGGGTAATCTAAAAGAAGGAAAATAACACACAAATCTTAAATTAAGAATTTCTTCTGCAAACACTTCTTCAGTGACTACTACAGGTTAAGACACTAAATGCTGAGCATATACTGGAAAGCAAGAGACCCGGTTCCTTTTGCAAATTACAAACTGGGCTGTATGCTAATGTGGGAGGCACAGAGTTCTATGAGAATGCATAATAGGGGGGAGTCTGGAGCCCAGGGAAGTCTCCCCTGAAGAAGTGACCTATGAGCTCAGAGCTGAGGAATGAGAAGGAATTTAACCTATTTCAAAACGGAACCTTCTTTTACATAATGCAGATAACATCCCAGATAGCTAGTGCGCTACCACACATGCTCTGAGAATGGAAGGGCTGTTTCTTTTTCCAGATGGTTGTTTCCTTTCTGAAAACAGGCTTCTAAGTCAGGAGGGATGGGACCACTCAGTAGCTATTTACTCTTAGTCAAGCTGTTTATCCTCTCAGTTACCACTGCTTTATCTATATATTTGCATAATTTAATGCTTTCTGAAAAGCATATGTACTCTACAAGCACAAGTAACTATTACCACACATGCTATTAATCAGCTGCTTAACTCTGATTTTCTAAGTCACAGTGAAAAAATCAGGATGTCCCTTGCAGGAATAACATGCTGTCAGTCCCCTCCCTGTGTGTCCCCAAACTGGAAACACATAGGAGGGCTACATTCTGGTGGTTGTTTATCTGTTTCTCCTAAAACGTAATGACACCTTCTAAGATCTAGGATCCTGTCTTACCCATTTTAGAATCCCCAACACTTAGTGCAGGGACCGGACTGTTGCTCTAGGTGCTCAAGATATGCTAGATATTGCTATTGACTTATCACAGATGAACTTTTTAGTAAAAAAGCTTTCAAAAACCTTTTTGAACTTATACTGTTTATGGTCTTTCAATATCCTCCTTCTCACAAATTGATATCTTTCTTGGTCGTTTTTTTTTTTTTTTTCATTAAAGATTGTTTGCATCATGATTCTCACATTATCTTCAAATTTCTCCTTAAAGATAAGGTACGCCTTAGATAAGTTCTCAAAGACTAGACAATAGAGTCCTATGGACAGATAATGTCTTAGGTAGTCCTAAAGTCTCCTTCAAGCAGGAGCAGTACACAAAATTCTGTGCTAAAACTACATTAAACTTGTCCTGCATTAACAATTCACACTTTATAAAAGATGGACTCTAAAATGATATTTTTCCATTTTTTGTATAGTAAAAGAAGCACAAAAAAGTAAAAGATGAGATTCTCATCTCCAAAACTTTAAAACTGGAGCACTGAGTGTCTAAATACCTAGACTGCCAAAGTTACATTTAATTAGTCATATAATAAAATGGAAGACATTTCAAAGTAGTTGATTAGAATTTTACATTTTTTCTGAATTATATTTTTAAGTAGTCTAAGAATCAGCTTAGGGTTATTGCTGTCTTTTCATCATTCAGAAGGTATGCATTACGAAATTGCCTTCAAAGGGCCATAGAGCTCTGGTTATTAATTCTCACTTCAAGCGATGCAAGAGATCAGTTGAGTCTGGCCAGCAATTCCCCTCCCCCATGTGCCAGATGGCTCCTAGAGTATGTTGTGTAGCTTTATAAGAGCAGTAGAAAGATCTTAGAAAACTCTGTCTTTGTAATAGATAAGATATCTCTTTGGAGGAAAATTTGTTTGAGCTTGGAGGGTTGACTAACTCACTTAAGGTGATTATCATAGATATGAAGGATCTGGGACAAATATACTGAGCGGATCACTTGTTCTGCCCATCCTGCATTTTGAGAGGCAGCACCATAAAACCAAGAAGGGAAGAACTACAACAGTATCCACTGACAGGACTAAAAAGTTTTCCGACATGCCTCATTCTCCCTAACAAATAACAAGGCCAACTTGATGTTGTCAGGGAGAGTACTGTTATGGCCAGAAGCCAGCTGTTAAACACCCCGAATGAGGAACCAACAGCTTTCTTATCTCCATCCAGGCTGATAATGAATCTCTTCTCAATCAGCCAAGGACCAGCCTCAACTCCTACAAGCCTTCTGGTCTCTTCTGTGCATAGTTCACTGAGGTATATGCCCATAGGGAAGACCGCTTGGAGCACCTGACTCAACTAAATACTGAAAATATTTGGAGACCCACACAGAGGGAATGGTTCCAAACTATTCACACTGAACAAAATAAAAATGAACAGATTCTACTTCCCTTAAAGATTTCTATTACATAATATGTTAATGGGTTTCAATCTACCCCAGGAGATAGAAAGTCACAACACTTTAGGACTGGAGGATATCAAGAATCTTATTTTATGGTTTATTCCCTAACCAGGTCAAGAGTCTAACCTCATAAGGTTTTTCCCATGGAGCAAACCCATCCTGTAGCTGAAGCATCCTGCAAGATGTTAAGAAAAAAATATAAGAAAAGAGATAATGCACAAGAAACCAGAGAAACTCATCCTTATAAGTTTTGTCTTAATGGAAAGACTGACACAAAGTTTATCTGACACAAAAATTCAAGAACACACTTGCTCACACCACCTCTTCCTTCTCCCTTCTTTACTGTCTCCACATGCCAAATGTGTACATGCTTGCTCCCCTACAATTGGGAGCTTCCCCCAAATACATGTAAAATTGGTGCTTGAAGATTTTTAAAATTTTTCTATGCCAATGACTTTATTTGAGGAAGAAAGTTCCATGCCATAGTTCTGTTTAGATCATCAAAGAGGAGGAAGTGGCTTGAAGACCTCATGGACCTCCCAGAATGGAAATCATTCACAACAGAGCAAATTATAAACATTAACACTATTCACTATTCTTTATTATCTTGTTAGGAAGGCTGTGAGTACATTCTAGTCTCAGAATTGGGAAAAATGGTCAAAAAGCACATAGAGAAGACAAATTGATTACAAAGAAATGGGAGACTTCTTAAAGATAGATTATGAAACTTAATATTTAAAGGAAAAGAGAAATTACTGATAAAAGTCCTGCCCAAGATACCCAAGACCTTTCAAGGTCCTAGCCTCATCCTTTAAGTTACTCTGGATCCAAAAAGAGCTAATCCAGTCAAATAGCCAGTGACAGTACTAGCCATCAATAATATATATTGAAACTTATCTAAGTAAGTACTCAATATGTCTGAACTCATTTCATCCTTATAACAACCCTACGGTGTAGGCACTATTACTCCCATTTTATAGATTTCTATTTTATTGATGTTATATATGTGCCTTTCTGCAGCTAAGTAATTTGAAAAAGGTCATACAACTAGTAAATTGGAGAGCCTGATTTCAAATTCAGGCAATGTGGCTTCACCATGCACATCCCTAGCATTACAACAGATATAGCTACTGCTTATAAGCTTCAGAGTATGCAGTAGGAAGAAACAAAAAAATTACAGAAACAAAATGAAATGGAATGAAAGAAACTGAAACTCTTAAAAAGATAGTTGAAAAAGGAAGAGAAATAACCCCAGAGAAAAAACCAAAGTCTTCCTTTCTTCCATTCAGTTTCCCATCCCACGTTGGGAGTCTGAAGAGGTGAGGACAACTCTTGATTTCAGCAAGTAATGGCATATTCTATTAAGGACTTCAATCTGGAATGATCTAGGAATTTGAGGAAACTATGCTAGGAAAGAGAGCTTTCCAGGAGTACCAGAACAAACAAGAGACTCAGTACCAAAAAAATAGACCACAATATAGCAGGGGACTCACTCTACCCCTCCCCAGTTAAATTCAAGTCCCCAAAGTGACTGCTATCATGAACTAGCACCAAGGAAATACAGTAATATACAACAAAACAGGAGGAAAGCATTTCCTGCCACTCTTCAAAAATAGTTTCCAAGAGCTTTCAATAAAAGGCATATACATAAATGTTATAAAATAGAAATAGCAATTCAGCACCTTAAGAAGAAAAAGCAGGGTCACCTGGGTGGCTTGATTGTTTACGAATCTGACTTCAGCTTAGCTCATGATGTCACAATTCTTGAGTTCAAGCCGCACGTCAGGCTCTGGGCTGACAGCTCGGCTTCAGATTCTGTGTCTCCCTCTCTCTCTGCCCCTCCCCTGCTCTCTCTCTCCAAATAAACATTTAAGAGAGAGAGAGAGAAAACAAATACAGTAATCCCAAGGGCTAGTAGCAAAGGACTACCATCAAGTTTAATCCAAGCAGCTTTCAGGAAACTGAAGTCAAAAAAAGGAAACACATTAAGTTACCTAGTTTTCCTTACCCTTCTCTCTTTGAACTACTGGGTCTTAAGTCCTAAATCCCTATTTGATCTCTATCTACGGTGACCTGATGTTACACATACATTAGAAATGTTCCTGAGAAGCCGCTGCAAAGATTTTTGGATCTACAGTAACTTTTTTCCCATGCACAGAACTATCACCAAAATCTGCAAAGGAAGTAAAGATTGACTTAGTTATAAATTCTCAAAAAATAATAAAAATCTGGGGCGCCTGGGTGGCTTAGTCGTTTAAGCATCTGACTTTCACTTAGGTCATGATCTCGCGGTTCATGGGTTCGAGTCCCGCGTCGGGCTCTGTGCTGACTGCCAGCTCAGAGCCTGGAGCCTATTTCAGAGTCTGTGTCTCCCTCTCTCTCTCTGACCCTCCCCTGCTCACGCTGTCTCTCTCTCTCTCTCCTAGAAATAAATAAAAATTTAAAAAATAATAATAAATAATAAATAAATATAAATATATATTTATATATAAATATATATAAATAAATATAAATATAAATATAAAATAATAATAAATAATAAAATAATAATAATAATAAAAATCTCACATGAGCCCTAATACAGGAGTAACTAAGGAACAAGTTGGAAAATCATACATCAAATGCTCCAAAGAATAGTGCAAAGAAGTTAAGATGGCTCTTCAAGGGTGAGCAAATGTTTATAACGTGCACCAGATTTGGTGGTACTAGTTCTACACAGGAATTCGGGGGTATGAGTTTTCATTCCAAGGACACAGCACCTTGGCTCTATTCC